GAAGGGAAGGGGGCGTGGGAGGGTCACGGTGGGGGTCCTCTGTGGGAAGTGGGGGGCTCGGAAAGGCGGGGTCCCCCGCCCGGCAGGCCCAGGAAGGGAGACCCAGGCGGCTAGGCGCACTCTCGGGTGGGCTGTCCCCCTCAGTGGACTCTGCCCAGCCCTCGGCCCGCAGCCCCTCTCGGGCTCAGCACTGGCACCCGTGGCCCCAGCCCTGTGGATGCCCCACGTCCCCACTCGGTCACCCCGGGACCCCCGGAGCTGGTGACCCCCCCAAGTTGCTGCGGCTGTCGGAGGCTCCAGAGGAAGCAGGGGCCCCGGGCGGGCGCACGGGCACCACCACCACCGTCCCGCGTGGGGCTTGCGAATTAGGGAAATTGGGCCACCTGTCCCTGCGGCCCGTGTTTCTGGGGCAGCTGCTCAGCGCCAAGCTTTGTTCTCCATCCGAGCCTGCGACCTGCCCGAGCGAGCGAGGGCGCCGCGGCCCGCTCCGCTCTCCCGCTGGCCCTTGGTGCCCAGCAGCCCAGGCTGGGGGAGGGCGGGAGGAAGGGCCAAGCGGCTGCGCCCTCTTGGCCCACTCCGGTGCTGCACCCGCCTGCCCGGCCCTCGCGTCCTGACCCGCTCGCCCCGGCTCAGAGCTCACCTGTTTAACCCTGGGCGCCAGAGAGGGTCCCCGCTGCCGCTGCCGGCCTGGCCTCAGTGTGGGGCCACCGGCCTCTGCGGAGGCCCCGAGACTTGGTGGTCTGTGAACTCGCTGCCTGGCCCTAGTCTCGGTCCCGGGTCCTCCGCCTCCCCCAGCTGGTGTGGACTGTCCAGCTGGGGCTGTGCACGCCTCCCCCAGTCCCTGCTATCCTGGCCGAAGCCCCACGTGCACACTTGGCCTCGCTGTGGTGGCAGAACATGCCCCGCAGGGCGCTCACCGGCCTCCCCTCTCCCCACGCCGCCCAGGGAGGGCCTGGCACTGGGGTCTCTGCCTCCCGCTCAGCACCTGCCGCCGCACCTTCCGGCTCTGGCTTGATTAGGGAGCAAGTAAATATTTTTCGGCGCCGTGACAGGGTTGGGAAATCGGTGGCAGCGTGGTCTGGGATAGAATCCATGTGCGGAGCTGGCCGTGGGCAGCCTCGACCCTTCAGCCTCATGGGACAGGCTCGGCCGCAGGCCACGTGCCCTTGGGGGCCTGGAGGCACCGGGGCCCGCTGGTGTGGCCGGGCGTGGGTGACGGTGCTTAAGAGAGGACGGTGAGCCCATGGCGGGGGCGGGGGGGCGTCTGGTATGAAGGGGTGGCCATGGGGGAGACCCTGCGCCGGAGCCCCAGGTCCGCAGGCTCCTTCTGGCCTCTGCTCCGCGGAGCCGGGGTCAGCGGGCAGGGCCTCGGGCCAGGCGCGGGGCCCCGGGCAGCTGCAGTCGGCTCTCCCAGCCGGGCGGCGCGTGAGTCTGGGCGAGCTGCCCCCCTCCTGCCCGGGTTCCCCTGGCTCTCTTGCCCGGTGGCCTGGAGTGCTGCCCCCGGCCCCGCGTCCTCTGCTTGTGGGCGGCGTTTCTGTCGCGTCCGTCTGCCCACGAGACTGATTTCTGAGCTGTGCTCGTGACCAGCTCGGGTGGGGTCGCTCTACCTCCCTCCAGGGGTCTGGAACTGCCCGGGAAGCAGCCTGGGGCTGGGGGCTGCCCTCCCGCCCGCCCCCTCACACTCCCTGGGGGGTGGGAAGAGGCCCCGGCACCCGGCGGCAGGCGGAGCGTCGTCAGTGCCCAGAGCTGCCCCGGAGGTGGACACGCCCTGCAGCATGGCCACCGCCCACAGGGGCGACATGCAGGCCCTGGGGGGGTCTCGGGCCAGGGCCGCCCAGCCCTGACTGCCGGGGGAGGAAACACCAGCGGTCGCCCGCCTGTGCCCGCTGCCCCCAGAGCCGCCACAGAGGGGCGTCTGGTCAGGAGCAGCTTGTGTGGCCACCAGGGCGGGAGCTAGGAGGGGCCGGCCCCTGGAAGACTAGCTGGTGTGGGGGCTGAGCCCCTGCACGGAGGAGGAGGCCCAGGGCCGGGCTGGGCGCTCACGGGGCGCTGGACGGGCGGGCCTCTGGCTGGGTGCCTCCCCGCTGGAACCTTCTCTGTTCCCATTTTCCTTGAGGCCAGCGTCCGGGCAGCGGTGTCCTTCCTTGAGGAAGTTCACGGCCGCGTGGAGCATTCGGAGGGAAGTGGAACCGCTCAGCGGCCCTCGTAGAGGGGGACCCTGCCCAACTGGCCCCCGGGAGGGAGCCCACGTCCCTGGGCAGCAGGACCTGCCCTCTCCCCGGTGGCCCGGAAACCAGCGGCCAGCTGTGGGCTGCTAGGGCGGGTCTGGCTCTGGCTGTCTGGGGTCCTCGTCCCCCAAGGACGTGGGGCGCTTGGCCCGACACACACCCGAGGCCCCAGTCTCTAAAGAAGCCCCCCCTCTGCCGTGACAACTTCGCCCTGGGCGGAGCCCTGGCCAGGGCCACGTCCTCTCCTAAAACGGACCTGCCATGTAGACCGCCGCGAGCGCAGCCCAGCCGCTTGGGCGCCAGGCCCGGGGTGGGGGTGGGGACTCCGGGCCTAGAGGGGGCTCCCGGTGAGGGGCAGGCGGGGGGCAGAGGCAGTGCCAGGCCCGGGGTACGACCTCGGGCTCCGGCCCTAGGCTCCCTGTCCTTGTCTTGTGGGTCAGCGGCACGTGGCGCGGGTGCTCTGGACCCTGTTTTCCCCAGAGCTGTGCAGTGGGCACCGGCCCAGGAGGAGAGATGCGGGGGCCGGCCTGCTGCTCAGCGAGCCGTGAAGACCCGGACGTCCTGCTTCCCTGAGCCCTCCGCCCCGAGGGCGTGCCGGGCATGGGCTTCGGGGAGTCCCCGGAGCTTCGATGAGTCCAGGGTCCGGTTCTGGGGCGCTGCTGTGCCCGCTGAGCGTGGGGGGCACCGTCGCATCTTCCACCCCGTCGGGTCTGTCTGCTCTGGGGCTGGCCTCTCTGCAGCCTCTGGAAGGTGGACTGCACCGCTGGGCCTCGGTCCTCCAGCGCCCGGTGGGCTGAGTGGGGGTGCGGACTCCACGTGCCGACTGGAGGCCCCCAGGTCCTGTGCCCCGTCGCGGCCCCGTTTGCTGCCTCTCCTCGTTGGCGCTGCTGTGCCGTGTGGACAGGAGCACCCTTGCGGGGCCCCGCTTTGCTCTGCGTGAAACGCTCATTCTCGTTTTGAAGAACTGCTTGGAAATTGTTAACAACGGGGAGAAACAGAAAAGTAAAAAATGGCGGGTCCCTGGGCACTGTGTGCTCCTGGGCAGTCACCGGACACCGGGCACACGCCCACCCTCCCGGAGGCCAGCGCCCTGCCCCGGGTGGCAGGGCTCAGCAGGCCAACCTGTGGTGGCTCCTCACTGCCGGTCTGCGCCACGGTGGGGCAGCCCCCAACGACCCCCTGCCCCTTGGTCTGCAAGGACCCCATGGACACGGTCACCGTCCTGCGCCTGGGGCCAGGCCTGGCTGGGCAGCACCGTGTGCTGTGCCTGACGTCCCCACCTGGACTAGCCTCTGCCAGCTTCGCGAGGGCGGGGGTGTGGCTGCCTCTGCGCGCGGCCCCTGTGTCCTGCCCAGGCTTCCTGCTTCAGGCCTTGGGCTGGCCGCGGCCCTGTGGTGGGCTGGCCGGCACCCCCTCCTCCAGAGCTTGCGCTTTCCAGGAGGCCTGGGGCAGGAGGAAGTGGCCATTGTGCCCCCAGAGGCCCAGGCCCCAGGAATTTCCCTTTGCTCTTCGGAGGTCAGAGTAGGGGCCTGTTTTTGGCCACTTCTTGGACCTGGGGGGTGGGAGGGGCACCTGTCTGGGTCTTGGTCACGGCGCCCCCAGCACTTCTGCAGCTCTGGGGCTACCCTCGGACCCTTCACTCTGGGGGGCTCTCAGGCCCGCTGGGAAGTTTGTGGAACACGGGTGGAGCAAGGCCTGTGTCCCTCCCCACCCCTGCCCTGTGGACCGGCCTTGGGGCATCCCGCCCTGCCCCGGTGCCCCGCCTGCACCCAATGGAGACCAGCGAGAGCTTGCGGGTCTCCCGCCCACGCTGAGCTCCGCTCGCGCCTGGCGTCTCAACCTCTGCTGGGCGCCCCGTGTCTCTGCGTCTCTAAGGGTGGAACTGCTTTGGGGGGAGTGGGGGTTTGAGAAGACAGCCTGGAGGGCCCGCCGGCCCCCACGCGCCATCAAGGGCTTTGGGGTCCTGCCTGTTCACTTCAGGGGCTGTCCTCTGAGCACGTGGGGTTCTCTTCTCTGCTCTCAGTTGCTGCATTGGGAACAACTTTGAACAAGTTAGTTTTTGGGGCTATTTCCCGGGGTGGCGCCCCACAGGTTGGGATGCAAACCTGCCTGCCCCAGCCCATAACAGCAGAGAGGGCCTGGGGCCTCCAGAGCACCCCAGGCGCCCACCCTTCCCGGCCCCTCCCTCAGGGTCTGGTCCCCGTGGCTGCCTCCGACCAGTGGCCAGCGGTGAAAGGCCTCTTAGGGGCGATTTGGGCCAGCCAGCGGCGCCAGGCGCGGTGGGCTTGGTGGTGGGCGGGCTGGAAAGACGAGGAAGGGGGTGAGGGAGCGTCTCCACCGGCCTGTCCGCTCCCCCTAAACGGCTCGGCGCCAGCCGCTGGGGTGGGAGGAATCCGGACGCACAGCGGGCGTGTCTCTGGGCGCTGTGGGCAGAGTCCCCAGGGCCATGGCCGAGTCCTCCTGGCTGAGGCCGCACCTGACTCTGAGGCAGCGTCTTTAGGGGGCTGACAAGGTCCCCTCAGTGGGGCCGGACCGGCACGAGTGTTGTCCTTGCAAGGGGGGACGCTGCGAGAGCTGACAGGAGAGGTCGGGGTGGGGGGTCCACCTGCCTCCATCCCAGAGAAGCAGGGAGGCCTGGGCGGCCTCAGGGCTGAGGCCTCAGGGCTCCGGCCGTGCAGAGCTGGGTCTGCCCTTAAGCTGCGTCAGCCCCCCCACCCTTGCACAGGGGGAGCAGGTGTGGGGTGCGCTGGGAGCGGGCTGGGGTTTCGGGGCAGAGGCCGTGGTGTCTGCTCGCCCACCTCATGGGTCTGCAGCCGCGTTTTGGTGCGTTGCTTCGGGAGGAGTCCCCTGCCCGGTCTTGGTTTGGGGTGCTTCTGGCCGGGCTCGGCCTGGGCGCAGGATGCAGTATGAGTAACTCTCATCTCCACACAGTGTCTGTAGAAGCGGCCACTCTGGGATCCCAGATGAACGACCGGACGGAAGACATGGAAATCACGTCGCACTACCGACAGCTGCTGCGGGAGCTGGACGAGCAGAGGCGGCACGGGGTGCTGTGCGACGTGAGCGTGGTGGTGGAGGGCCGGGTCTTCAAGGCCCACAAGAACGTGCTGCTGGGCAGTAGCCGCTACTTCAAGACGCTGTACTGCCAGGTGCAGAAGGCATCCGACCAGGCCACGGTCACGCACCTGGACATCGTCACTGCTCAGGGCTTCAAGGCCATCATCGACTTCATGTACTCGGCCCACCTGGCACTGACCAGCAGGAACGTCATCGAGGTGATGTCTGCAGCCAGCTTTCTGCAGATGACCGACATTGTGCAGGCCTGCCATGACTTCATCAAGGCCGCCCTGGACATCAGTATCAAGCCAGACGCCTCGGACGAGCTCTCGGAGTTCGAGCTCGGCGGCCCAGCGGGTGGCGGCGCAGACGCGCTCATCTCAGCCGTGATGGCCGGCAGGAGCATCTCCCCGTGGCTGGCTAGGCGCACCAGCCCCACCAACTCCTCCGGGGACTCGGCCATCGCCAGCTGCCACGAGGGGGGCAGCAACTATGGGAAGGACGACACGGAGCCCAAGGCCGAGGGCCCCGGCGAGGTCTCCCCACGGCCGCTGTGGCCCGGTGACCTGGGCTACGGGGCCCTGCGGGTCAAGGAGGAGCAGGCCTCGCCGCCCCACTACGCAGGGGGTGAGCTGCCCCCCCCCAGTGACGGCCTGGCCCAGAGCACCTTCCCAGAGCCGGCCCCCGGGGACGGGTGGCAGCCCACAGGCCGGAGGAAGAATCGGAAAAACAAGGAGACCGTGCGGCACATCACCCCGCAGGCCGACGAGGACAGCCGGGCCGGCTCCCCGCTGCCCCCCTTCCTCCCCGCGGCCGCGTGGCCCTTCGGCGGCGGAGACCCCAGTAAGGCTCGCGTTTGTTCCGGGTGGGGCTCAGCCTGGGGCTGCAGTGGGCGGGCCCTCTGGGATCCCTGCTCTGCAGGCGGGTGGGTGGGCGCGGGGGGCTGGGCGGGCAGGAGCCCCGGTGGGGTCGCAGCGCCTGGAAACCTGCTTTAAGGGATGAAACACTGAACCTGAGAGCGGAGCTGGCGGGCCGTGGAGCCGGGCCCCGGGGCTCGGTGCTGGTTCAGACTCCGCAGGCGCCTCCTGCCCTGGCCGCGTGTCCTCACCGGGCCTCGGGGCTGGGGTGGGGGCTCTTCCCGCTGCTGACAGCGCCCACGCGCCGCAGCTTCTCCAGGCCTGTCACAAGGGTGTTTGCTCTGGGGAAGCGCGCAGCCTGGCTTGTTGGAGGCGGGCCTCACGGCGAGGCGCCCAGGCCCGGGCCAGCGCTCCGGGCACTCTCTGGCGGGGCAGAGGCTGGTCCAGAGCAGAGCAGCTCCTTGAAGAGGGGCTGCCAGGGTGTGCGCGGCCAGCGGCGGCCGAGCGCCAGGCCAGGTGGGGCCAAGCCCTGCCCTGCCGAGGCTGGCCCGGCGGTGTGTGCGAAGGGGCTCCCCCAGGGCCCCGCCTGGACGCTGCTGGGGTGGTGGATCCGGGCGCCCCGGGTTCGCAGTGTGACGGGGCAGGAGGCCCGAGGGCCCAGGGGACGGAGGTGTGAAGACGCGTCAGACTTCACCCCGCCTTCCAGGGCAGCGGGGCTGGTGTCAGGCGTCGCCCCAACCCCGCGCAGAGCAGCGCCCGGCCGGTGCCCGGAGCCTGGGCTCCCCCAGGCAGGCGTCGGCGGCCCCGCGACAGGGCCCTGCTGGGCCGAGGCCCCGGCGGCCTCGGGTCCTCCCTCTGCCGCGGCCCTTGGACGGCCCGGGCGGGCCGGGTGCGCCCCGCGGTACCGCGCGGGCCTGTGGCGGCCCGAGGACAGGCCGGGGCGCGGCCGCCCCGCAGAGCTCCCCGCGGGCTGCTGGGCGCGCGGCCTCCCCTCGGGGCGAGGCGGAGGGGCGGCGGCGTCCCCGGCCTCTCCTCTCCCGCGGCGGCTCGCGCCCCCCCGCCCCCCCGCGGGCCGGGCTCCCGGTCCTGGGGCGCCCCTGTCCCTGCGGCGCCCCTCACTTCCAGCCGCGGGAGGCCCCGCCCACCCGCCTGATTGCGCGTTTTCCCGACCCTGCGGCTGATCGGGCCATTCCGCACCAACCGGCCCGGCCGGGCTCCCCATCGGCCCAGTCCCAAGCCGGCCGCGCGCGCGGAGGCCCCGGGCGCCGCCCTAGTGCCGGCCCTGTGCGGCCCTGCCCGGCGCCTCGCCGCCCCTGCCCGCTTGCCGGGCGCGGGCCCTCGCGCCCCACCCGCCTCTGGCCCCCGGCCCCGCCCGCGCCCCCGCGCCCCGGCCCGCTTCTCACCGGCCGGCCGAGCCGCCGTCCCCTCCGGGCCGGGCTCAGGCCTCGCAGCCAGACCCGCCCCGCGGGCGCTGGGGGGGCGCGGGGGCGCGGGGGGGGGGCGCCTGCACGGGCTCCCGCCGCCCCGCCGGGCCAGGGCCGAGGAGCCCCGGGCAACCTGGAAGCCCCCTGGTCTCCATCCGGGCGGCTTTCGCCCGAGCCGACCCGCCCTCCTTGGGGCTCGGCCGCTCCCGGCAGGGTCAGCCCCTCAGGGGACCCCTTGGCCTGGCGCCCCGGGAGCCTTCTGTGTGCGCCAGGCCTGGGCGCCGTGGGGGCCCCGCCCTGGGCTCCCGCCCACACGCGTGTCCTGCCCCGGCTTCCGCTGTCGCAGCGAGGCCACCGCCGGCACCGCAGCCTCCTGGGCTCGCCCTGTCCGCGTCCCCCAGGTGAGCCCGCGGTGAGGGCGAGGCCCGGGGCGGGCGAGCGCAGGCGAAGGGCCTTGCTGCGCGCCGACCAGGTGGCGCCTGTCCCCAGACACAGCCTCCCTGCACCCCGCACCTCCCCGCCGCCCGCCTGCCCTGCCCACCCTCGGGCGCCCCACAGACTCCCGGACTGGGTTGCCGGCCTTGGGGCCTTTGAGGCCTCACTGTCCCGCGGGCAGCGCGGGTCCAGGCAGGGGGCACCTGAGGAAAAGCTAGCAAGCACCCCACCCTCTCCGACCCCGAGCAGGGGGATTTGGGGAAATCTCAGGTCCTCAGGCCCCCAGGCCCGTGTCCGCCTGGGGCTGTGGGGTCCGCTATCCCAGTGAACCCCGCTTTGCAGCTAACACCAGACGATCTGGACGAATTGCTTAAAAATTCTCTATTTTCATGGTAAACGCTCCTCAGGTAGAGACTATAAGTGAGCGAGATTTTCAACATGCGGACACTGGCCCTTGTAGGAAGGGGGCGACACCACTGCCTGCTGTGGGCTCAACAAGGTTGGGGCCTGAGGTTGGGGTGTCTGCCGTCGCTGCGTCCTGCCCCTTCATCCTGGGGCCAGCTCTGTCCAGGGGGCGGCTGCACCCGCTGCGCATGGCCAGGCCTGGGGGCGCACTGCTTGGGGGTCCCATGTGGGAGACCAGAGCATAGGGCTCTTCCCCCAGAGAGCTCCCAGAGTCTCCTGGGGGGCGAGGACCCCAGGAAAGAAGAGCTAACAAGAAGCCGACAAGATCTGGGAGGCGGCCCCCAGCAGCAGGTGGGGTGAGGGGTGCACCTGGGGTGTCAGGGCTACCAGGGCATCAGCTGGTGCTGAGTGAGTGGGGACCAGAGTGAAGTGCCGAAGCGATGTGCGGCAGCATCGGGGCGGGGGACACATGGGGGGCAGCATCGGGGCACAGAGTGGGCAGGGGCATCTGCAGGCCTGCCCACATGCCTTCAGGGCCCCAGGACTGCTCGAAACTGAGTGCTTGGCCTCCTGGTGGACCTGACATGATTTATATTCCTGGAGAGTCAAAATGGCGCTGCTGGCATTTTCACCTTCACGTCTAAAATAAAAGTTTTGGTCCTGAACTCAGCATTTGGCCATCGGGGGGGGGGGGGAGGCCTGAAAGCCCCAACCCTGGCGTGACCCCTTTCCAGGGTGATCTGGGTGGCGCTGCGGGGTCCAGCGCCTGGCCGGTGCCCAGTCCCCTCCGGGGGCGGCGATGTTGACGTGTGTCCCCTCCCCCCAGATGCCGACCTGACTGCCCCTGAAGCCAGCAGCTCCGCCGGCCGCGGGGAGAGGGTCGAGCTCTTCGCCCACGTGGACGAGGGTCTCCTGGGAGGCGAGGCCAGCTACCTGGGCCAGACGCTGGCCCCGGAGAAGGACGAGGCGCTGCACCAGGCCTCCGCCGTGGCCAGCCTGCGGGCGGCGCTCATGAGCAAGAACAGCCTGCTGTCACTGAAGGCGGACGCGCTGGGGGAGGATAGCCCCCTGCTGCTGGAGTACCTGCCCAAGGGCGCCCACTCGCTGTCCCGTAAGTGCGGCCGCCCCACTCCTGTGCGGTGCGCCCCGTTGTCCCAGGAGCCGAGCAGGTGCGGGGGCTGGCGGGCTGGGGGCGGAGGCCCAGCCGGGAGGTCGCAGGCCTCAGAGCCGGGGTCCCAGGCGGGGCGGGGCCGGGGTGGGCGTTGCGGCTGCCCCCAGGCCGGCACGGGCAAGTGAGGGGCGCGGGGACGGCGGCCTCTGCCCCCTGTGCCCGCGGGCCCGCGCAAGGGGAGGCCAGCGCTCCGGAGTGGGCAGGGTCACGTCCGTGCTGCTGGCCACACATGCGTTTCTAGGAGCCGGTCACCGGGTGGACGGCCCGGGCACTGCCACCACCCGCGGCCGGGGCCCGGGGAGGCCCTGCACAGGCGTGGCCAGCCGGGCACCGCGTGCCCAGGGGCCGAGGGACGCTGGTGTGTGGACGCGACGTTTCCTGTGTCCCTGGATGGAGTAAAGGACAAGATGCCGACCAGCTCTGACGTCGGCTTGGAGCCGCCTTTGTTTTCATTTTCACTCTCACTTAAAGGCGGCGTCTCTGTGGCTGCAAGGCCGGTTCCTGCCGGAGCGCTGGAATCGGCCTAATAAAGGCGGAGCGGCCTGAGCAGGTGTCTTCATTGCCTGCGCGGTCTCCCGGCGGGCGGCCCCTGGCGGCAGGGTGGGTGGCCGGGAGCCCCCAGGCCCTTTCCTGCTCTAGAGCGCCCCGTTTCCAGCCAAGTCAAGTCCCAGTGGCTGGAGCGCCCGGGCAACGTGGGGGTGGTGGTTCCTCCAGGGCCCCCTCACTTCAGACGTTCATGTCAGCCCCAGGCCCGGGGTGCAGGGACAGACCAGAGACAGCATTACAGATGGGTGCCTGCTGAGGGCGGGCAGGGCGGTGGGGCGCGGCCAGCGCTGGGCTCCCGACTGGTGCGGGGTCCGGACACTTGTTCTGCGCTTCGGCAGCCACAGGTGTCCGAGAGGCCGGGGCCCTCCGGCCAGCCTGCGTGGCTGCTCTGTCACCGAGGACGCCTGGGGAGGAGCGATGATGTGTTGGGCTCGCCCTGCGTTCGGGCTCGTGCAGCTGTCAGTGCTGGGGTCGGGACAGGCGGGGAGGTGTGGGAGCCCTGCACCCTCCACCGGTGGGCATGGCCCTCGGGTTCGGCTGGCTCGGGTCTCGGGCCTCTCTCTGCCCTGCTGGTGCACATGTGCTCAGGTGAGGTCAGCCGGTGGCTGCCAGACGGTCGTGTCTTTTGGGCCTACAGTTTAATAGAACAGGCCCTGTGACGAGATGGGCTTATTTTAGAAGCGTAAGGTTAGCTTAGTAGTTGCAAAATCAATCCCTGTAATCCACCACATTCGCAGTGAAGGAGAAGACCCCCGCAGTAGTCAGCCCCGGGGTTAATGGTGACTCTGAGGCGGGGCAGGGCCGTCCATCCTTACCAAGGACACAGTCAACCCCCTGAGGGTGTTAGGTGGCTGAGAGACCCCACAGGGCCCCGCATGTAAGGAAAATGGCTTTTATTTGCAGATGACATGATCATGCATATAGAAAACCCAGAATAATGTAGAAACTGTTAGAGGCAGTGAGCAAAGGTGCCGTGCACAGCAGTCAGTGTGTCTTGTGTGCCAGAGCCAGACAACAGAAGGGAAGGTGGCACCGAGTGCAGGGAATAATCAAGCAGCTGGTGCAGACCTCCCTTCAGAAACTACTAGGAGACTAATGTCCCGCAAACTGATGTTGCGAGACGTTAACGTGGGAGAGGATGACAGACGCTGTACTATGGCCGTGGAAGAGAAGACTTGATGTAAGCTCTCGGCTCCTCCCAGGACGGTGGGGTCAGTGCAGTGCCGCGTCAGGGCCCACTGGGCTCTAGTGTGGTGGACTAGCTCCTTTGAATGTGTTTGGAGAGGCAGAGGCCCAGCATGGTGTCAGGGGCCCTGCACTTGTCTTATTTGGATATTAGGACACATGTAGCATGGAAACCAGTCATTGAGGGGCAGCTTATGCCCAGGCTCCTAGAAGCAAGAGGTGCTGCCAGGCCACTGAGGGGCACTGGGGTCAGTTGGGAGCCTGGCCAGGAGCAGCTTCCTTCAGGAAGGAACGGGAGGCAGAGCAGGCAGGCTGAGAGTGGCTGTTTGGGACACTTGCAGCTCTGGGGCACAGGGCTGATCCTGGTCCCGGGGAACATGGGCAAATGGGGTGGAACCCTGAGTGCGGGAACTGGACAGAGGTGGTCAGGGGTGGACTCACCACCTTCACAGACAGTGTCCTTATAATGTCTTGGAATTGACCAGCTGTGGAGGTCGGTCCCTGCTCTGGGCCAGCAAGGACTTTGGCCGGTGAGCTTCAGGACGTGATAAAAGGCACAAACACTAGGACAGTGGAGGTGATCTGTACGGGAAGGAGCATGGGAGCAGCGACTGACTTGAGGAGCTGTGGTGGCCACATGTCTGTGGGTCAGCAGGGGGCAGTCTTTTCAACAGTGGTTCTAAGTTATCAGCTATCCCAGGGTAGAGCTGGGCCTTGACCCCTGCAAGGAAGTTAATTTCGCCTGGGTCATGGCCTGGATGTGAAAAGCCCAGCCCCGGAAGGCCTGGGGCACTGGCCTGGGCATCGTGGCAGGAGTCCACGTAAAGCACTGTGGTGGGAGACTGGCGGGATGGACTTCACCAAGATGGTTCATTTCCTCACTAGGAAACCATTGAGAGTGAAGGTCACAGACGAGGGCAAATGCATCTGATACAGGACTCAAGTCAGAATCCATAGAACCAAAGGAAAAAAACCCACAAAGGAAAAGACACCTTATGAGCCATGGGGGAGGCTTGGGAGGACGACGTCCCTGGCTGTGGGCCGGGCAGGTGTGGGCACCCCAGCCGCCAACCTCCCCCGGGGCCGAGTGCCAGGTCCGGCCCATGGCCCACACAGGGCCCCACAGAAACAGCAGAGATGAGCTCTGTTCCCCCAAGACACACCTGAGGCACCACAGCCCCACGCCTCAGTCCAGGGCCCACCAGCTAAAGATCCACGCCGGCCCCGCCCTCTGTGACCCCAAAACAGGCCCGGCGGGCAGCTGGGAGGCCCCTGGGTGAGAGCAGCCCAAAGCCCAAGCACCCACACCAAGGGCTGCAGCAACACCGCGCCCATACACAGGGCAGAGCCCCCCGAGGACGGGGCAGTCTGGTTCTCGCTGGGCACAACCAAGAGACCTCGGGGTGCAGGAACAGCAGGGGGTTGTGCAATGGGAAACAAAGGTCGCTGTGGCCACAGGGGTGGCCCCTCACCCAGCTAGTGCCCGCCAGGAGCACAAGCAGAGCGCTGGCCAGTGGGGATGCCCCTGCCGGTCCCTGAGCGGTAGTGGTTGGGGGCGCCAGTTAACAGCTTTTGTGTGGGGTTGGACGACTCGGATAAGCAGCTCCTTGAGGCGTCAGGCTGGGCACTGGGCTCCCTCAGGCGGTGGGGAGACGCGCCCCTGCCAGGGCCACCCGGCCGCAGGCTTGGATCCTTCAGGGGGCTGCAGCCAGGCGCCCGCTGGACCAGTTTTCAGTCCCGTGGCTGGTCGGGCCATGTGGCACCAAGCAGCTCGGAGCTCGCTGGTGACTGGCCCCTCCTGGGGTCCAGCACCCCGCGGGGAAGGGCCGCTGCGGGGCGCCCCGGGGCCGCCGGCCGCAGCTGGCCCACGAGAGGCTGCGGGGCTGCTGGGCCCAGCGTGAGGCGGGGCTGCGCCCTGGGGCTCTCGGGGTCGCCCTAACTCGTCAGGTGCGTCCCTGCCTGAGCGCCCGCAGCCCGGCCGGCTCCGCCAGACGTTGCTGGCGCGAGGAGCGCGGGGCGCCGGGACCCCAGTGCGTGCCCCGGGCGTCCTGCCCCGCGGGCCTGGCCGGGCCAGCTGACCCTGGCGGGCTGCCCTTGTCTGCGGGCGCCGTCTGGCCAGGGAAGCGGCTCGGCGCGGGTGGGACCTGCCCCTGCGGGCCCGGGCGGGGCGCGTGACGGGTCGGGGAGCCGGGTGCCCGCTGTGTGCCCCGGGCCGGGCCAGCCCACCCGCCCGCCGGCGCCGAGCTCGAGTCCTCCCCGGGGTCTGCGCCCGTCGGGTCTCGGGGCGTGCGCGGCGGGGCCGGCGGGTGCGGGCGGCAGGCGCGAGGGGGCCCCCGGGAGCGGCTGGCCGGGCCCGCGGGGTGTAGGGAGGGCGGGGCCTGTCCCCAGGGCGCCCCTCGGGCTCTTGGGGTGCGCCGCCCCTTGCCCGACGGGGTCCCGCCGCGGGGCCGACGCCGTGCACCCGGGAGCCCCGGCCGCCGCCGCGGGCAGGTGCTCCGAGCACGGGGCCCCGCCGGGTGCGGTGGGCCAGGGCGGGCCCGGGGCACCTGCTGCGGCCCCGGCTCCCTGTGCCCCGAGGGCCAGGGCTCCCAGCCCGACCTCCGGAGCCGGCCTGTCTTAGGGGCGCGTTCTAAAAAGGGGGGTCGTCGGGGCCCGCGTCCCCCCGCGGGCAGCTCTGGGCCCCGCGCCGTCCGCAGGGCGCCGGCTCCTCGCCGGGCGCGGGGCGCGGGGCGCGGGGCGCGGGGCAGTGACCCGCCTGTGCCCTCGCAGTGAACGAGTTCACGGTCATCAGGAAGAAGTTCAAGTGCCCCTACTGCAGCTTCTCGGCCATGCACCAGTGCATCCTCAAGCGGCACATGCGCTCGCACACGGGCGAGCGGCCCTACCCCTGCGAGATCTGCGGGAAGAAGTTCACGCGGCGCGAGCACATGAAGCGGCACACGCTGGTGAGGGGCGGGGCCGGGGCGGGGCTGTGGGCGGGGCGGGCCGGGCGGGGCGGGGCCTGGCGGGCGGGGCGGGGCCTGGCGGGCTGGGGCGGGGCCGGGCCTGGCGGGCGGGGCGGGGCTGTGGGCGGGGCCGGGGCGCGCGGAGGCCGGGGGTGCCGACCCGGTGGTCTGGGCCGGCAGGTCTGACTCCCCCAGCGCCCAGTTCGGCCAAGCCTCGCCCCCTTCTGGCACCTCCCAGGCCCCGCTCTGCAGCGGTGGGCTCCCCGCCCGTGTGGTAGAGACCCCCCCAGACGCAGGCCCGCGTTAAATCAGACTTAGAAAAAGCCTTTCCTCGCGGGCGGGCGGGCGGGCGGGCGGGCGACTGTCCCCCTGCAGGGAGCAGCCCCGGGAAGGGCTGATAAGGGTTTTTGAAGCCAAAAATCGCACCTGGGAGTTTGCAGCTGCCGCAGCAAGCGGGGGGACAGAAGCCAGACTGTGCTGTTACCCGCAGTCCAGCGTTTCCCCACGTCCATGTTTGTTTGTGGCGGGAACCGGCCCCTATTGGCCTGGCCTGGAATTTTCCCACAGCCCTAGCTAGTCCTCCTGAGAGCGCCCAGCTTAGGCCTTGCGCGGTCGGCGACATTCCGCATTGCCCCCATTTCACATCCCCTCTCGGCGGGGGTCACACTGACACCCCAAGTTTCGTTTGGACCTGGAGGCCTGGGGGGGCCTAGCATGCTGCCCACAAAAGCCGCTCTCGCAGGCCACCAGCCGGGGTTTCTCCTGGCTCTGGCGACCTCAGCACCTCTGGGGGCTGTCACCCACGTGCAGACGGGCTGGGAGGCCGGGGTGCTACGGCTCGCCCCCAGTCCTGTCTCCTGCCCAAGACATGGGCCTGGCAGGGCTCCCCAGGCCTCAGACCAAGGAGGGGCCTCTGCCTCCTTGTGGGACAGCCCAGCTCTCAGCCCCAGAGGGCCAGGCCCTGAGAGTCCCTCTGACTCTATGTTCTGTCTACCTCCCGCCTCTCTGTCCCCACTTGCCTCCGTCCCCCACCGACCACCCTATTCCCAAACATCATTTGCCTCTGCCTGCTTGCTCCCCGCCCCCGTGTCCCTGCCTGCCTGTCCCCATAGGTCCACAGCAAGGACAAGAAGTATGTGTGCAAGCTGTGCAGCCGGGTGTTCATGTCGGCGGCCAGCGTGGGCATCCGGCACGGCTCACGGCGGCACGGGGTGTGTGCTGACTGCACGGGCCGGGGCGCGGCAGGACCCCTGGACAGTGGGGGCGCCGAGGGCTCCCCTGAGCTCTTCGCGGGTGACGGGCCCTACCTGGAGGACCCCGATGACCCACGCGGGGAGGGCGAGGAGGACCTGGGTGAGGAGGAGGAGGAGGACGGGACCAAGTGGAAGGAGGACGTGGGGCTGGCCCAGGAAGACGCACTGATGGACGACAAGGATGAGGAGGACTCCCCTGGGGGTGCCCACAGCCCCGCCGGGACCCCAGACAAGGACTTTGCCTGGATCTCTTAGGGCCGTGTCCGCCGTACCCGCCCCTTGGGGTCCCTGCCCACCAGCAGGGCAGGCTGACCCCTCTCGCAGCCCCACCTCCGGGACCCCTTTACTGTGCGCCCTCCCTGACACACACTGGCTAGTGAGCACTGGGAGGGGCTGCCTTGGTGTCTGGGTCTGGTCTGAGCACCTGGCTCAGCCCTGCCCGTCTGCAGGGCGGTGCCCGAGGGCAGGGTGACCCTGTGGCCACGTCAGGCCACCTGGTCGGGTGCCCAGGGGTCCTGAGACCTCACTCCGGGGTGCTGACTGCCAGGGGAGCCGTGGCCGGCCAGAACTGAGGCCGCCCTCCCCGCCTGTCACTGCCTGCCCCACACCCTGGTGGCCAGCAGAGCCCAGGTGCCCGTCCTAAAGGCCTGCCACCCCTGGTGCTTCCACCCCGCTGCAGAGGCCCTGCCAGGGCCAGGTGCTACCTGTCAGGGGCCAGCGGCTGCCCCCCAGGCCCACGCCACCTCAGGCTGGCTCTCTGCTGGGTGCACTTCCTCCGGCACCCGGGCCGCCTCGTGCTGCTAACGCTGGGCCCGTTACCTGCTGCTCCCCGCCCCCCGGCCACCCGTGTCCTCAGCGGTCCGAGGCCCGAGTTCACTGGTGCGACGGTGCACCTGGAGGGACGTCCTGTCATGGCCGACCTCCCCCCTGGCTGAGCCGAGTCAGGGCGACACTGCCCACCTGTTGATGGTGCCCTCCCGGGCCAGGGAAGGGAAGCCCGCAGCCGGCTGTGTGAGCGGGGCCCCCCGCGGCCCGTGCCCATGAGCCTGCTCCCACACGGGCGGCCTGGGGCCTGGCAGGAGGCCCCACGTCCACTTTAAAGAAAGCCACGTGTGCGGTGTGAGGCGCGGCGTCCGGACAGCACCGCCCTGGTTCGTGCTGACCCCCCGCCGCTGGGCTCTGGGAGGTGGGCCACGCGCTGGACACGCTCGCCCGGCTCTGGCCAGTGAGGACCCCGGTCCCTGCCCCCCCCCCAGCCCTTTTCTAAACAGACTTTGGTAGACGCGCTGCTGACCGGACCTCTGCTCCCGGGCCTCCGGCTTGGAGCTCGCGCCTCTCAGGCCGTCCTGCCCGCGCCCGGGCGTCTCGCTGTCTCCGACCCCCGGCTCCTCCCCACTCCAGGCCACCCAGGTTAACCTTTTGGGGGTCGCTGTTAGTGCCACAGGGGCGTCTCTTCCTCAAGCCGGCCTGCGCGGGGGCCGCGTCCCGCCCGCGCCCTCCGCTGCGCCACCTCGCCCGCCCTGGGGTCCGGCTGGGGGCCTCGCACCACGGCTGGGCCTGCGGGGGCGCGGTGAACGGAGGGCTTTTTTATGTGACTGATTTTTTTTTAAATCGATGCTTAATAAATATTTTTTTACGAAGAGGAAAGTGTAGATTACCTGTCACATTTTGTACTGTTGCGTGTCTGCATCTTGGCGTCTGTAGCCCGAAGCGGAGGGGACGTCCCGGGGTCCTCCCGGCGGTGGCCTGCGCGCCGGGGCCTGTCGTCCCCGCTGGGCTCCGGGAGGTGACTCGGGACCCTGCTGCTCCCCAACTTTGTACACCTTCGTTTTTAAAAAGAAAACCGAGAAACTGGAACTCTGCTGTCGGGGAAGGCGGCACCTCGCAGCCCCGCGGCACCGGCTCGCCAGGGAAGCCGCCTCCGCGCCGCCGCCTGCTGCTGGTGGGGTGCTCCGCGTGCTTCCCTCGCTTATTTATTTTCTCAACAGGCTTTCAAGCTGTCGGCAGACGAGGCAGTGTCCGAGACTGTGGATTTTTCCTGGGAATAATCGATATTATATTGACTTTATATTAATGATTATACGCCTGTGTTTGTATTGGAGATGTGTTTAATATTGGGGGTCATTTGGGGGTTCACGGCTCTCCTGTCCGCTTCTCTGTAGGCACGGGGTGGAGACCGCCGGCCCCACTGGTGCCCGTTCTGGCTGCGGGGCTGGCTTAGACACTCGGCAAAGCGACCACTTCAATAAAGCGGAGACTCCAGCTTGCGTGCGGCCTGTGTGTTTTCCGCGGACAGGGCCTCGGGGCCGCCGGGTGCCCCGGCCCTCGGTGGCCTGTCGCCGGCTTCCTGCTTCCCGCGTCCTCCCCCACAGAAGACAGACACAGCATCTGGAAAATCCATCAACCTTTGCTATTCCTCTTCGCCTGGGGCAGCCCAGATGAGACCCCTGAGCTCGCGACGGGGCTCGAGGGAAGTGAGGCAAGGTGGGCACGGAAGAGGGTGCAGAAGCCCCGCCTGGCCCAAGAGCACCCTCGACGAGGCCGCGGCCTGGCAGGCAGAAGGGTGGCCACCTGGGGGGACCCAGTGGCCCAGGGGACGAGCTGCATGGTTTGGCTTCAGTGCAAGAGGCTGGTATCTTCAGCGGCCCTGGTCAGGCCTGACCCCCGCTGTCAGCACACCTGCGCCAGGAGCCCGGCCCGAGTCCCCGGGTTCGTTCAGCCCAGGAAGAGGGGAGAGCTGATCTCCATAAAGAAGCTGGGGGGGGAGCTGTGAGGGTGGGGGCCGCTCAGCCCAGGAAGCGCTGGCATGCCTTCTTCCAGCGGCAGGCGGTGCACCACAGGCCGTGGCCCTCAAGCTGTATACCTTCCGGCACTTCCTGGCTTCACCTCGGGGCTTCCTGGGGTCACACGGGGGCCGGGAGGTAAGGGTGGGCTGGGACCCTCCCTGCCTGGCACCTGCCTCCTCAACACATGCACCTCAGGCTGGCACCAAACTTGCTGGGCAGGGCCGGTGCGCAGGCCCTGACCGCGGGGGGTGGCAGCGGCTCCGGGGGCCCAGGCTGCTCCAGCAGGGGCAGGGCGGGCGACGCCGAGGCCCGCAGGGATCAGGCGGGACAGCCCGCCGGGCAGCATGGCCGGCTCCATGAGGTATCAGTCCTCGCCAACACCCTGCTCGGGCTCCACCTGCGGGGACACAGCCAGGAGCTGGGGGCCCGAGGTGGGCACCCCCCACCCTGCCGGCCCCACCGCACCCCAGGTGCCCCCGGCGGATGTGTCTGCATGCCAGAGGCCGGCCGCAGCACCTTCCCGCAGCACTTCCACGGACACTGGGACAGCATGGGCTGGCAGCTCCGGGAGACAAGGGTGGGGTCAGGACCGCCCAGGCTCACCTTCCTCTTCCCCAGGGCAGGCTCCCCAAGCAGGAAGCGGGCTGCCTCAGTGGGCAGCGGGGGTGTCGGGGTGGCAGGGGAGGGCTGCTCCCTGGCCGGGTCCCAGTCCCAGGCTCCGCGGCCGCCCGCTGTCCGCACCAGGGCCTCCATCCAGGGCTCCACGCCGGGCCCTGCGGGACACAACACGGTCATTCGGAACATGCGCACACGGCGGCCTCCAGGCATCCTCACCCCAGCCGCCGTCCACCCGCTGACAGCGAGCCGGTGGGAGCGGCAGCCGCTTCCTGGCGGGAAGGACAGCACAGAAGTCCAGCCAGGTGGAGTCAGCCAGGGGTCAGCGGCCGGGGCCCAGGCTTGGCCTCAGGGGGCCGCTCTAAGTGTCAGTGTTTGGAAGAGAGCGGCTGGGTAAGGGACACGCAGCTTGAGGGTAGCTCGAGGGTCTTGGGGGAGCAGGTCCTGCCCCCACCCCTACCCCGCCTGGGCCAGGCCTCTCAGCCTCACCTGGACTGAAGGCTGCAGCGGGGACCCCTGGCAGGAGGGGGCTGGTGGACAGGCTGGTGAGGGCTGCGGCAGCCATGACCTCCTCCAGCAGGGCCTTTCCTGGGGGGTTCTGGGGGATGGGGAGAGCTTGGGTGGGGCTGGCAAGTACTCCAGGCCCCTCCCTCGCCCCGCCCCATGTGCAGGCCCAGGCAGGTGTGGACACAGCCTCCCTCACCCAGGCACTGGCCTCTGGCAGGATGCCCAGCTCCACCCAGCTCTCGGGTTCAGAGCCCCAGGTCCCCAGGAACCACAGGAACAGGGTCTGGGCCCGGGTCTCCCTGACCGGCGTCCTCTGCAGCCACATGCTCCTCCAGACCTCCAAGCTGGACGGGCCCCACCGGCGGTGCCAGGCCCTCCCTCCCCCAAATCACACTTTAACCAGGGTGGAGCAGCGGCAGCTGTGGGCCGCGCCAGGCCGGGAGGACGGAGCTCCCGGGGGACGGGGCTGCGAGCAGCTGCCAGTGCCCAGGCTCCCGCGGGCAGGGCCAGAGCGCCCTGCCCCACGCGCCAGCGGGCTGTCCGGCGCCCAGAGGGCGTCAGGCGGGCGGGGAGACGCGGCCAGAAGCCCGAGGTCGGGGCCGGCTCTTCGGCTCTTCGGGGTGGAAGCGGAGTCGCGGCCCCAGGCCGGGGGCGGGCGCAGGCGCCCCATCTCCGCTCCGCTCTGCCGGGGCTGCGGGGCGGCCGAGCGCGCGCCCCCACCCCGCCCGCCCGCCGGCACGAGCGCGCCCACAGGCCTGCAGGCCCGGCCGGCTCCCCTGTGCGCGGGCGCCCCGGCGGGCCCTGGCGGCGTCTGGGGTCCGGCCGCCGCCGCCCACGTCCGTGGAGCCCCGAGGCCCGCGGCCTGCAGCTCCGGCTGCACCCGGCCCAAGCCCACCGCCCGCGGCGGAGCCCCGCAGAGGCCGCGGCCGGGGCACCGCAGCACCCCCGCACCCGCTGGGCTTCGGCCCCCCAATCCCGCAGCGGTTGGCGCCCACGCGCGCCCCGCCGGCCCCACGGACAGGCCGGCCCGACGCGGGCCCCGCCCCAGGCCCCGCCCCAAGCCCCGCCCGAATTCCCGCCCCGGGCCCCGCCCCAGGCCCTGCCCGAATTCCCGCCCCGGGCCCCGCCCCGGGCCCCGCCCAATTCCCGCCCCAGGCCCCGCCCGAATTCCCGCCCCGGGCCCCGCCCCAGGCCCCGCCCCAATCCCCGCCCCGGGCCCCGCCCGAATTCCCGCCCCGGGCCCCGCCCCAAGCCCCGCCCGAATTCCCGCCCCGGGCCCCGCCCCAGGCCCCGCCCGAATTCCCGCCCCGGGCCCCGCCCAATTCCCGCCCCAGGCCCCGCCCGAATTCCCGCCCCGGGCCCCGCCCAAATTCCCGCCCCAGGCCACGCCCCAGGCCACGCCCTAATCCCCGCCCCGGGCCCCGCCCGAATTCCCGCCCCGGGCCCCGCCCCAGGCCACGCCCGAATTTCCGCCCCAGGCCCCGCCCCGAGCGCACCGATTGGCTCGCGCGCCGAATCGACACGCCCAGGGGCCCCGACGCGCTCCCATTGGCCCGCGGCGCCGCGGCTCCCCGGGGGGCTGCCGGCCGCGGGTTGCTCGGCCGCGAGCGCCCCCGCCCCGCGCGCCGAGCCCTCCCTGCCGCCCCGGGCCCGCGGTCCTCTCGGGGAGCGCCCCGCGGCCCCCCGCGACCCCTACGGCGACTCGCCGGGGCCCCGCCCGCGAGGGCCCCCCGCCGCCGACGTCCCGGGGAGGGGAGTCCGCGCGCAGAACCCCCGACCCCTCCCGGGCCTTCCGAGCCGCGGGCGCCGGCCGTGCCCCCCCCCCCCCCCCGGGTGGGAGCCGCGAGAGGCCGGGGCGGCCGGGACCCCGCAGGCCGGCTGCCCTGGCGCTGAAATGTGTGTTGCCAGGGTGCGCGCGTCTGGGGGGCGAGGGGCTGGGGTTGGGGCTAGCCCACCCTGGAGGAAGGGCACGCAGGGCAGCGGGGTTTGGGGACCCTGCCTAGGTGGTGAAGGGGAAGCCGGGGAGCTGCGCCAGGCAAATGCCGCTCAGGCCGGGCAGGGGCTGGGCGGCCAGGCCCGGCCCCGTGCCCCAGCAGCTGCCCTGCGTCGGGGTTCCCGGGCTTCCTCTGGGCTTGCTGACCCTGGAGTACAGGGTGTCCACCTGGAGCAGGAAGGTCCGGGGCGAGCGAGCAGCCAGGACCTCTCTGCCACGCTCACCCCAGCCCGCGGTGAGGTCACCTGGGCCTTCCCCCACTGCAGACCTCAGGGCCCAGGTCTGTGCCTCGAGCTTCTGAAGGCAGGTGACCACACGCGCTTGGCTCTGGCATGGCGGGAGGGCAGCCAGACCCCTGCCTACTCCGCGGGGCTGGCTGCCAGGCTGGCCCAGGGGACAGCAGTGAGGCCCACCCTGGAATAGGTGGCTTCAGGGACGCTGCACAACCCAGGGCAGCACCAGCTGCAACGAGGCCGCCACGGGCATCTCCAGTGGCTCTGGCAGTGGCCGTGGTAGCAGGTCCCTGCTGACAGGCTGCGGGCTGAGTGGGTCAGGGCAGCGGTCACTCGTGGCAGGAGCCAGCCACATCCCCACCCAGCTACCCCGTCCCTCCCACCCAGCTCTGGGGGGCCAGGGCGGCTCCTGCAGCCTGCGGTGGGACTTGCTGAGGGAACAGAGGTGGGGTCATCCCCTGCTGGTCCCATCCTGGCCCTGGGGACACCCTGGTACACACCACTGACACTGTCATCTCAACCCCCCAAGTGGCCTCGGTGCCCACTTCCTGGGGGCAAGAGGAGGCAGAAATGGGGTGCAGGGACGTCGCTGGCAAGACACGGGAGGGTGGCCCCACATCTGCCGGGTGCCCGCCACTCTGGCCACAAGTGTGAAGGCCATGCCCTGGGCGGGGACAGAGCCACCTGCAGCAGGCAGTGCACAGCACCCACAGCCAACGGTGCAGGCCATGCCGCCAGGGGGTCAGCGTGCCATGGGGACCCCATGCCGCCAAACAGCAGACTGCGGAGAAAGATGGGGCCCTGGGCCAGCTCAGGAGCAGGCCTCTCCCTGCGGGCCCACTTCTGCACCCCACACCGCCTGCCCAGCCCCTCCCTCTGGGCGCTCTGTCTCAGCTCATAGGAAACCCTCCCTCCAAAGCCCCTTCCCCACCCCTCAAGGCTGGGGGGGGGCGGCAGGGCTGGGGGCTCTGGTGAAGCTGGCCTCCCCTCCAGTGCTTGCTGGTAAGGGTGACCCAGGTAAGGCCAAGCTTGGTTCACGAGGGCTGGGCAGCTGTACCCGAGCACAGGCCCACTGTGGTCAGTGCAGCCCAAACCCGACACGTCACCTGCAGCCAGGGCTGGGGGGCCTCGGCCCCCCCCCCAGAGGTCGGGCCACAAGGGGCTGGGAAGGTCCTGGCTGCTGCCCCTACCCAGGAGTCCTTCCTCCAACCGTGCTGGGCCTGTGCGCGGCAGGTGGGGCAGGGCCCAGCAGCACAGAGGTGGGGCTGGCTGCCCTTCAGGCTGGCTAATGTGGTGATCTGGTCCTCCCAGACCCCAACCTTCTGCTGCCCCAAGAGGGGCACAGGGGCCCAGCCAGCGGGCAGAGCAGGTGCTCACTAGGCCACGGGCTGCCCACCCCCGGCCGGGGCAGGTGGGGCGGGGCCGCCTAAAGGAGCAGCCCTGCAGCAGCTGCACCCGCAGGAGCCACCACCCGCTGGGCCTGGCACCGCCCCGGCCGCCTCTCCCAGCCAGGGAGCGCTGGGTGCCTGCTCCTCAGCACGCCCCGAGGGACACCCGGGCAGATGCTGGCCCGTGAGGCCTTGGAGCAGCCGGAGCCCGGGCTGGGCACGAGGGAGGGGAGAGAGTCCGTCTCCAGACCCTGCCCGCCGCCCGGCAGAGGCCCCCCAGACAGCAGAGATGCCGGACACGGTAACAAAACCACTTTAATGTCCTTGACGCGGACGCCCCCACGACACTGGCGGGGGACCTTGATGGCAAGTAAGGTCCAGCAGTGACCTCTGCAGCTCCGCCTCCGCTCAGTAGAGTCCACGCCCCGGGCGGCATGAGGCTGAGGTCAGCGGGCCTCTCTGAAGGCAGCGGGCCCTGCTGGGCACCCCTGGCCGGGGGCCCTAGAACTCGGTCATCTTCTTGTGGGTGTCCGCCGTCCTCTGCTCCCGCTGCAGGCCTGCCTCCTGGGCCCGGAGCTGCCCCAGCAGCCGCTGGGCCCCTGCCAGCCGCTCCTGCAGCCGGGCTGCCGTGACACTGTGCCTGGGGAGGACCCGCACGCGTGGGGCCACGGCCATGCACCAGGGCTGCAGCCCTGCCCCTACCCGCCCGGCCAGGGTGAGGCGCTGCCTGTGCCCCAGGCCCAGGCCCCGCCCCTCGGGCCTGCCCCTACCCGCCGGCGTTGCGGGCCAGGGCCTCCTGGATGCCCCGGATGTCCCGCTGCGTCTGCTCCACCTTCTGCTGCGTGTGGAAGAGCCGCAGGTTCAGGGCCCGGCGGGAGCGCTGATCTGCGTGGTACACCTCCTTGCCGCTCTTCCTGCCCGCAGGTGCCACTGCCGCCTCCGGGGCGCCAGGTGCCGGGCCCTGCAGCTTCTCATTGAGGAAGTCAAACACGCTCCGAGGGGGTGGCCGGCCCCCGGGCCCACCCCCGCGCCCCCTGCCTGCCGGGGGCCGCGGGGAGCCAGCCACACTGGGCCTGGGCCTCCTCTGCAGGATGGCAGCGCACTGGTCCAGTGACTTGCCCCGAGGCAGCACCACGGCGTGCACCGGCTCCACCCGCCCGTCAGCGTGGCGGCCTAGACCTGGGGACACAGGGCAGCACTGCCAGGCGGGCACCCTGGGCCAAGCGCAGGCACCCCCACCCGCCACGCGGCGCACACTCACCCTTGCCAGGCTCGTAGCCCATCTTGGCAAGGAGCCGGGAGCCAATGCCCCGTGTGTGCACCTCCCAGCCGCCGAAGGCGGAGCTGCAGGTCCCGCTGGAGGCGTCACTGGGTTCCACCACTGCAAAGGCAGGAAAGTGACTGGGGCGCCGATGACAGCTCTGGGCCCCACGCGGTCCTGGATCTCCATGGACTGCCCAGCAGACCCGGCATGTCACAGGCTCAAGGCAACTCCCGTGGTCGCTCCAGGGTTCCCGACCCAGGCTAAGAACAGACACCAGCCCCATCCGCTGGGCTCCCGCTCCCCCCTTCAGAAGCCACCAGCTCCGGAACAGACCCCTCCCTGCCGTGGCCACATCCCAGCTTCTGCGGCGCCACAATCGCGTCTCCCCCTCCAATCTGGGCCGCAGGGATCTCTGACTGCCCCCGATGCCCTGCTGGCTCTCCCCTCCCCTCCTGCCAGGAGAGCTCCCAGCAGCCAGGCCGGGCCCTGGGCAGCACAGCGCTCACCTCTGGCATAGCTGGAGTCGTCTGCATCGCTGCTGTCCGAGTCCGAGGGCCCCGTGGGCTCCGTGCGCAGAGGGGGCAGGATGCCATCTCCCTCCACCACAGCCTCCTTCAGCAGCAGCGAGTCAAACCGGACGGTGTAGTAACCACCGTCCACATCTGCAGCAGGAAACAGGTAGGCCGTGGCTTGGCGGCCTCCCGGGGCAGGAGCCGCCATGAACACGGGGCAGGCGGGCGGGGGGGGGGGGTTCCGCCCCCGGGACCGAGTGGGGTCCTGCGCCCCACATAGGCTGGGGAGCAGGGGCACGCCGGTGGCCACAGGGCCACGCAGGCTCACCAGTGATGCGCGCTGGGTGCCAGAGGCCGTCCTGCTGCTTGGCCAGACACGCGGAGCCGGCCTGCAGGGAGCTCAGGTCGGGGTCCTGGAAGGGGCGCAGCTCGTCCACAGAGACCACCTGTCCGTGGGAGAATCTGTGGGAAGATGGGACTCAGTCAGGGCCGGCAGGGGGGACCGGAGCCCAAACGCCCGCTGTGGGCCCGCCTGAGGGGATGGCAGCTCCCGAGGCATCTCATCCGGCCCCTGCTTTTAGGGCTAAAGGGGTGGGGCGGGGCCCAGAGCCAGGCCCGGCGCAGACACCACAGTCAGCGGGGCAGGGTACGGAGTGCGCGCCGAGACAGCAGGACACGGGCTGCGGCCCAGCCCCTCCACAGGGGAGGGCACGGCGGGAGGCCCACGGCGAAGAAGGTCGGCTCTGCCCCACAGGAGTGCCTGAGGCCTGGCCTTCACCCCGCCGGGCAGGGAGGCTCAGCGGGCAGGGGTGGGGGGCGTGCCCACGCCCCACGGCAGGCAGATGGCCCGAGAGTCCCTCGCAAGGCTCCTCTTCAGCGACCGTGCGCGGTGCTGCCGCTCCCCCGGGGGGGATGGGCCGTGAGGAGGCGCGAGGAGGGGTCGTGGGGCAGGTGGTGGCTGTGCAGGCGAAGGGAGGAGGTCACGTCGGGGCAGCGTGGGGCGGGTCCTGGGGTGGCTGGTAGAGCTGCAGCCCCCCCGAGCAGGGACCGGGCTGCTGCGGTCTACGCCTGCGTGCCCCACGCTTGCCTCACCTGACGAGATAAAGGGCCCGCTGTGTGCCTGCCAAGTGTCAGGGGGGCCCCGCATCCCCCAGTCTGCCTCAGGGAGACGGGGCAGAGATCGGGGACCCTGAGCAGGGAAGACACCCTGTCCTGCCAGCAACCAAGGAAGCCTGGGGTGCTGCAGGCCACTCCCCCAGCTCTCGCGGGGCGCAAACCCACGTCAGATGCTACGTGCACCCCCACAGGCAAGACCTAGATGGCGGGGGAAACAGGCCCTGCGGGAAACTGACGCCAGCTCCCCCCCTGCAGCCGCCCAGCGGCCCAGGCACAGGCTGGGGACGGACGGGGACGGGCTGAGCAGTGTGGGCTCCCACGGGGAACGCGACGCGGAGGGGAAGGGAGGCAGCTGTCCCGGTCCTGCTACCAGGGCCTGGTGACCGGCGCATGGGCAAAGCCGGCTGGAAGCCGCCAGCGGTGCGGGGCCGCTCACTGAGACGCGGGCACACGGCACCACGCGCGGCCCCCGCGTCTGAGCCACCGATGCCCCGGAGACACGGACGGGACAGTGGGGGTCAGGGCAGACACAGGGAAGTGCCCCCTGAACACAGCGGGGAGGCGGTGTCCCCAGGGCCGGCAGCTGTGCCCTGATGGGGTGGGGGCGGGGAGACGGGCTCCGGACCCCGCAGGACGGGGAGCCAGACCTTCCAGCACCCAGTCACCTCAAAGACAAAGTATCTACAGGAGAGTTCCACCCTCCTCCCCGAAGCCGTGGAGTGGGGGCGGGCCGCAGCGGCAGACGTGCCGGCCTGCGCCGGCGGGCGGTCACCCCAACCCCGCGCGGCTAAGGTGGGGCCCCAGAGGGAGCAGGGTCACCCAGGGCCTCGGTGCGGGCAGCGGGGTGCGGGCAGGAAGCGCCGGCCCGGCCGGTGCCCGGGGGAAGGCCCGGGCCAAGGCCAGGAGGCTCGGGCAGGCAGGCCCATCCCGCCGGGCGGCCGCCCTTCCGACTCCCCGCCCCAGCGAGCCCCGCGGCCCGGCCGGCGGTTACCTGCAGTTCTCCTTGAAGCGGCACTTCCCCTCCAGGAAGAACGGGCAGGGCTTCAGCGCGGCGTGCGTGGGGTACAGGCAGAGCACCCGCGCGCCGGCCGCGCCGCCCTCGGCCTCGGCGGCGCCCACCACCATGGCGTTGTGGTACTCCAGGGCGCCCCAGGCGCTGCGGAAGGGCGCGCTCACCTTCCGCCCGCTCCGCGCCGGCTCCTCCGCCGCCCGCGGGGCCTCCCGGGCGGGCCCAGGGCTGCCGGGGGCCTCCCCGGCTTGGGGCTCGGGGCCCGGGGCCGCGGGGTCCGGCGCGGCCCCGGGCTCGGCCTCCGGGAGGGCCGGGCCGTCCGCGGCGCCCGGCGCGGCCGGCGGGCGGCTCCGGCGCACGGACAGCAGGCTGGCCTCGGTCAGCGCGATCAGCTCCTGCAGGTCGCCGCGCAGCCGGCGCAGGTCGGCCAGCTCCGCGGGGTCCGGGCCGGCGCGCAGGGCCCGCTCCACCTGCCGCAGCTGCGCGTCGTGCGCCCGCAGGGCGGCCCGCAGGCTGGCCTCGTCCATGCCGGCCGGCGGGCGGCCCGGCGCTGCGGGGGGCGGCGCGTGAGCCCGCGCCCGGCGCCCCGGCCCGCGCCCCCGCGGCGCCCCGCGCCCCCCGCGCGCCGCCGCCGCCGCCCGCCCGCGCCCCCGGGCCCCGGCCCGCTCGCCCCGACCGCGGCTGCCCCGCCCCGGCCCGCTCGCCCCGCCGCCCGGCCTCCGGCCGCCGCCATAGAGCCCGCCTCACCGGCTAGAGCGGCCCGCGGCGCTTCCGCCCGCCGCCGGAAGTGGCTGGCGCGGGGGCCGCCGGGACGGCTGCGCGGCTCCCGGGCCGGCGTCCCGTCGGCGCGGCGCGGGGTCGGCGCGGGGTCGGCGCGGGGTCGGCGCGGGGTCGGCGCGTCCGGCGCGCGGCGGCCCGGCCACTCGGAGGCCCGCGGAGCGCGGCGGCCGGGCGGGGAGCGGGGAGCGGGGGCCCGCGGAGGGCCGCGCCGGCGGGATGTACACGCTGCTGTCCGGCCTCTACAAGTACATGTTCCGGAAGGACGAGTACTGCGTCCTGATCCTGGGCCTGGACAACGCGGGGAAGACGGTGGGCCGCGCCCCGGGCGGACGGACGCGCCGGGGGTGCTGGGCGGCGGCGGCTGGCCCGGCTGACCCGGCCGCTGTCCCCGCAGACCTTCCTGGAGCAGTCGAAGACGCGGCTCAGCAGGAACTACAGGGGCGTGAGCCTGTCCAAGATCACCACCACCGTGGGCCTCAACAGTAGGGCCGGGGCCGGGGCCGGGGCCGGGGCCGCGGGGTGGGTCCCCGCTAGGTTTGGCGCCCGGGGTGCTGCGGGCCGCAGGGCCCCTCAGTGCCGTCTCCTCTCCCCAGTCGGCACGGTGGATGTGGGGAAGGCCCGCCTCATGTTCTGGGACCTGGGCGGGCAGGAGGAGCTGCAGTCTCTGTGGGACAAGGTAAGAGATGCCTGGTGCGGGCTCTGGGGCGTCCCTCCCGCGCCGCCCCCGCCCCGGGGCGCCCCACTTGGCCAGGTATCTGCCGGTGGCTTCCCGGCCGCTCTGCTCTGAGGCCCCGTCCACCCAGGGTTCCGCAGCCGCTCTTCCAAAAGCCCTTGCCTGGAGGTTTTGTTGCTGTGGCCAGAGCAGACCCTGCGAGGGCCACTTCTCCGCAGGTCTGAGCCCTCGAGGCCCTCCCTCCATTCCGCCTCGGCTCCTTGCCTGCCCTGGGAAGGGTCCTCCAGGGCTCCTGCAGTTTCTCTTTTGGCAGGTGGTGAGCATTTCTGAGACTGCAATGGGCTGCTTGTCGCCCCTCTTGTGCCAGGCCCTGGGTGCCCGCAGTGGGCTGGATGCCAGCCTCCTCCCTGGGGTGACCCCTCCTGATGGGCCGGTGGGTGGTCAGCCAGTACAGAGGGCAGCATGTTACTCCCACAGCCTCTGGGGCCATGCCAGGCCTGAGAGCCCAGGAGCTGATTCCTGGCTTGACCCCAGCAGTGGGTAACACTTCCCTGCCCTGAGCTCCCCCAGAGCATCCGCTCCTGCCCGACTTCCAACCAGGATGGCAGCCTCTGCTCTGTGGCCAGGTTGCTGGGGTCCTCTGCCTCCACTTAAGTCAGACTGAGGCCGAGCTGAGCCGGGAGCGCTGGTCACGGCCCCAGGCCCCAGCAGTGAAACTAGTTCTGGTGCTGTAGTTGGCCAGGGTCTCGAGAGCAGAACCCATGGCAGAGGTTGGGGAGCAGGATGGGTGTTGGGGAGCAGAACCCAGGAAGGGAGCTGAGAGAACACAGGGCCAGCGGGGAACAGGCACGTTCAGGCTGCGGTGGGCCAGCAGGGAGCCTTGGGGGATGCTCAGTGTCCACTGTTCAGCCATGCTGGCCGCCCCAGGATCCGCTGAAGTCAGCGAGAGGCCAAGGGGACGTCCATTGGGTGTAAGGCCCTGGTGGCCACCAGCTCTCCTACCCACTCGTGCTGTGCCTGCTTGAGCCCGCTCCTCTGCCCCACCCCCCAGAATGCAAGGCACCAGGGCATTTGGCTCGCTGACGGTGATCAGCCTGGGTCAGGGCCCATGGGCTGCGGGTGGTGGGAGGCTGGGGGCAGCCACAGCTGTTCCTCCACGCCATGCTGCCCTGGGCCCTGGTCGCTCCTGTCTGTCTTGCCCCGGGGCTGCTGTGTTCCAGCTGCTTCCTCTCCCTGCCTCCTCCTGGACCAGTGCTTAAGCATGGGGGGGGGGTCCCCGTGGTCCCCGCTGCAGCTGGCCCAGGCTGTGCCCTGCTGGCCTGGACCCTAGCATCACTGGGGAACAGAGTTGCTTTCTGTGGGTGGCTGCCCTGGCTCCTTGGCGGCCTTCGCTCATGGCTGCCCAGCTGGGCAGGAAGCCCCAGTTGCACCCACCTTCGCCGGCCCCTTGGCCCGGCCCCGCCTCTCATGTGGCGTCATCAGGCTGGGGCAGCTGAGATGGCACCGGGCACTGGCGTGGCTGGACCGTACCGGCTCAGCGCCCCTCTGCCCTCAGTACTACGCGGAGTGCCACGGCGTCATCTACGTCATCGACTCCACGGACGAGGAGCGGCTGTCGGAGTCCAAGCGGGCATTCGGTAGGTGCAGCTGGGCGGGGCCAGAGGGCGATCAGTTCAGTTCACATGCCGGAGCTGGCCGTGGGGGGCCCTGGGTCTGCCCTCGGGTGGGTAAAGGGGTTCAGAACCATCTCCACCCTTCCCAGAGAAGATGGTCACCAGTGAGGCACTGGACGGCGTCCCCATCCTGGTGCTGGCCAACAAGCAGGACGTCGAGGTGAGCCTCCACCCGCGTGCGCCATCTCCGGTCACCAGGCGTGCGGGTGCTTGTCCAGGGGCCACCGCCCTCCCCACACACGGCCCTCTCCTGAGAGAGGTGGCTGCGGCCTGTCCCTGTTCTGGCTGTCCACTCTGCAGGCCCAGGGGCTCTTCCTCTGGGGAGAAAGGACCCAGTGCTGACCCCATCCGCCTGTGCTCTCGGGGGTGGCCACGGCCCCCATCCCTGAAGACCTGGGGCCACAGGGCGGGGCCCCCCGCAGCCACATTAGCCTACCCAGGCCTTTAGCCGACCGGTTGCTGAGGTGGCCGCGGGCCCTTCCCTTCTGGCCTGTGGCGCTGCCTCCCTGCTGCCTCACCACTGGCCGAGGCCACCCGTGCAGGCCCCCAGGCCACCTGCTCTTAGCGCCTGCCTCCCACAGCCCTGCCTCTCCATCCCGGACATCAAGACGGCCTTCAGTGACTGCGCCTCCAAGATCGGCCGCCGTGACTGTCTCACCCAGGCCTGCTCAGCCCTCACTGGGTGAGTGGGGTGCCCTCTGCAGGCCGGGCCCAGCTGGCCCCACCTGACACACTACTGTTTCCACAGCCAAGGGGTGCGCGAGGGCATCGAGTGGATGGTGAGGTGCGTGGTGAGGAACCTGCGCCGGCCCCCGCGGCAGAGGGACATCACCTAGGCCAGCCCCGCCCACCGGCCCCCTGGCGGCAGAGGGTCATCACCTAGGCCGCCCCGCCTGCGCCCCGCTGCTGTGTATGAACCGGGCTCGGGTTTTCTCTAAGACAAACCTTTCTGTGTCCAAAGTCGTGTGGGCATGCGGAGGCTTCTGCGGAGGGGAGTGGGGGCAACTGAGCTGGGCAGGTGTTGCTGGGGTGCCCCGGCTGCCTCCGGCCTGAATGCAGGCCTTGCAGTGGGTAGGGTGCCTGGCCGGGAATGGGGCCCGCGGCAGCTGTCGCCATGGACGGCGCTTCAGTCGCCCCCGTCTCACTTGGACAGAGACCTGGTCCGCAGCTGCGAGGACCAGCCGAAGCCCCTGGTCCTGGCAGTGGCCCTAGGGGGCCCCACATGGCTGGCCTCAACCCCAGGGAGGGAGGTGTGCCCCAGCCAGGTGTGGGGTGGCATCTCTCCACCATGCAGCCACTGGTGGCCACCTGGGCGTGGGGCAGGGGCTGGTGGTGCGCCTGGCCAGGCCCCAGTTTGTGCCAGCAGTGGGCACCTGTGGGCCTGGCAGAGGGAGCTCGTCCCAGGAGTCACAGTGGCCCTGGCGCCTTGGCTCTCCTCCCCAGCATCGGGGGCTGCCTGGCAGGGGGCAGGGCCTGTCGGGCGGGGTCTTGCTCTGGCCCAGAGCTCAGGGTGATTCTCTCCACCCCACACCCGCCTGTGGGCCCAGGGGCAGGGATTTCTGGGAAGGGGGTGAGTCAGGGCTGGGGTGGGGCTCTAGCCCCCGGTGCTCGGCGGTGGTCCTGGGCTGGGGGGAAGGCCTGGCCCGCCCTGGGGGGAGCTACCTTTCCCAGAAAATACCTGGGATGCCAGGGCAGGACAGACCCTCCCCTCCTGGGAAGTCTCCTGCCTCTGGGGGTGGGTGGAACTCCCGGGGGATCGTAACTCCCGGGGCTCCGCGTTTCCTTCATGCACACCTTCGCCAAGCGCAGTGGACATGGCAGAGTTTCACAGAAGGGCTTTATAAAAATAAATTTTCTGACGAGCCTGTTGGAGCGTCCATTGGAGCAGCTGGGGGCGCTGCGCTCCGGTGTAGGAAAAACGGGCGCGCGGGAGCTCAGCGCGCCTGCAGGAAGCGCGCGCGGACGCTGCGCTCCAGCCCCGAGCCCGGCGGCGCCCCGTCCCCGGCCTCGCGCAGCCGCGAGAGCTGCCTCCGCAGCTTCCCCGCAAGGCGGGGAGGCCCCCCCCCGCCCGTCCGGGGCCGCTGCCGCCGCGGAGCCTCTTGCGGGAGACGTCCTGGACCGCCACGAAGTCGACCGGGGCGCGCTCGCACTCCTCGGACGCCCGCGCCGGGGGACACCCCTCCCCTGCCGCGCGGCCCACCCCGCCACCCTTGGGGGGAGCGCAAGCGCCTCGACCCCGGGCCCGGCCGAGGGCGCACTGGGCCGCGCGCGGGCCGGGAAGGCGGCGCAGCGGGTGCACAGCGCGTCGCGGGCGGGGAGCCGGGCACGCGGAGGGCCAGACCGCGCGCCTCCAGGCTGGAGCTGCGGGCCGAGCAGGTGCCCCGCGGGCAGGGCCGGCCCCAGCCTCAGCCCGCGCCGCACCCACCGGGGACCGCCGCGCCGGCGCCGGGCGGGCAGGGCGCGCGCGAAGAAGCCGGCGGCAGCGGCACGCGCGGTTGCGGGTGGGCGCGCAGGGCCGCGCCGCCTCCTCGTGCTCCCCGCAGGCCGCGAGGCAGAACCGCGTGTAGCGGCGGCGGGCACGGCCGCTGCACGAAGGTGCCCGGCGGACACACACCGGGCGCACAGCAGCGGCTCGCGGGTCTCCGCGTCCCGCCACGGGTAGGTGGGCCCGGCGGCGGCCGCCCGCCCCCGAGCAGCGCCGGCCCCCGCCTCTCCGCGGCCTCGTGGCCCCGCTGCAGCGCGCGCGGCGCCTCGGACCAGTCCCCGGGCCGGGGCACGGCGGGGGGCGCGGGGCGCAGCGGGGCGGGGCGCCTGCCTGCCGGGCAACCGCGTTAAGGGCCGGCCACGCCCCGGGAAAGGGTCAGGCCTCGCCACGCCCGCCCCAGGGGCCGGGCCACCCCTCCCCCTCCCCCCCCACAGCCGCCGGGCCCCAGGGGCGCTGGGGGCGGCCCCGCGCGCCAGGGCGGGCAGGGACCGCGACCAGGCGAGCGGCCGGAAGCCCCGGCGTCGGGGCGCCTCCCCCTCGGCTCAGGGCGCCCCCCGCGCCCCGCGGCGCAGACCACCCACACGGCGGCGCTCGCGCAGGTTTATTAGGGCGGCCGCCCGCGGCGGGCGCCCCCGGGGGAACAGGACCCCGGGGCCCCGACCCCGGCCCCAGGCAGCTTCCAGGGTCCTCAGGCGGGTCTCGACGCGCTGCCGCCGCGGGGCGCCGCCCCGGGGGGTGCGGTCTCGGGCCAGAACACCTGCGCCAGGCTCTGCTTCCGGGCGGCGGCGCGGCAGGCCGGGCACGTCCTCGAGGCCTGTGGACACAGCGCGCTGGGCACGGCCCCCGCCCGGCCGCGCGCACCCACCCCGCCCCGCCCGCCCACCCCGCGCCCCGCCCCGCCCCGCCCGCCCCGCCCGCCCCGCCGCGCGCACCCACCCACCTGCAGGTGGCGGCGCCAGCAGGCCCCGCAGCGCTGGAAGTCGCAGGAGGGGCACCGGAAGAGCGCCCCGTGCGCCCCGCAGCCCCCGCACGCCGCGCCTGCCGGAGGGGCCGTGAGCGCCGCAGCCCCGCGCGCCCCTCTCCCGCCCCCGCCCGCCCGCCCCGGGGCGCCGGGGCGCCAACTGCGCGGGGTGGGCTCCAGGGGGGCCTCCGAACCCCTTCGCCTCCCGCCCCCACCGGCCGAGGGGGACCCAGGGGCGCGGGCCGGTCACCCTACCCCGTGGGGGGGCGCCGCGGGCGGGGTCGGGAGGCGAGGCGGGGCGCCCCTCCTGGGCCCCGGGCGGCGGGGAGCCCAGGCCCGGGGCGGGCAGGCCGGCCATGTCCGCGCACGTCTGCAGGAAGCGCCGGCGGTGGTGGGGCCGCACGAACATGGCGAACCCTGCGGGGAGGCAGCTCAGCCCGGGCCCAGGCGGCCGGCACCTGGCACCCCGCCTCCCGCCCCCCGCCCCGCCCCCACTTGCTCTGCAGCAGGTGTAAGTCCTCCGGCCTGGCTGTGGTGAGCTCGGCCACCACGGCCACCACCTTGTCGTAATCGTCGTCCTGCTTGTAGGCCCTCAGGGCGGCCAGGAGCCGGTCGCAGGCTGCCTCCCCCAGGGCGCGGCGAGCGTCGGCCAGGTAGGTGCGGGCAGCGCCCTGGCCTCCCTGCTGTGCCCCAGGGGCTCCTGGTGGGCAGGAGACAGGCTGGGGCCCTTTGTCCCGGTCTGGGCAGCCCGAGGGCTCCGCCCACCCCGTACCAACTAGGCCCCCCAGGGGCCGAGCGCCTGGCCCCAAACTGAAGGACTGGGCACCTGCGCAGGGCGGCCTGGCGAGCAAGTGGGGTTGGCCCTGGTTCAGGTGCTCTCCGGGGTCCAGCTGCTGGGCTGTGCCCTGGGACTCGGTCAGCCTGGGGCCCGCGCCCCCTTCTAGAGAAACCAGGAGACACAGGACCCGTCAGGTTGGCTCCTGAGGGCCCAGGGCACCTGTGCACGGGCCGGGTCTGTCCCAGGGGACCGGCCTCAGGCGCCCCACGGACACCACTGCGGGCAGGGTGCCCAGAAGGGAGATGTGACTGGCTGGAGCCCCCACGGAGTAGGGGTCTTCCCAGGCCAGCCCCCACCCTGCTGTCCTCAGGGGAGCCTCTGCCCAGAGCTGTGCTGCTGGCTGACAGGACAGAGGCCCCCCGCGCTGGCCCCTAGAGCGCCAGCCAGACCCACCCGGCTGGGCAGCACTCACCGGCCTGGCCCGGCCCATCCCGCTGGGGCTCGGTCCGGCAGCCCTGGCCAGTCAGCTGGCGGCAGGTCTCCTCGAAGCGCTGCTTGTGGTGAGGCCGCACGAACTGGTAGAAGCCTGGGGGGGGGGGGCCGCATCGAGCCTTTGGGTCCCCGACAGAGCCAGCAGAGGACACTGGGACGTGGGCCCCCGCCCACACCTCCCGGGAGCCCAAGGGCCCACCCAGGGCACCTTGCAGCAGGCTGTGCTTCTTGGGGTCCTCAGCAAAGAGGGAGCTGAGGCAGGCCACCAGGGCCTCGAAGTCATCCGAGGCCTTGTAGGCCTGCAGAGCGCGTGCGAAGGTGTCGAAGCTGGCCTGGCTCAGGGCTTGCTTCACGGCCACCATGAACAGCTTGGCCCTGTCCTGCTGCGCGCCGGCCGAGGGCCCCCCCTGCCAGACACGGGGGCCGGTCAGCAGCACCCTCCCGCGCAGGGGGCTGGCTGCCCATGGGGGGCTGCGGGGAAGGCTGTGCTGGGCAGGTGGAGCAGAGCAGGCCTAGCGAGGCCCCCAGCAGGCAGCCCAGGGGCCCTCACGGACCCAGGTGCCCGAGGGCAGCCAGCTCACAGCAAGGGCCACCCCTGGACGTATAGGGTCCCACGTCTGCGGTGCACCCCCCCGACCCCTGACAGGGAAGTGGACTCTCAAAGAGACCGAGGCCCAGGGCCAGCTCGGCCCCCAGCCCACTTCCTGACAGCGCCAGCCCCCAGGAGCCGCCGGCGTTCCAAGAAATCAAGGTAGCGGCCTGGGGCTTTCCAAAGGGATCCTGGCTCGGCTGCTTCCTCCCTGCTCTTGACTGCTTCCCTCTGAGGCTGGGGTGCAGACCCTCCCGGGGCAGCGCCCACACGCAGGCCAAGCCCCACAGCCTGGGGACTGCCCTCAGGGACGGAGCCGCCCTGACCCCCAAGCGCTCTCCCGCAGCAGCCAAGAGACACAAAGGGCGGAACCTAAGCACAGAGGGTGCCGGCCATGGAGGCGGGGCAGCCCCGGGGACCCTGGGGACCCCAGGCACTTTGTGGGCGGACGGTCTAAGCTCTCAGACCCGGACCGGCCAGGCCCGCACAGCCCGAGCCCCGAGTGCAGCGCCAGATGGGCGCACTGCCGAGAGCCCCGCCCTGATGGCGAATCTGGCAGCCCAGCGAGTGCCCCCGCGGCCCCCACCCCAGGCGCAGCCCCTCCTGCACCAACAGCTGAGGCTGGGCAGTGGCCCCTCCCCGTGCCAGGGCAGGGCTGCCAGCCAGGGCCAAGGGCACCCACGTACCAGGCCGCTGACCAGCCTGATCCTCTTCCTCCCGCCTCGCAGCTCCTCCGCGGGCCTCTTCACACGCTGAGGAACAGAGCAGAGGCTGTGGTGCCCCCGGTGCCCCTGCCCTCCCCTCTCAGCTCGGGACACCACGTCTCAAGTGTGCTCAGGGCTCACTGGGGTGGGCGAGCCTCCAGCCCCAGCCAGAAAGCAGGCGCGCCAGTCAGATGGGCGCAGCCCCAGGGGCAGGAGCCACCAGGGGCCGGAGCCAGGCTCAGCCCAGTCAAACCGACTCCCCGAAGAACTGGGGGGCACGAGCTGCAGGTCAGGGGTGTGCTCAAACCCCAAGTCACTGCCTCCCTACCTCCTCCTGGGGCGGGGCCTCGTCCCCCAGGCCCCCCGCCTGCTGCTCGCTGTGGTCCAGGGCGGCCAGCAGCCCCGCAGGTCTCCTTGGGGCTCGGACCGGCTCCCACGCATACTCCACGCACAGGCTGCCCTCGGCGTCCCCAGAGGCCGGGTCGGGTGGCCCTGGGGGACCGTGAGGCAGCATGGGCACGGCAGTGCGATGCGGCCTGGCCAGGTGGGGGCAGTGGGCACACCAGAGCCCCCCCGCCCATCCCCCTGCCCACGCGCACCTGTGCGCCCTTGCCGCAGGCTGGGCACGTGCAGGTCCAGGCTCCTGGCCTTCCTGGTGGACAGGGGACCGGGCACGGAGGCCACGGCGCCGGGGTCTTCGCCCTCACCCAGACTCGGGGCAGCAGCTTGGGGGCCCGGCATGGGCATCTGCGGGGGCAGGGGGTGGTAGGTCCGGCCCGAGCCCCGGCTGGGGGCGGCTCGCGGGGGCAGGAGGCTCGGCGCGCGCTCAGGCTCACCATCTTCTGGGCCGCACGGAAGAAGCGAGCGGCGTCCCGGACCACATGGCCGAAGCCGGCGTACACCCGGACGTGGGGGCGCACCCAGGCGGGCAGCTGGGCTCGGGCGTCTGGGTGGGCGAACCTAGTGGGGCAGGGCTCAGTGCTCCCCCCCAGCAGGCCCCCCCCCACACCCGCACAGCGGGCCTCCCCGACCCCCCCCAGCAGGCGCACCTGTGGTCACAGAGGAAGACGGCCCCGTAGTCGTGCCGGTGCCGGATGACCCGCCCGATGGCCTGGTTCACCGCCCGGGACGCCTGCTGCCGGTACCAGTCCTGCCCCGAGAGGCCCTGCGGGGGCGTGGCCGGCGGAGGGCACGGTCAGTGGGGGCACGGTCAGTGAGGCCACCCGCCCACCCCAGCCTGGGGCCTCTCACCTGGCCCCCAGCTCCACTCTTCATCTCATCCAGGAACTGCATCTTGAGGACCACGCGGGGGTCCATGCGTGGGGGGTAGGGGAGGCCTGTGATGACCACGCCCCGGCCATTGTTGTCCGCGAAGTCCAGGCCCTCGCTGGCCTGGGGGGTACAGGAGCCCTTTTCCTCACCTGCCTTTCCCAAGGTGGGCCACGCCCTGACCCCCACTGCCACGTGTCCCCAGGCTGGGTGGGGTGAGAAGCCCCCGACCAAGGCCTCCCATTTCCGTGCCGCCCGCATCCCATCCTCCAAAGCTCCCGGGCAGCCGTGGTAGGTGTGCTCCATGGGGCCCAGACCTCACCTTCCCCCGGCACACGGCCAGCAAGGCAGCCCCACTGGACCCCGGGGCGGCAACTTGTGCATAGTAGGCGCTGGTGACCTGGGGAGGGCCAGTCAACTGGAGCTGCCCTGGTCCTCCCCCAGCCAAGGGGTGGGCCGGCTTCTCCATGGCAGGCGTTCCCAGGCTGACCCCGGCCCAGCCCTGAGTCCACTCAGTGTCTCCCAGAAAGCCTGGGCCCAGGGCCGGGCCAGGGGATGCCTGCTTGGCTATCATCCCTCAGGCGCGAGGGTCTGCGGCCCAGCCACAGTCAGCAGGCCCTCAGCCCAGGGTGCAGGTCGGGCGAGCTCGCACCTCAGAAAAGCCACCTTTGCTCCTGGGCTCCACAAACAGAGGCTTCAGCGCCTCCAGCTTCCGGGCAACGTCGCGGGCCTGCGGGAAGCACAGGCACAAGTGGCACAGGCAGTGGCAGCCGGCACATCTCGGGGTGGCGCCGCCTCAGACAGAGACACGCTCTGGCCCTGCCGGAGCCCCCGGCCGCTGGAGCCGCCCCTCCGACCCCCAGGAGGACAGTGGAGGAGAGGACAGAGCGCGCGAACCTGCCAGAACTGCAGACTTTTCTCCATGACGGGGTAGGAAGGGAAGAAGACCAGGAGCCCATGGGGGACCACACGGGCGATGTTGCCTGCAAGCCCGAGGCCTTGGTCAGTAGGGCGGCCCCTCTGGACCCCGACAGTTGGGAACAGGAACAGGTGGGAAGGCGAGGAGGGTCCGGAGGCCGGGCAGGCACTCACCCAGCGCCTTCCCCAGCGAGGACAGGCAGGCCTCGGAGAACCTGCAGCGAACAGGAGGTGCTGCCACCAGCCACGCCCCGCCACCTCCCGGCCCGCCGGCCCCCGCCGCCTCCCGCCCGCTGGGGTCCCCACCGTTTGTCAAAGGCTGAGCTCAGCTGGGCACCGTCAGGGCCTTGGGGGACGACCCCCACCCAGATCTGATGCGGGTCGATGACGTGGGGGTTCTCCAGGGTTACTGGGAAGGGGCTGCGGGGAGAGGGCGGCTGGTGAGCCCCACACCCCAGCGCCTGCGGTGGTGGGCTGGCCCGGCCCCCCGGGGACGGCGCCCTTACATCTGCATCTCCAGGGTGTAGGAGGACAGGGGGGCCAGCGTGCCACTGGTGAGGATGAGGCTGCGCACGCCCTGGCGGAGCAGCTGGCGCATGCCGAGGCCGGGGCTGAAGCACCAGTAGCTCAGCACCTTCCCTGGGGATGGGGGGGGGCGTGAGGCAGGACCCCAGAGCCCGGGCGCAAGGCCGAGCAGAGGGGCTGCAGGGTCTCGCGCGGAGGGTGCCGCCCCTGCTCTCAGCGGGGTCGTCGCGCGGCTCCAGGAGCAGGAAGCCCCCAGCGGAAGGAAGCAGCCCCACCCCACACCCCAGCAGGGCCGAGCCGCCCTCCCGCCGTGCTCCACGCTGGCACACGCAGAAAGTCCCAGACGCGGCTGAGTCAGGGCCGGGTCAGCGGACGCTTCCAGGAACATGCCGCGCCCCGGAGCCAGCGGCGGGGCCTGAGCCTGACGCAGGCACCCCCCGGCTCACAGGCTGGAGACGCCCGCTTCCTCGGCCCCGGGCCAGGCACGGCTGCTTCCCAGAGGTCACGCGACTGGAGCAGGCACCTGCCGCAGACCCCGCGCGGCCTGCCCTCCGTCCTTTCCCTGCTCTGTTCCACAGGGCTGGGGGCCCTCAAGCCCCCTGCCCTGCCCTCCCCTCCCCACGGAATACTCCCAGTGGGCCAAGGTGGACAGACGGGGGGCAGTGGCTGCCTCCCCGAGGAACACCCCAGACGCCTGTCTAGCTGGACGCCTCAGGGTGCCAGGCTCAGAGGCACAGGCCAGCCCCCACCCCCACACGCCCGGTTTCCGCACCAGGACATGGAGCAGGTGAGCCCGGCGGCACGGGCTGGGCTCTGAGTGGGGACCGGGCACCAGAGGACTTGGTGGCCCCGAGGTCTGGAAAGCGGCCCCGCATCTGCGCCTCAGGCCAGCCAGGGCAGCGAGAGAGTAAATCTCTAGCGTGTAGCCAGGCCCCAGGCCTCGACCAGCAGGGGACAACGGGGGGCGGCCCGATGCACGGTACCTGGTTTTCTGGCCACTGTGGCGCTCCAGGCGTCTGCACGCTGGGCTGTCCTGCGGGGCCCAGGGTCGGGATGGATGTGCACCTAGGGGAGAGGCCTCATAGGACAGGGCCCGGCCCCGGGGCCCTGCACGTGGGACAAGCCTTACCTTGTAGCAGCGGGAGACGCCCAGCTCACCGTCCTCGGCAGAGTCGGCGCTGAACACGACCTAGAAGCACAAGCGAGGGGCGTCAGCAGGGCTCCCGCCGAGTCTGACGCGAGACGGGAAGGGAGAGGAGCAGCACCCGCATGGGAGGTGCCGGCGCAGGCCTACCTGGATGATGTCTGCCAGCTTCTGCAGCCCCGCCGTGCTGGCCAGCAGCCCAGCGCCTGTGGAGCAGTGGCGCTCACCACCCGCCTCGTGGCAGAGCTGCCCCGCCCCGCCCCTGAGGGCACCTCCTGTTCAGGGCCCGCGCCAGGGGTAAGGGCGCCTGGCAGCCCCAGAGCCCAGAACAGCCAGCCCATACTCGCGTAAGGAGAGCAAAGAAGCCCCCATGTCCAGCCCAGAAGTGGACCAGCGTGGCAGGCCCCACCCTCCCTGACCCACGGGGGCCTGACTGTGCCGCCACAGGGCACAGCCGGAGTCAGCAGGCTCCCGCCCTTCGGGCAGGGCTCCTCCCACTCTGGGGGCAGCTGGGGGCAGGCTGGCAGCCCTGGTTGAGGCCAGTGTGGGGGCACACTGGGCTGGGACTCACGGCCGGCCAGGTGCTGGATGATCTGGTCCAGGGAATCCAAGAGGCAGGCCTTGGTCTGAAACGTTATCTGCGCTTCGGCGAACAGCTCGAAGATGTAGCTGCCAGAGACAGTGGCCATTGGCTCTGTGCCCCACGTGGGGAGACTAGCCAGAGTGCAGGGGCCACATGGGTGCAGCAAGGCCTCTGCCGGATGCCCAGGAGAGCGCACCTGAGACCGAAGGCCAGCCCCGGGCCCTGAGGGGACTGGGAGACAGTCATCAGGGCCAGGGGCACACATAGTGGCAGAAGCAGCAGGCTGTGCCCCAGATCTGCCCAGGCTACCAACCCCGGCTGCCGCCATCCCGCGAGGCTGCTGGGGGGCCTGCGGACTATTCTAGGGCTTCTGGGGGTCTAGAAATGGCCAGTGGGAGGTCTGCAGACATGGCTGTCCCGAGAGAGCAGCTGCAGGTCAGAGAAGGGAGAGTACTAGGGTCCGGCACACACTCCTCTGCCACCCTCCCCCGGCAGGCCCGGCCTTCACCTGCCCGGCTTGGTGACCCCGCTGTCCCCGGGCAGCTCGATGGCGTCGATGGCGGCCTCCAGGCGCAGCAGGATGGCTGTGGAGGGGAGGCAGTCAGGACTGACTGGGGGAGTCAGGGGGAGGGGGCTTGGGGGGGGTGGCACTCACCCTTGAGCTTGGCAAGATCTTCCAGCTGCAAGGTCAGCCCTGTGGGGTAAGAGGGGTCACCGACGCTGCTGCTACTGCGTGCAGCGGCTGCTTCAGGCCGGGACAAGGGCGCCGCATGGGGAGGGGCACCCTCAAAGAGAGGCCACGCCAGGGTCAGGGCTGCCCACCGCCTGTGGCCCTGCCGGGGTCTCAGACACCGTCTCCCTCTCGGGAAAGCTGGCCCAGGCAACGGCGCCGAGCCCAGCAAGGTTGGGCCAAAGGGCATGGCCCCCGCGGGCACAGGAGCCAGCCACACGCTGGGGTGCAGAGAGATAAAGCCCAGCATGGAGATCCATCCTGCGGGGCAGCCCCCGCTCACGCCACCACCACCTCCGGCCTGTGGCCTGGAAGCAGAGGCCTGGGGTCTGGCCCAGCGTGAGCTTTGGCACCACCCCAACACCTCTGCCACTGGGGCCCCCGGCCGCCCAGCCCTGCCTCCCTGAACCCCCACCTCCTCCAAGGGGAGCCCAAAGACACAGGCCTTGCCTGCTCGGGCCCTCAAGGTCACCCAGCAAACTCAGGGCCGAGACCCTGTCAAACGGGAGAGGCCTCGGCGCGGGGCCTCAGGGCAGCCGACAGCAGGACGGGGCCCCGGGCGGGCACCCAAGTGTGAGGCGGCCGCTGCAGGGGCTGCCGGGCAGACGCAGGCTCCTCGGGCAGCTGGAGGCGCGGGCAGCGGGCGCTGGCACGGGCAGAGTCAGTGGGGCGGGGGGTGGGCCTCAGAAGGAGGCAGGCTGGCGGCCACCGCGGGCCCACGGGGCTCAGACAGGTCTGCTCGAAAAGTCAACCTTGTGCTCAGACGTGGCCCCTGAGGGACGACGGGCAGCCTGGCGCTCACCTGCGTCGGGGGAGTCGGCGCCGAACTCCAGGCCAGGGGCGCCCTGCGCCACAACCTTGGTCTGCTCCTCCAAGACCTGCCCTAGAATCTCCAGCCCGGAGGCCACATCATGCGGGGTCAGGTCGAAGGACGCGGCCTCCTCGCACATCCTCTCCTGGGGCCCGACAGGAGCGTCACAAGGGAGCGCAGGCTGGGCACAGCAGCTGCCAAGCCCCGAGGCCCCCAGAGCCAGGCCACGGTGGTCCGGGGCACCAGACAGTCCCCCGTGAGCCACAACCCTCCCCTGGGCCTCTCGCCCAGACCAGACCCTGCTCTCATCTTGGCAATGGCTGCCGGGACCGAGCTCGCCCCGGACCCTGGGCCCCAGACCAGCCATGCCGGGGAAGCCAGCCCAGGGCAGGAGCCGCGGACCAGGCAGGGGATGGGGACTCGCTGGCCACAGCCAGGGGCGTCAGGGGGCCCCTTCCCAGCGGCCGCCAGGGAGCACGAGAGCCAGCAGAGCACGGGGGTGCCCCCCCAGCAGCCAGCCCCCCAACCCTGGCAGCCAGTGCCCAGCCCAGCCTCACGGTCCAGGCGGGCGGGGACCAGTGGGCTAGACACAGGACTGGACGGCCCTCGGCGGCGGTGGGGTGTGGGGGCAGGAGTTGGGGCCCTTAGACCACCTCTCACCACATTGTGGGCTTCGTCAAAGATCACGACCGTCCCCTGCAGGTCAATGCCGTGTGCCCGGCGACTCTGGGGGGGGTGGGAGGGGAGGCCCAGCTGAAGCCAGAGACCATACGGCACAGCCAGCTTGACCAGAGCAGAGGGACGGGCGCCGGGCAGAGCCGCAGGCTGCCACACACGGCACGGGCCGCAGGCCCCTGGTGAGCTGCCTCGGCGCACAGCCGGGCTCTTGGGGAGGGGCTGCTCTCAAGGGCCAGGGCCAGCTCCCGCCCGGCCAGCTGCTGGGCGAGTCCTCCGCAGGAGTGACAGAACCAGGACACCCCCGCCCAGGCCCTGTGCCTAGCCGCGGCCTCACCTTGGCGTCCAGCAGGTAGTTGTAAGGCATGAAAATGACGTCGGCCTGCTGCCTCAGGTTCCGAGAGAGATAGTACGGGCACAGCCTGACCAGGAGAAGCACTGTGAGGTGTGCAGGGACCTCGGACAGACCTCCATACCCCACCCTGTCCGGCGGTGTCTGGAGACACAGGTTGCCCACCCAGCAAGGACGGCGCCAGAGAAGGGGCCACAACCCCGCTGGTTACCAAGACTGGATGCGGCCCCAGACCTGCAGAGCGGGGCCACCCACAGCCCCCCCAGGCAGCCGAGGGGCCAGAGGGAAGGGACGCTGGACCCCGCGTGGCGGAAGATGCCCTGGAAGGACGGAGGGCCCCGGCCTCACTTGTGCCGGCTCCCACTCCTGACCAGGTCCTCGATGTCCAGGATGGGCGTGGCCAGCTCCTGCTCCAGGCTCTTCTCTGGGCACATGGGAGGGGTCGATGTCGGCCTCAGTCCCTGCCCCTGGACCCGGACTGGGTGCCCACGAGGACACCCCTCGCTGTGGGCTCCCACGGAGGGTCCCAAACCCAAAGCGACCCCAAAAGAGCCTCGCACTGCCCCCAGAGGGCACAACAGTCTGGGGCACCCAGCACAGACCCCTCAGGCAGCTGGCCCCGCAGCGCGCCTCCCTGCTGGCTGCTGAGCCCAGAACCCCAAGGGCCTGCAGAAGGGGGACCCCCTCCCCCACCCAGCAGGGCCCAACCCTGACTGCCCAGGACCAGCTGACATAGGTGCCGCCCACCTGATACGCACGCACCTCGGGCCAGGCCCAGGTGGCGGGAAAGGATGGGGAGCCCGCAGTGGGGGAGCCGGCCCTGCCGGCTCAGCAGTCCCTCTGCCTGGGCCTGAAGCACCCAGAACCCGCCCACAAGGCCACGGCACGGGGAGAGACGACCCACGAGCCCCTCACCTTCCACGTTGTTGTAAAAGTGGCAGGAGCGGCTGGCCACCTTCCTGCGGCACAGGTGGATCTGCGGAGGACGTGGACCCAGCTCCAGCCAGTGCTGAGGTGGCACGCACTGGCGCCTGCAGACATGCACCGAGGCCAGCCCGTGCCCCCTCGCCTCGCCCACGGCCCTGCCCATTCTTCACCTGCCACCCAGGGTGCCCCGCGCCTCAGAGCCCCAGAGGGAGGCAGGTGCCCAGAAACCCACCTGCATGTGGCTACTCTCCTGCTTCTTCACCTCCGGGTGGATGCACAGCTGCTCCCGGGAGCCCAGCACACACACCCTGGGCCTGGGGAGAGCGAGCAGGGCCGCGGTCCAGGCAGCAGCCCCCACGTCCCCAGCACCATCACGTGGGAGGGGCAGCCCAAGGGCTGGTCAAAGCCAGGAGGCACTTCCTCTGCTGTCCTAACTCCTGGCCCAGGTCAACCGGGAAACATGTGACGCTGGGGCAAGACCCCCCCACTAAAGCCCCCCTGCCCCAGGGTAACAGCCCTGTGTAGAGCAGGGGCTCGGGACAAGCCCAAGCTTCCTCACGGGCAGCGCGCAGTGGAGAGCACCACGGCCGACGGATGCTGGCTGAGCAGCCCCCTCCCTGAGGCCAGCCTGGCGTGGGGGGGGGGGGCCGCCTGGCACCCACCGGTAGGCGGTGTTGCGGAGCTCGCGGACGGCTTGCGTGAGCTGTGCATGGGTCCTGGACGTGTAGATGATCTTTGGGATGTCCGCATAGCCAGCTGTCCAGATGAGAAGCAGACCGGTCATGGCGCCCAGAGATAGCGCAACCCACCACGCGGGCCAGCGGCCAGGGCCAGCGTGCTGGCTCTTCAGGTCTGCCGTGCCCAGCATGGCCACAGGATGGCGAGAAATGCCCGGCTCGCCTGTCCACCCCCAAGCCTACACTGCAGGCCGGAGGAACCGGCAGGTGGTCACCTGTGGTTTCTCCGTGGACAGCAGTGTGGCCCCAGGAGGACGAGGTGTGCGGGAGGAGGGGGTCTTTCCGGGTGAAGATGGCCTCTCGCAGGTGCGCCCGCCAGGCCAGCGTGGCACAGAGCAGGCACAGGGTCTTCCCCGTGCCCGTGGGGCTCTCCAGCACTCCATTGACTTTCTGAATGGGGTTGGGAGCGGGGTTGGGGGGCCATGGCTCCTGGGACCAGCCCAGCCAGCAGGGGTGAGAGCCCGAGGGCCGGGGGAAGCGCTCAGTCCCAGCCAGGCCTCAGGGCTCACATGACCCTGGGTGGCAAATACCTCACAAGATGTTCCCCAAAACACGCGGTACTTTCCAGTCGGTGGGACGGCAAGGCGGCCAGCTAGCCCCAGGCTCTGAGATGGAGCTGCCCCTGGGCCCGGTTCTGTGGACGGGACCCCGGTGGCCTTCACCCCAGATGAGGTCCGGAGCTCCTGGGAGGCTCGCAGGCAAAGCGACGCTCCCCGCTGGTCCTGCCCCTAGTCTGTGGCCATGGCAGCAGGCGTGGGGGGCCCGCACACCCTGACACTCGAGGGCCTTCCAGAGAACACTGCCGCCCCTATGTGGACCATCCTCCCCCGGCCTGGCCCAACGCCCCCTCCCTCCTCTGCACCCACAGCTGCTCCAGCCGGCCCCAGGGCTGGTCTCCAAGCTCCAAGCACCACCCCCGGCTCACCCCACCCGCGCGCCGGCCCACCCAGCCGCGGCGCGGGTGCTGCACCTGCTGCAGGCACTGCAGGACCTTGGCCATGTAGTCCTCCTGGCACCTGTACGGCGGGAAGGGGAAGTCCACGGTGACACCGGCCAGGGTCAGCTGCGGCATCGCCCGCTCTCCAGAGGGCCGCGGCTGGCGGAACAGGCTCCTGGGGCTGCGGGCACACCGGGGGCCCTTCTCGGGGTCCCCCGTCAGGTACGTGGGGACCCGCCGCTGCCCCGCAGGGCCCTTCGGCGCGGAGAGGGGCGGGGCGCTGCCGAGCCCGCCTCCCCGAGGGCAGGCTTCACGCTCGTCTCGGGGGGCCCCGCCGCGCCTGGGGAGCCCGAGCGCCCACCAGTCCCCCCGGCAGGGCCCCAGGCGCGGGACGCGAGGACGGGGGGCGCCACCCTCGACCGCGCGCCTCCAGGGGCGCCGAGGCGGCCGGGGCCCGGCCCCCGGGCGCAGCGCCCGCGCGGCGGAGGGGCAGCCCGGGCCCTCACGGCCGCGACGGCCCTTCCCGCCGGGCGTGGCCACCCGGCCCCGGCCGCAGCCGCCCGCGACGGGCCCGAGCGCCCCGCGGGAAACTACCGGGCCCAGGATGCAGCGCGGCCCGGAGGCTGGCGCGCGGGCCCCGGGCGGCGCAGGGCCCGCCGGGAGCTGTAGTTCGGGGCCGCCGCCCGCCCGCCCGCCCGCCCGCGAGCCCCGGGGGAGAGGCCGGCGACTCACGCTCCTGCCGCGGCTCGGACTTCGCGGGCTCCGAGCGTCCCCGGCGCGCGGCGCTTCCGCCCCCGCTTCCGCCCCCGCTTCCGGTCCGCCGCGCGCTCCGGGCGGAAACCGCTCCCCGGCCGAAGGGTCCGCGCCGCCCCCGGCCCCGCCCGAGCCCGGGTCTCGCGCGCCGCCGCCGCCCGGGGCCTCCGCTGCCCCGCCCCGCGGCCGGGCCTGCGCGCGCGCTCCCCGGTCCCTCGCTCCGCGGCGCCGCCCAGAGGCCCCTGCAGGGCCCGAGCCGCGCCGCGGCGCCCCCCCCGCCCCGCCCGGCCCGCGCCGGCCCGGCCGCCGGCCCCGGCCCCGGCCCCGCCGGGCAGCGGCCCCCGCGGAGGCCCCGCCCGCCCGCTCGTCGGCGACCCCGGCCGCCCCAGGGGCGGGGGGGGATGGGCGCGGCGGCCGCGGCCCCGCCCGCGCTGGCCGGGGCGCTCCTGGGCTCCGCGGAAGGCCCGGGCGCTCGGCGCGACCCCCCGCCCGTGCGCCCGGCTGCGGGGACGGGGACGGCGCCGCCCGGTGCCCGCGAGGGTCCCCCGGCCGTCCTGCGGGTTCCCTTTGGAGCCGCGCCCCGCGGGGGAGCCGGCCCAGAGCAGGTGTGAGCAGGCTGCAGCCCCGGGGACCCCCTGTGGGGAGCCCGACTTCCCTCCTCCTCACACCCCAGGAAGGGGAGACCCGGGCCAGGACTTGGCCACCTCCTGGGTTGGAGCTGCGGACCCTGAACCCCCAAGCTGAGGCGTGAGGTGGACGCGGCCTGGCCTCGCCCTCCCCGGATCTGCCCACACCCGCCGCGCCGCCGCCCGCCCCAGCCCCGATCTGTGAGCCCAGCGTGGGGGACGAAGCCGAGGCGGCTGGCAGAGCCTCCCCGGGCGGCACGAGGGTGGGCCCGCGCGGCGGCCGCCTCGCCTCGGGGGCCCGCAGGAGCCCTCCGAGGTGGACGGCGGGGTGGACAGCAGGGCCGATGTCACCAGTCCCACAGGAGAGGGCGGCGCACCCGGCGGAGAGTGTGAGGAAGAGGCAACCTGCCGGTCTGACTCGTGCTCAGCCCCGGAAGGCCGCCTGCCCATAGATCCGGAGCGGTCTTGGGGAAATGGTGGTGTAGGCGAGGGGGAGGCAGGAGGGAGCCTGGGGCAGGACAGTGTGAGGAGGGGCTCCAAGGAGTCCGCGCGGCTGAGCGAGGAGGAGAGGTGAGCACCGCCCGCCAGAGCGCTCTGGCCCAGGCTGGACGGTGGCTGTAGCACAGGTGGCCGCTGGCGGCAGCTGCCTCAGCCATGGGAACCGGCAGCTGCTTGGGCTCTCACCTGCCGTGGCACCACAGGCCAGCACTGGCCGTGGCCCTCAGAGCCCCGCAGCCTCCCTTTTATGCGTGGAGCCAAGATCGAGCACAGACCAATCGTGTGTGAGCTGGTTCAGCCGCAGCATTGAAAAGTGGCCCAATCAGATTTGTGGGTGGGGCACCTTGAAAGAGGCCGTAAGCCAGGCTGGTGGGCACTGAGGGATGCTGTTCCAGCCTCTAAATAAAGAAGGGAAGGCTCTGTTCCTGGTCCCCCGTGACTGTTGATGCCCATTACTATTGGCTATTGCGGTCTGGCTCTGCTGACAGGTGACCAGCGCTCTGCTTGTGCTTCTGGTGGGTACTATCTGGGTGCGGGAGCCACCCAGGTGGCCATAGTGAGAGCTTTGTCTCCCATTTGTAAGACGCACCCCACGGTGGATGTTCCTGGAGCCGGGGGCCCCTGCAGCTGTGCGTTGGGGAGGCCCGCAGATGCAGCCTGTCCTTTGGGGCCTGCCCCAAGCACCTCTAGCCCCTTGCTTTGGGCTTTTGGGCTTTGGGCTGCTCTCTTGTTGGGGGGATTCTGGCATCTGCTGCCCCCGCCCTGTGTCGGTTGGACTGGCAGAAGGGGGTGTGTCTGGCTCAGCTGCCTACTGCTCTCCAGGGCCTGGAGCAGTCTGCTGCCCTCCAGCCCCGGCATACAGCAGGTGCTTCATAGATGCTGACTGACTGCATGACCTGCCGAGTTACAGAGACCTCCTAGGAGGTTGTAGGAGACTGGTGTGAAGGTCTGACCTGCAGGGTCAGCTCACAGAGAACATCCTGCAGCAGCTGCTGACAAACTCCCTGCAGTGCATCTCGGCAGGAAGTCAGAATGTACTGTGAGCTGTAGTGGGCAAATGCCCTGCACACCGGCTGGCACAGCACCACACAGCACTTCCCCATGGTCCAGGCGAGGAGTTGGAGGCCCAGAGAGATGTCCAAGGCCCCACATCTGCACAACACAGCCCTGGGGCCACAGGGAGATGCTCTCACGTGCAGGGCCAGTCCCAGAAGCTACAGCTGGAGCCCGCCTGCCGCCATGGGGCCGAGGCACCCAGAGGAGAGCCGCTCAATGCCTCTCCTCCCTGGGCTCTGCTTAGGGCTGTGCCCCTGAGTGGATCCAGGATGGACACTTCTTGGGGAGCAGGGGGTGATATGGCTGCATCATAAATTACCGCAAACTTAGCAGCTTAAACCTGTCCTTGTTTCCAGCTGCCAGCTCCGTCTCCTGGGGCTGTGTCCTCGTTGGAGGCGGGGGAGCGGCCGGGCGCCACCTCCTTGGTGGTGGAGTTCACTTCCTTCTGGCTGCCAGACTGAGGCCCCTGGTCATTGCCAGCTGTCGCAGGGAGCTCTTGCGCCCTCACCGCGTGAGCCTGCCCTGCTTCGGAGCCTCAGGCTTCTGCCCGGCTGCAGCCACAAGGGATGTTCCGCTGTTTCCAGGCCCTGTGCTGCCTCGGGCGCATGCCGCCCGGCCCCTCACTGACCCGGCTTTCTGTCCCCAGCCCCGGGGCCCGAACATGGGGGGGTGCGCACCGCAGGCCTGCTCTAGACTCGGGTGTGGTCTGTCTTTTCTGAGCCCACATCGTCTCTCAGAAGGGTCCGGAGGCTCCCCAGCATCACCCCGACCCTGTATCGGAAGTGCTGGTGGAGCAGGCACTTCTCTCAGCCCCAAACTGGCCATCTGTGTGACTTCCCTTCCCAGAAGGGGGCACGATGGTCTCCACAGGAGATGCTCTCTCTGTCCTCCTCTGTACCAGCCTGCGCCCCTCACCCAATGGGCACCCCTCCCCCAACTTGGGGACTGGCATCATTGGCTCCTCTTACACCCCAGAGAGGGCCGAGCCTGTCTTCTGCCACAGCAGTGGGCGTCTCCGTCTCACCCCAGGGTCCTTGTTCTGGCCTCCCCGGCCCCATGCATCCTCTCCTCTGCCCTAGAACCCGCTCGTCCTTGGGTGCTTGTGATAGGCTTTCCTGACCAGCCCCCTCCCCTGCTGCCCTCCCCTGCCTGCCTCTGGGGCTTCTGAAGAGCTCTCCATCCCCAGGGTGCCCGGAGCCTCCGGTTCCCCCCACCAGCCCCTAAGGCTGGCACAAGGACAGCTGGCCTCGCTGTGGCCCAGGCATGGGGAGGATGGGCACGTTAGTCCTGCCTGCGCCGGGCTGGCCCCTCCCTCCCTTCCTCAGCTCCCGCCACTCTCCGGTGACGGCTGCAGCCGGCGTGTTCCCTCCCTCGCTCCCTCCGCCCTCCGCCCGCCTCCCACCCGCCCGCCCGGCACTGCAGCATTCTCCCACTGCAGCTCCAGCCGCCGCCCGCGCCACTCCGGCCTCCGCAGCCCCCGCCAGCACCAGCACCATGGCCAGCACCATGTCCGGTAGGTGCGGGCCGCGCCTCCCGCGGTGGGCCCGGGCAGAGGCCATTGTCTGCTTTTCCACGTGGGACCCCGGGCACTGGCAGGGAGCCGGGCGGCTGCGCCAAAACCGCAGGGGCAGCGGCCAGAGGCGGCAGCGGGTGCGACCCAGGGCCCAAGGGTGGGGCCAAGGCCCAGGCTGGTGCTGGGGAGGGCAGGGGCCGCGCCCTGGGCTGGGGGACAGGAGCGCGGGCACCACAGCCCCTCGGGGCGCAGCGGCGCCAGGTCAGGGTGACTGCACCGTGCCCTTTGGGGGGCATGCTCACGGGGCGCAGACAGGGTCTCCCGAGACTCCAGCCGAAGACCCGGGTCAGACCCAGGCTGGGGGGGGGCAAGAAGGTGGGTCCCCTGGCGGGAGCCCCAGCGCTGAGCAGCCAGACGCCCTACGCCAGCAGAGCACAGGGAGGGGGAGGGGACGGGCGGGTGGGGGAGGGGACCCCTGGGAGCAGGCGGAGCCGCCCTCCCTGCATAGGCTGGAGACCACTCAGCCCGGGGCTGCGGGTGGGGGAGGCGCGGCTCGGCTCTGCCTGCAGCCCTCCCAGAGTGCGGGGCTGCCCCTCCGTCCCCCACGGCCTGCCAAGCCCGGGCAGGGCGCCCCCCCTCTTCCTTCTTGGCCTGCATCCCCGTGGAGCGCTGGGGTGGGGGCCGGGGCTGCTCTCCACACTGGCGGGGCTGGCAGCCACCCGCCCCCCACTCCACTCCCACCGGGAGCCACACCTTTGCCACCAGCCTCACCTCATCCTCTCCAGGAGCCGGGCTCAGCCACCCACGTGCGCCCCCCTCACCCCGCCCCGTGGGGCGCTGCCCTTGTCAGGGAGCGGAGCTGGCCTGACGGCGCCCCTCCCCCCGTGCAACTGGGGCCTGCCGCCCTGGTCTCCTCTGCACACACAGCCAGAGGCCTTCGGCCAGCTCTGGACACAGTGGGCGCCCCCCCCACCCCAGGGCTCCAGGCCCTTTCCATGACGGCGGGGTTGCCGTCCGCATGGGGATGGACCCCCACCCTGCTTCCCATCTCCCGGGCTGGGTTCAGGGGCCACAGGGGCGGCTCTTCTCCGCCCCCTTCCTAAGAGCCCTGCGCCTGCTGCTGTCCCCTGGGGCGCCCGGGAGTGGCGCCCAGACCCCACAGCCCCGCTGCCACCCAGGCGGGCTCCGAGTCCTCCTGGGTCTGGGTTAGGTTGCAGGCTGGTGATGTGGCGCTTTGTCTCTTTCCCTTTTAACTTACAAGGGCTTGCCAAAGAAACAGGCAAATCCAAACCAAGAGCGGCCATTGGTGCCAAGGAAACCTTAGGTGCAGTGGCCACTGGCTCCTGGGCACCTGGGTCAGCCAGACCTCTGCCCCCGACGTGGGCCCAGCCTTCCTGTTCCAGAATGCAGCCCCGGAGCCCCGGCCCGAGTTACCCCGGCCCTCCCGTCCACGCAGCAGGGCGGCCTGGCCCAGGGTGACGGCAGGCAGGTGACTGAGGCGGCCGGATCTCCTCTGCTGGGAGACTCCGGTGCTCCTCGGTGCACACGGCTGCCTGCCAGGTGCTCCCAGCTGCCAGAGGACTGGGCTGCGTCCACCAGCAGCTTCCTGGCGCCCCTTCCTGGAGGCCTCCTGGTTCTTGGGGCTCACGGGGAAGAAGTGGCCAGCCTTGGTGCCTGTGCTCCACAGCTATGGCAGAGTCCTGCTCACTGTCCCGGCACTCTGCCTGGAGGCTGTGCGCACTCCATCCGACCCCTGGGCCTCGGTGTCCCCATCTGGATGGGGGCCCCACGCCTCCCCAGCGAGTTTTCTGCAGAGACGAGGTGGTGAGGGCTGACGGCGAGGTGGCTTGCTGCGGGCCGGTCTGGCACCGTCTTCTGACTTGACTTCAGACACCCAAGCACCCAAAAGGCCCCGTGCATTTCTGCTGCTGGACATGTGCCGTGGCGAGGGGTGTCCCTGGTGTCCCCGCGGTGGGGGGCAGGCGTGGAGATGCCGGGGGCTGCCTGGCCTGGGCTGTGTCTACCGCCGCGACATCATCCCTCTACAACACAGCTGCTCGAGGCCCCTCCAGCTCTGAGCATGGGCGCACCTGCTGCCCCCTGGGCCGGCGCCCGCCCTCCGGCCCTGCAGTTTCCCTCGCTCCCCTCTCCAAAGGTGACGCTCCCTCCTGCCGACCTGGTCCTCTGGCATGCACATGGCCCGGCCGCAGAGCAGGCCTCTCCCAAGGCCCTCCGGGGGTCGCTCCCCTGGCTGCGTGAGAGCTGGTTTCCTGGGAAGAGGTGCGTCCCGGGCACCGGCCTGGGGACAGCGATGCAGGACTCCCCTGACCATGCTCCGTGCTGAGCTGCTTGCCTGTAGGCAGCTGCAGGACACCCCCTCAGCCCGGGTGGACAATTGTCTCCGGCAGACCTGTGACCTCAAGGGCTGTGGCCTCCAACTCCGGCCCGTTCCTGCCCACACAGCATTCACCCTGCTTGAGCCGCAGCCAGCCGCCCTGCCAAGGGCACGTTCCCCGCCGCCGGCCTGTGCGCGGCTCCTATCCCGGCGAGGTGGCCCTCCCCGGGGCTGAGACTCACATTCAGGAGGAACCATCTCCAAGGCCGGGTGGGGCTGGGGCCTATGGCCAGGAGACAGCTGGGCTGGAGGGGTGACCAGTTACAGGCCCTTCCTCCCGGGCCCAGGGTGCCCATGCCCAGGCCCCTCCACTCGGCTCCACACCTGCCTTTCTGAGCACAAGGTGGGCTGTCTGCCAGCCCTCCCCAGGGCCCAGATGCACCAGGTCTGAGTCCCCGCATGGGCGGGATGACCTGCAGGCAGGCTCTGGGGTGACCCGCTGCCCCTGTGAAACTCAGTCACACAAGCTCCGCATGCACAGGTGCTGTTTGCGAAAAAGCAAAATTGCCAGGTCAGGCACACTCTCCCTTTGGGGGCCACTCCCACTGCCCCCCATATCCTTTCAGCCTTCAGAAACGCCTACCCTGCCTCCCTCCAAACCCCAGCACACGCTGTTGCCGGCCTCTGTGCACCCCCTGGGGTGCCAGTGGGGCAGGCACCAGCACTGGAGACCAGACAGCACCATGCTCTGGGGGGGGGGGCGCTGGGGGGCCCACCCAGGCCGAGGCGCCTGGCTTCTGCCTCCCCGACTCCAACAGCTCAGCCAACAGTCTCCCGTGCGGTCAGCTCAGGGCGGTTCTCGTTCCCTCTGCATGTCCAGCTTGTGCCTGCCCTTGAGGGGGCTGCAGGTGACTGAGTGCTGCCTCCGTCCTGGGGTCGTGCTCCCTCCCCCTTCCCCCTGGAGTGTCTCCCTGGAGACCCCACCCCCCCAGCTTCCCTAGCCAGGGAGGCTCACACAGAGTGCAGGTCCCTAGACTGCACTTGGGGAGCTGCAACAAGGACGCCCTGCAGCTGGGCCCCTGGGGAGATGGGCCTTGGCCCGGGCACGCCCCCTGTGCGTCCACCCCAGCCCTGGCACCCTTCCCGCTGGGCCTGGAGCCCAGGCTCGGCTCGGCAGCTGGCCGGTGCTGAACGGACAGCTCCCTTCCCTGCGCCGGCTGAGGGTGTCCCGGGAGGCTGGATTTCCCGCGGGGGTGGCCCGACACCATGAGGGCCAGTGGGGAGGAGGCGCATCGGGGCCTCACCCAGGGGTACAGCTCAAGAAAGTGCTGCCGCAGCGGCAACACCTGCGCTGTCTGGTCAGGGGGTGGGGCTGCCTCGCCCCCCCGAGTGGGCAAGTGTCCAGGAGAGGGAACGGGTCATGTGGAGGGGCCGAGGGAGGACAGCAAGGTGCATGGTGACAAAGGCTCAGAGAGACTGGACAGGGGTCGTGAGATGGTGATGGACAGAGCGCCAGGCAGGAGGATGGACAGACAGCAGGACGGGCACAGGCAGGAGTGCCTGGAGAGAAAAAGAGGGAGAGGCGAGGGCTGAGGGGGAAGCAGGGCTGAGAGAGCAGGACCCAGAGGCATTTCCAGGGACAGTGGGGTCCAGCTAGTCAGGAAGGGGAGGGAGCAGTGGGGAGGAGGCTCAGGACAGGGGCAGGTGGGGGGGGCTGGGGGTGGGGCTGGGCAGGGAGGAGGCCCCTGTGGGGGGCTGGGGGTGCCCTGCTCATGCTGGCCTCCCTGCAGCCTACAAGGAGAAGATGAAGGAGCTGTCCGTGCTGTCCCTCATCTGCTCCTGCTTCTACTCACAGCCGCACCCCAACACCATCTACCAGTATGGGGGTGAGTGTGATCCTGGTGCTGTCTGGCCAGCTCCTGCTCCCCCTCGCCCTGCCCCCTGTGGCTCTCAGGGCCCCCCTGGCTTGATGGCTTTGGAGAAGGTCCTCCAGTGGGGACGGGTTGGGCTGGCTCAGGCTCAGGAGCAGCTGCGGCCCCGGGCGCCCGCCTTGCTGGCCTCACCCAGCCCCGCCTTGCGTGTCGCCCTGCAGACATGGAGGTGAAGCAGCTGGACAAGAGGGCCTCCGGCCAGAGCTTCGAGGTCATCCTCAAGTCCCCTTCCGACCTCTCCCCAGAGAGCCCGGTGCTCTCCTCCCCCCCAAAGAGGAAGGACGCCTCCCTGGAGGAGCTGCAGAAGCGGCTGGAGGCGGCCGAGGAGCGGAGGAAGGTGAGGCCCCTCCTGGCCTCAGAGCGTGGCCAGAGGCCTCCTGAGGCAGGGCTGCGTCCTCGGGCGCAGGGGGCTCGTGTCCGGCTCGGCCCCTGGCCTGGGCGAGTGCGGCGGCGGCAGGGCCGGGGATCCAGGGTCGGGGGCCGGCAGGGCGGGGAGGCCCGAGAACCAGACACTGGGGGGGACGGGCGTTGCCGCAGGCGGCGGCCGGGGCGGGGGTGGCCCCGGAGGCTGGACTGGCATCCGGCTGGCACGGGTGGCGCCTCCCACGGGCGGGGAGGCGGCGGCCGGCGAGCGAAGGGAGCCCGGCCTCAGGCCCCTGCGGGCCCGCGCTCCCCCGCCACCCCCCCCCCCCCCCCCCCGCGCACGCAGAAAGGCGAGGGGCGCGGGGCGCGGGCCTCGCGGCGTGGCGGAGAGTGACCGGCAGCGGCGCGCGGGCCGCGGGGGTCCCGAGGGCGCTGGCCGGCGGGGGGCTCCCGGCGGGGCGCAGCCGCGGCGCGGGGCGCAGCGGCCCGGCTCACCCGCCCGCAGACGCAGGAGGCGCAGGTGCTGAAGCAGCTGGCGGAGCGGCGCGAGCACGAGCGCGAGGTGCTGCACAAGGCGCTGGAGGACAACAGCAACTTCAGCCGCCAGGCGGAGGAGAAGCTGAACCACAAGATGGAGCTCAGCAAGGAGATCCGCGAGGCGCACCTGGCGGCGCTGCGCGAGCGGCTGCGCGAGAAGGTGCGCGGGGCGGGCGGGCAGGGGGCAGGTGGGCGGGCGGGGCCGGGGCCGGTGGACTCGCTGTGCGCTGCAGGAGCGAGGGCGCCGCTTCCGCCAGGGCCAGGTTAGCCCCGAGGCCCCGTCCACTGGCGCTGGCGCAGCCGGGCACGGACCTGTGGGGCCAGGCCGGGGCGCGGCGAGGCCTGCCGGGGCGCCCTCCTCCCGCCCCGGGTCGCCAGGGCCTGCACCGGGAAGGGCCTGCACCTGGAGCCACAGAGCTTGGGTTTGTGCGCGACCCCGGGGCAGAGCGCTGGTCCCCCGGGCTGCGGGGCGGGGGCAGGCCCTACCCACCCTGTCTCCTGCAGGAGCTGCACGCGGCGGAGGTGCGCAGGAACAAGGAGCAGCGCGAGGAGATGTCCGGCTAAGCCCGCTGGACCCGGCCCTGGGCCCCAAGGGGACAAGACACACTGGGCTCTGGCCACGTTAGGTCACCTTTGTCTAGACGCACTTTTGTCCCTGTCCCTCCTCCCCTCCCGCCCACATCCCCCCCACCCCCGCTTCAGGCTCCTCGGGCACTCGAGCTGTCCAGTCCTGTGTGAGTGGCTGACCACAGGCTCTCCCTGGGGGCCAACTGCCCTTGGCTCAGGCCCGGCCAGCGGTGGCTGGGCCCCTGGGGCCTCTAGTGGGCGGTGACCTCAATAAACGTAGTATGGTGGCAGGAACTTGGAGTCTGCTGCCTCGTGCTGGCCAGCCCTGCCCACAGACACAGCACTGCCCGTGTGTCTTCTGGGAGGAGCGGGGCACTGTGGACCCCACCCGCAGTGTAGACCTGGCTGCCCTGGAGCCACGTGTGGTGCTCATGGCACCTGCGGAGGGCCTTGCGCGGCTACATGGGGCACCCTGGGCAGGGCTGCTTCCCGGGCGTGGGCCTTCTCCACCAGGGACTATGAGCAGGCCGCTGCAGCCTGGGGGTTGGGGGCCCCATCAACACCCCTGCTACCGCCCCCCTCAGAAACGCCCTCCTCTATGGGCCCTGGCCAGGCTCTGCTGGCCCCCACCCTTGGCTCTGACCAGAGAAATCGTCCCCTGGTCCTTCTGGTCCTCCAGGCAATGGGCTGTTCAGGCAGGAGTGGCAGGGGTGAGTGGTAGCCACCCAAGTGCTCCTCCAGGGCCCCAGAGCCAGCATCTGGAAGCTCCCATGCTCCCCCAGGGCAGCCTTCCAGGGCTCAGCCAGAGAGCAGGCTGGGACTGGTCCCTGCAGTGGGTGAGGGGGAGTAATGACCCTGCCCCAGCCCCCCAGAAACCTCTGCAGGACTGGACCCAGCAATGCACACAGGGTGCCTCTGTGGCCCGAGGAGGGATGCGGAGGCTGCCTTCTCTGCAGCAGCAGCCGCCCAGTGCCAGGGGCGTGCCTCACCAGCACTGGCTGTCCGGGGCGGAGCATGGGCAGTGCCACGTGGCCAGGCATGGGCAGTGTCCAGCTGGGGCGCCCACAGCCGACTGTAGATGTCCTGGAGACGCCAGGAGGTGCGTGGGCAGCTGCGATGGTGTGGTGCTGCTGGGGGAGGACGGCCAGGGCCCAGGCACCTAGGTGGCTCACCACCCCCTGGGGCTGCCCGCCCCCCTCTGATGTGGGGATCATGGGAGCCCTTCCGGGGTGCTCCGGGATCTGGGAGCCAACAGCTCCCTGGTGGGGGTGGGGGCACAGGGTACAAGTCGACTTCCTGGCGCCAGCAGTGGACACACCTGACCCAAAGGCACATGCAGCTGCTGGGGTGCCCAGCCGGGACCCCAGTGAGGGAAGAGGTGGCCCCTGGTGCACCCCGGTCATGCCCTGCCCCTCTGCGGTGCGCAAGGCTCAGCGGGAGCACCGTCCGGAGGGCGGCCTGTCCGGAGCCACCACTCTCCCAGGGCTCCTGGCCCCTGGGGCCGGGGCGGCATGGTGGGGGCAAGTGGTGTCTGTGACGCGGGGCCCTTCAGAGGAGCAAAGACGGCCTCTGGGGAGAGGGGCAGGCAGTCAGGTCAGTGCTGCCTCAGTCTCCCTGGCATGTGGGCCGGGCGCAGTCCGGGCATCTTCCTGAGGCCCCCACGAGGCCTACGCGGCCTCCTGTTCCCACAGCCAGGCCTCTGCCCAGCCCACAGGCGTGGCCTCCCTGGGTAGTGCCATGGGCAGGAGGCTGGTGCCCGAGAGCTGACCCCAGGGTCAGCGACAGCGGCCTCCAGTGACCAGGTCACTTGGGAGAGGGGGTGGCCACCTCCTCTGGAAGGGGGACATGCAAGGGTCACAGGCATTGCTGGAAAGCCCTGGGACTCGGCTGTGAGCAGCCCGGATCAGCAGCCGCGGCTACTGGACCTGCAGCTGCTGCCTGAAGCCCCAGGCAGGTGCAGTGTGGTGCTCGGCGGACACGCGGGAGGGCGCTCGCGAGGCCGGGCCAGGCCCTGGGCACTGCCTGGGTCCTCACCATGCCTGTGGGTGGGTCACAGGGCAACCTCTCGTGTGTCTGGTCAAGTTTACAAAGGTGCCCCCAGGCCCCCACTGCAAGGACCCGCCCAGGACTCCCCCTCGGCGCCGCACCAGCAAGGACTCTCGGGGACGCTTCCCTGCCTTTGGCTCCAAGGACCCCAACAGTCCAACAGCTCGTGGAGGCCCCAGGGCTGTTTCCGTGGGCCACGCGGGTTGACATCGGCTACTTCAGGAATTAAAACTCAGAGGCTTAAGAGCCATTCGTTTGAAAACGACACCCGCACAGCATGTTAACAAATTGAAACACACATTCAAAATCAATGTTTTCCTGAAACAAAACAAAGCAAGGCAGGAGACTGTCGCTGCGGCACTGGCACTTCCCAGAGTGGCAGATCCGCCGGCAGCCGGCTCCTGTCAGGCGCGTGTTGCAGGAACAGCCGAGGTTTCCCCTTCAACACTGGGGGAGTCAAGCGGCCCAGCTCCTGCGACTCCCGGAAAGACTAACTTCAGCTCTGCCGTGCACCTGAGCTGGCTCTGCCCTCAGGGCCTTCCCAGGCCGTCCATCCAGTGTGCGCCAGGCCGCGTGGAGAGCGACGGACACAACATGGTGCAGTTTCCACACGCTGGCCTGGTCACCCGACGGTGCAGAGGAGGCAGGGACGCCGTGGACATTAGACGGAGGCCCCAGGGCACCCCTGCACCGCGGGTGGGGTGTCTCGGCCAGGGCAGAGGCAGGCGAGCAACCCGGGTTACTGGGGGGTCCTGTGTGGACATAAGGGTCCTGAGGAGTGGAAGAGGGGGGCTTGGAAAGGCTGAGAGTGGCGTGGGCAGGTGAGCGGGCAGGAAGGGGGAGGGGGTGCGAGCCAAGGGACAGGGCACCTCCAGGAGCTGCTGCGTCTGCGGGGGCCGAGCCCGCCTGCTCGGCCACCCCTGCATCCAGCAGGCAGGCGAGGGCCGGGAGCGGGACAGCAGGCGGTGACAGGCGTGGCGCCGCGGCTGCAGGGCGGCAGGCTGACCGCCAGTGCAGGACACACTGGCCGTCCCGTCCCCCACCCGGCGCCAAAGCGCCGCTGCTCCCGCGCGAGGCCTCCCGGCAGGCCGGCCAAGGGGAAGGGCCGGGGGAGCCCAAGCTCCTGGGGCAGACCCGGGGGCGCCCCTCCCCCGCCTCACAACCTACCCCTCCTCCCACTCGGAAACCGGCCGCACCTCCGGGGTCCTCGGGCTTTCCCAGAGCGCTCCCGAGCCCCCTGCACCCCGCAACCCACAAAGCAGAGCGCCGGGGCGGCGGGCTCGGACCCCGCCCCTCGCCCGCGGCTGCGCGGCCTCGCGGGCCCCCCCGGCAGTGAGCTCCGGCCGCCGCGCGGGCACGGGAGGCCCCGGCAGGCCGCGTCCGAGCGGGACTTCGCGGGGTCCTGGACATGGGGCGGCCCCGCGCCCCCCGCCGCGCTCGTCCTGCTGCTCGCGGGAAGCCAGCCGCGGCGCCCAACGGCCCGCGGGCCCTGGGGCTCTAGCTAACGGGGTGTCAACGGGCCCGCGCGGCCAGTCGCACCGGGCGCCCGGGAGCAGCACCCCGAGACCCGCGCCCTCGACCCACGCGCGCGCCGCCCGGGCCCGCCGAGGCCCCGCCCCGCCCGCCCGCGCACCCCGCGCACGCGCGCCGCGACCCGCCGGGACCTATTTCCCAGCGCCGCTCGCCTCCGCGCCCAACGCCAAATAAGTCGCCGGGCCCGCCCGTCCCCGTGCGTGCGCGGCCTCGCCGCCTGCGTCACTAGGAAGCGCGCGCCCGGCCCGCCGCCGCCGCCGCCGCCGCCGAATCCCCAACAAGGAGCGGAGCCCGCGGCCGCCGCCGCCGCCGCCGCCGCCGCCGCCCCCGCCGCCCGCCGGCCCCGCGCAGGCCCGGCCGCGGCCAGGTGAGCGCCCGCGCCCCCCCGCGGCGAGCCCCGCTCCGCGCGCGCCGTCCAGTCAGGGGTCCCTGCGGAGCGTCAGGACGTTACGGCGGGGGGAGGGGAGCGGGGGAGGGGCGGCGGCCGCGGCGGGCGTAGCGTCAGCGTCGGCGTGGCGTCCGCGGCGTCGCCTCCATGTTGGCGGCGGCGCGTGGGGCGCGGGGGCGCCCGCCCGCCCGCCCGGCCCGGCCCGGCCCGGCCCGCCCGGGCCCCGGCCCCCCGGCCGCGCCCCCCCGCCCCCGCCCCGCCCCCGCCCGGGGCCGCGCCCCCCGCCCCGCCCGGGGCCGCGCCCCCCGCCCCCGCCCCCGCCCCCGCCCGGGGCCGCGCCCCCCGCCCCCGCCCCCGCACCCCGCCCGGGGCCCCGCCCCCGCCCCCGCCCCCGCCCCCCGCCCGGGGCCGCGCCCCCCGCCCCCGCCCCCCGACCGCCCCCCGCGGGCGCGGACCTGGCGGGAGCCTGGGAACCCGCGGGGGCGCGGCGGGGGTGCGAGGCCGGCTGTCGGGGCGCGGCGGGGACCCCCAGGCTCTGCTGCCCGCGCGGCCGGGACGGGAGTGGCCGCGCGCCAGGGAGGCCCCGCGCCGCCCGCCCGAGCCCGGCCCCGGAGGCGGAAGCGGGCGCGGGACGCTGGAGGCGTGAGGCGCTGGGGGCACCCCCGAGGGCGCCCGGGAGCCCCGCCGCGCATGGGGCGGCTCCCGCTCCCGAGCGCCCGCGCCCGCCCCGGCCCTCCCCTGGCGGGACACTCCGCGCCGCGGGGGCAGCGCGGGGCCGGCCCGCGAGGGTCCGCGTCAGCGCGGCTGGGGCGGAGCCGGCGCGGCCGGGCGGGGTGCGGGCGGGGTGCGGGCGGGGTGCGGGCGTGGGGACCGAGCGTGCGCCACGCCCAGACGCGCGGGTGCGACGGTCACGAGCCTGGAGCAAGTGCCGCGCACGCGGGGGCCGCGGGGGGCCGTGGCCCGTGCGCCGGGCGCTGCTGTCCCCTCGGAGAGGCCACCCGCCCGGCCGCCCTCGGGGCTGCGGGCAGCTGCGGCCTCGGAAGAGCTGGAGCCGTCGAAGCTCCGTACACCGAGGCGCAACAGGGGGCGCTGGTGAGCAGCTCCGTGGGGCTCAGTGACCCTCGTAGGGCTGGACCCCGCAGCCGCTGCCCGCTGGCGGCCCAGTGGGCCCGGACACCTTGTCGGAATGTGCGCTGGAAACAACTCAGCAATCACCCGGGCCGGTCCACACTCGTGGGCGGCGGACCCGGCTCCCCTTTAGGGAGGCAGGATGCCCTTGGTAGGGCTGTGGGGCACCCCAGGGCTTGTTGCTGTCTGGGTACCCCCCCCAAGCCTCGGATGGTCTTCCCGTCCCCGCGCCCTGCTCCGGGGAGCACCCCTTATCCCTGGCTGGCTTCAGAGCCTCGCCTCGCCCCTCACGCGTCACCCCTGGGCTCCCTCCCTGCGGGACAGGGTGGCCCTGCCGGGCCCTTCCCTAGGGCCTCGCTGCTCTCTCGTGAGTGTGCTTGGTCCTCGGCTGCGGCCCTGCGGGCCTCTGCGGACTGTTCGTCCTCGAGTCCGTCAGATTTCCCCAGGTTGTCGTGCGTCAAATACGCTGGGCTGTTCTCTTGACCGGTAAATACTTTACGTCCGTGAAGAAGAGCTGGGGTGCAGGCCAGGGGTGCAGGGGAGTGAGAGGACTCCCCAGAGACAGAGCGGGGAGCAGAGCAGGCGGATCCACGGAGACACACTGCTGACGGGGCAGCGGGGAGCAGGAGAGGTCTGCCGCGCCCTGGCCGGGGATGGCCGCAGGCCGCAATGGCTGCCGACAGCTTGATAGCACCGAGACTCACCCCTTGGGCCCAGGGAGGCCGGTACTTTGAACTTTAAGCTGTAGACCCGGTCTGGGGGATGCCGGTGGCTTGTCATGGACACAGCCTGGCCGCCCACCCAGCTGGCCCAGCCTCGGGAGTCCCGCTCACTCGCTCTGCCCAGAGGCACCTCCAGAGCCAGCTGAGAACCGCTGGGTGGACGTCTGTCCTGGAGGTCACTTCTCAAATCCTTTAATTTGCCATTTCAGGGATCAGGTCCCCACACACGTCGGGGAACCCCAGCATTCACAAGCCACTGGGCGTGCCCCCTCTGCAGCTTCCTGTCTGCACCCTCTGGGCCCCCATGCCCTGGGCAGAAACCCAGGCTTCCGTGTGGCCCCTGTGCTGCCACCTCCGGGGTACACCCCGCCAGGCTGGGGAACAGATGCTGGGAAGGGGAGGCCGTGGGGCCCCGCGCCTCCCAAGGACTCGCGGCCCGTGCAGCCGCAGGGCTTCGGCAGAGGCTGCGGGCGCGGCCGACTAAAGAGCGTCAGGAACGGCTCCCTCCAGCCGGGCTCCCCCTGTCCCGGGTGGGAGCGAGGCCCGTTCCTGAGAGCTTCTGTCCTCGGTTCTGGGGTGAGGGCGCTTCTGAGCTTGAGCTGGACAGAGGATCCAGCAGAGGCAGCGGGCGGCGACCCCACCTCCCCCTGCTCCCCTGGGTGGGACCCCGAGCCCTGGCCCTGGAGCGCCCTCTGCTGGCGCCGTCCTCTGCCGGCTGCCGGGGCTGCCCCGGCCTTGGACAGACGCTGCCCTTCAGCGTGGGCATCACCTGGCGCGTTCCTCCAGGACTGTGGACCGGAGGAGGCACCATGGCGACCCCGGACGTGAGTGTCCACATGGAGGAGGTGGTGGTGGTGACCACGCCTGACACGGCGGGAGACGGCAGCGGCCTGGAGGAGGTGAAGACGGTGCTGGTGACGGCCAACCTGGCCCCGCACGGGTGAGCACGCTCCCCTGGTGGGGACGGGAGTGGAGCGGGCACCCTTCGCTTCAGCCCCTGTGCTCCCTGGCGAGAGGGCCCGCCTGCTGGGGGGACAGGCACTAGGGCGCGGGCAGAGCAGGCCTCCGACCTGCCCCTCCCCCCCTTTCTGGAGCTGCCCCTGTCCTGGGGGCGGGACCCTGTGCCGACCCACCTGTGGGGCCTCCGTCCTCTCCAGCAGGCCGGGGGGCGGGTCGTGGCCCTGGGGCCCCCGGCCTGCCCACTGGCTGGGCGCACCCCTCACGCAGCCAACCGCCAGGCTGCGGCCTCTCCTGCGGCAGAGCTGGGTGCTGGCTGTGGAGCGGGGCGCTGGCTGTGGCGCGTGCCGCGTTCCTGCCGTGGCGGGAGGCTCAGACGCCCCGGCTCCCCCGCCCCGGGTGCACCACCCTTCAGACCCTGAGGGCCCCGCGTGGGCTTTTCATTCCATGTTTAATTGGCCACTTTGCAGGGGACGTTTATGAGAGATCTTAGAACGGCTTCTGGTGAGAGGCCCGGGCAGCGAGAGAGAGGTGCTGCGGAAACCGGCCCCGCGGGGAGCCGGGTGGTGGGGCAGACCCTGGGCCCCTCCGCGCCCCATGGGGCAGCGCCCAGGCTCCGGGCCTCTGTTCTGCAGGCGGGCAGGTGCGGGCCCCCTGTTCTGCATACGGAGCCCCTTCCTCCCTGGGCGAGGGCAGGAGCACGTGCGTCCGTGTCCCCGGCACGCTGCACCCTCCCACTCGCCGCGAGGCTGGTGGCGCCTTTGCTTCCCCGTGAGACCTGCTGGGCTCTGGGGTGTCCCCTCAGCGTCGCCCCGCGCAGCCCCCATGCCTGGCGGCTCCACCAGGTGTGCTGGCGGAGGCAGGGGTGTCCTTCCTTGGCGCCTGGGCTGGCCAGGCTGGTGCTGCGGGCCCGCGGGCTCTGGCACTTCCCGCTCGTGGCTGTCACCCGGGCCCCACGGTGGAAGGCACCAGCAGCATGTTGGGCTCCCAAGGGCTCATGGGGCCTGGACATCCCTGAGGCTCGTCGGGCTGTGCCCCGGCAGCCTGGGGTGCTCTGAGCAGGCTTCTGGCTGCAGGCGGGGTGCCTGGGAGGCCCTGCGGGTGTTTGCCCCCCTCTGTGGGAAATCTCACCCGCCGTCTCCCTGGTTTGAGGCTGAGAGTCTTGTTAGTTTTGTATAACTGGGGGCGTGAAAGCTAGTTAATTACGTTGTGGGAGCAGATTTCTTTTCTGGCTGGGTTTTGGGGAACTGGGGAGCATTCCTGTGTGTGGCAGTCGGGAAGGCGGCTGCCCCCACCCACCTCTTTGCCGTGGCAACAGCACAGGCAAGCTGTGGGGGAGCAGCTGCAGGGCCTGGGCAAGCCCAGGGCCAGGTGGGACACCCGGGGGGAGGTGGGACTGGCGCTGGTGTCCTCCTGGGCTCAGCCAGGTGCTGAGCAGGTGCTGGGCGTCTCTGTCCGAGAGGCGAGGCGCACGCAGGTCGGCAGCGTGGACCGCCCAACACTGCTGGCCCGGGCGGCTGGCCCTGCTCAGGGACACTCTGGCCCGGCAGTTCAGGCTTTTGCAGCGCTGGGGTAAGCTGCGAGGACTGTGGGCAGACGGGGTGGACATGCCCAGGCCCGGCCGCCCCACTGCTGTGAAGCGCTCTGTGTGGCCTGTCAGCAGCCCTGCTCCTCCCTCCTGGGTGTCCCTCCAGGCACTCTTGGCCCCAACTCGTCCCCAGGGCCAGGGCCTGATTGGCTCGCATCAGGGCCCCGCTGCCATGGTGGCTCCCCCTGGGACCGCGCTTGCTCTGCCGTGGCCGGGCGTTAGTACTCTGGGGCTCAGGCTGCCGCTCTCCTTTGTTCACCACGTCTTGCGTGGAGCCTGGGTCACCACATCACACGCCACTCCCGGGCGCACCACCTGGTTTGGCCCCGTGCGGTGCTGGCGGCGGCTGCTGCACTTTGGAGGGAGCGCCGGGAGCCCAGCCCAGAGAGCAGGCGCCTGGCCCACCTGCAGCTGAGGCCTGGCCTGCAAGCCGGCCCTCGGGGGCAGTGACCAGGGATCAAAAGGGACACCCCGTGCCCTTGACCTTGTCCAGCTGCTCCTTGGGGTCTGAGCCTTTTTGCGGTCACGTCTAGGAATCTCCCGGCCAGATGCTGCCCCGGAGCTGAGCTGCTCCCTGCAGGCCTCTATCCTCTGCGGTCCCCACATGCTCCGCTCCGCGCAGAGTCCAGAGCTGACCACACTCTGCCGTTCATGGCCTGCGGCGCCCCACCCACCCAGGGCGCGCGCTCGCCCAGCGGCTGCCATCCCACGCTGGGCTGTGGGGCCGGGCCTTGCTCCCGGAGTGCCGGGACTCCACTCTGCGGGCCGGGGGCTGCTGGTGCTCTGGCCCCATGGCTGGGGCAGGCGTGCCTGGAGGCCCCAGGAGCCGCCCCTTGAGTGGCTGTTCTGTGCACGTGTGTCTCGGGGGCGCAGGTGCGGAGCACGGGGGCTGGGTCATAGGGCAGCTTGCCAAGCCCACGTGTCACCGCCCGCCTGGTGAGTTTTCAGTCCAGCAGTTCCCGTGGCCCGAGGGGCCCTCTCCCGCGGCCAGGCTCCGGCCCGAGACCCCGCGCTCCCACACACCCGCGCGCCCCCGTCAGGTCCCGGGGACACGGCTTCTGCTTTCACTTTTTAAAAACTCATCACCTGCCGCACCTTTGGCTCTTGTGCCGTGTAGGCGAAGCGTCGCCGCTCGGGGCTGTCCGTTTCCCGCTTCCTCCCCGCGGCGCCCTGGTCCCGCCCGTCCGCGCGCGCGGTGGCCCGCGGTTTGCTTTGCCGTGGCACGAGCCTTGTCCGTGGGTGGCGTTTCCCTTTTCTAAACTTGCCTGTTCTTCGTGGCCTCTGTGGCCACGGGAGATTGTTCCACCGGGGCGGAAGCCTCACTGGAGGCGGCGGGGCCCGACGTCCGCCTCGGTGCCGTGCTCCCGCGAGGGCCCGGCCGGCTGCGCGGGCAGGGGCGGGTGCTGACGTCCCCTTTTGTGGCCGTTCCAGGGCGGAGCTGACGGAAGACCCCATGGAGGCGGAGAGCGCGGCGGCGGCCTTCACCGCGTCCTCGCAGCTCAAGGAGGCTGTGCTGGGTAGGCAGCCGGCCGCGCCCTTCCCCGGAGACTGCCAGGGCCCCTCCCGTGGCGGCCTCAGCCAGGGCTCTGCCGGCATGTGGCCCCGGCCTGGGTCCCCGTCCTCGCCGTCTCCGGGCTTCGGTCAGCTGCCGCCCAGCGCGGCCGCCCGCGAGCGGAGGACCAGCCTCGCAGGCGCCTCGGGCCAGAGCGGGGCCCCCGCCAGCATCCGTGCGCCAGGCTGCTGGCCCCGAGGGCGGGGGGCGGCCGCGGCGGGAGGTGGTCACGCGCCCTCTTCTCCCCTCCCCGCCGACCCTTGTGAGAAGTGAAGATGGCCGAGGAGGGGGAGAGCCTGGAGGCCGAGATCGTGTACCCCATCACCTGCGGGGACAGCCGCGCCAGCCTCATCTGGAGGAAGTTCGTGTGTCCCGGCATCAACGTGAAGTGCGTCCAGGTGAGTCGCGGCCAGGGCCCGGCTGCAGGGTGGGATGGTGGGGGGAGGGGAGGGCAGGCGCTGCCCGGGGCCGCGCCTCCGGCTCTGCCTGACCCTCCCGGTGGCTCTGGTCGCGCCGCCCTCTCGCTCCACAGTACGACGAGCACGTGATCAGCCCCAAGGAGTTCGTGCACCTGGCGGGCAAGTCCACGCTCAAGGACTGGAAGCGGGCCATCCGCATGAACGGCATCATGCTCAGGTGGGCGCCCCGGCCGGCCGCCCGGGCCCGTCTCTGCTCCGGGGCCGCTGTGCCCTGGCCCGTTCCGGGCAGGCCAGTGGGCTTGGGGGTCTCACGTAGGTCCCCGTGTGCTGGGGGATGGGCCCACCTGGACTGCCCCGACCCGCTGCGGCTCAGGGGCTGTGGCCGGGCCTGGGTGCTGAGGGCCGGGTGCACGGGGGACTAGGGCGCAGCCTCTCCCCAGCTGGGGGACGCACTCTGGACTTTGAAGTCCACCCCGAGCTGACCCCTGACTTTGTGCTCTGGCCTTTCCGGACGGTGAGAGGCCGCCTACAGCGGTGGCCGCCCTGCCTGTGCACTGTGCTGGCGGTGAGCGCGGGGCTGGCTGCCGTGCCGGGGGCTGCCCGCCTCGCCCGCTCCACCCGGGGGCAGTGGCCACTCGCCAAGCTGGGCATGTGCTTGCGGCCAGCAGCCCGTCAGGGTCCTTGGGAGCCACGGTCTGAGCCGGGACCCAGCAGCTACGGTCCCCGCTTCTGTTCACACTCTGGAGTGGGGCTTGGCAGCCACACCCAAGGCCCGCGAGGGAGGGGCGAGGCTGGGGAGTTGAGAGCTGGATGGGGATCCAGGCCCTGGGCGGCCGACTCTGGCCGGCGGGAGCACGGAGTCTCCCTGGTAACGCCAAGGACAGGCGCCACGGGGGCAGGTCAGGCCACAGCCCTTGGCAGTGGGAGCCCCGCGCTGCAGCCTGGAGGGGACAAAGCCCCGGCCAGGGATAGGCCTGGACGCCGGCCCCGGGAGCCTCCGTGGGGACGCCCCGCCTGGGGGCCTGCCGCTCCCAGCTCCCGCCCCCCCGGACCCTCATGATGCGTGGGAGGCCCCTGGGGCCCTGGTGCCAAGTGTCCCGCCCGCCGCAGGAAGATCATGGACTCGGGGGAGCTGGACTTCTACCAGCACGACAAGGTCTGCTCCAACACCTGCCGCAGCACCAAGATCGACTTGTCAGGGGCCCGCGTGTCCCTGAGCAGCCCCGCGGCCACCGAGTTCCTCCCGCTCACACCCGCCACCGCGGACGGTAGGTGCTGGGCGGCCGCTTTGTGGACGGGGATGGCGGGGGCGCTGCTCTGAAGGCGTTTTTTAAACAAAAGACGGAATTTTATTGTTCCTGTGAGTGACTAAGGCGGGCGAGGTGGTAGCACAGATCCCCAGCCCGCGACCGCCGCCTGGCCCCCGGGGTGCTCCTGCCCGCTTCTGGCTGGTCTGTCCCCAGAGTGCTGTCCGCTGGGTCCGGAGCCCCGGAGAAGAATTCAGGGCTGAGGCGGGCGTCCAGTTTATGGGGACGGGGCTGGGAGAGGTCTGGGTGGCGTTCCCGTGGCTGAGCCGCCCATCTGGTCGCAGTGAACGGTTCCCCGGCCACCATCACCATAGAGACCTGCGAGGACCCAGGTGACTGGACCACGGCTATCGCAGGTACGGCCGGGTTGCCCGGGCGTGGCTTGGCCCTGAGCACAGAGCTGCTGCCCCGCCCCGCCGCAGGGCGCTCAGAGCCGGGCTGCCAGCAGGACCCAACTGTTCCTCCCCCGCAGATGACACGTTTGCCTTCTGGCGGGGGCTTAAGGATGCGGGGCTGCTGGACCAGGTCATCCAGGAGTTCCACCAGGAGCTGGCGGAGACCATGAAGGGCCTGCAGCAGCGGGTCCAGGACCCCCCCCTGCAGCTCAGAGGTGAGGCGGGTCCCGAGCCAGCCGGGTGCTCCCCTGGGCCCAGCTGTGCTTGCGGGCCTGGGGTGGTGCCCTCCCTCCTGGGACGGGGCGCGGCTCCGAGACCTGGCCGCAGCTGCCTGCCCTCCGTGTGCTGCCCTCAGACGCTGTCCTCCTCAACAACATCGTGCAGAACTTCGGCATGCTGGACCTGGTGAAGAAAGTGCTGGCCAGCCACAAGTGCCAGATGGACCGCTCGCGGGAGCAGTATGCCCGCGACCTGGCAGGTACGCGGCAACAGGACCCTGGGGGCGGGCGGGGTGGGGGGCACCAGGGCCCAGTTCCCGGGCTTGGGCTCCTGGGAGGGGGCAGGTGGCCAGGACAGTGGGCGGAGCCGTGGCCCTCCATGTCCGTGCGTCCCAGAGCCGCCTTCAGCAGCGGTGACGCAGCCCTGCCCGGGCCCTCCCCACGAGGCCTGACCCGGTGGCGTGGGCGTCCGGGTGCCCCTGGGCTCCAGCTCCCGGCGGTGCCCACGCCTGACGCCACCTGCCCGCAGCCCTGGAGCAGCAGTGCGACGAGCACCGGCGGCGCGCCAAGGAGCTCAAGCACAAGTCGCAGCACCTCAGCAACGTCCTCATGACACTGACGCCCGTGCCCCTGCCGCCCCCCGGGAAGCGGCCCCGCCTCGCCCGGGCCACCTCGGGGCCGGCCGCCATCGCCTCGCAGGTGCTGGCCCAGTCTGGGCAGCTTGCCCTCCCGCCGGGCGTGCCTGTCTCCCAGCTGGCCAGCGTGCCGCTGGGCAAGGTGGTGTCCACCCTGCCCGCCCCCGTCCTGGGCAAGGGCTCCCCACAGGCCGCCCCCGCCGGCTCCCCGGCCTCACCGCTGCTGGGGGGCTACACGGTGCTGGCCTCCTCGGGCCCTGCCTTCCCCAGCGCCGTGGAGATCCACCCCGACGCGGCCAGCCTCACAGTGCTGAGCACAGCCGCCATGCAGGACGGCAGCACCGTGGTCAAGGTGGTGAGCCCGCTGCAGCTGCTGACTCTGCCCGGCCTGCAGGGCGTGGCCCAACTGTCCCCCGGGGGCGGTGCCACAGTGACCGTGCCCTCGGGGGCTGCCCCTGGGCCGGAGGAGCACACCGCCACCATCGAGGTGGCCGCCGTGGCGGAGGGCCCCGAGCAAAAGTAGCCGCTGCGCGGCCCAGCAGACACAGGCGGCGGGCAGCCAGGGCTGCCGAACCAAAGAGAGGACACGCCAGAGCGGACCGCAGGGCGGGCAGAGCATCCGAGCCGGCCGCCGCCGTTCTGGGGAAATCTATTTTTCCATCTGTTACTTATTAATACTGTTTACACGCTGGGCCTTGACCAGGGGCCGGCGGGAGCGTATGGGAGGCCCCGCCAGGCCCCCATGGCCGCCCTGGGCCCGGCCTGCCCACTGGCTTGAGTCTGGGGGCTGTGCCCGAGCGGGACCCTGGATCCTATGGATTTGGTATCTTCCCACAGTTTTCTGTAGGGCTAGCACGGCCCCCACGCCCCGCCGGCCCGGGACTCACGTGGCGTCCAGTGCGGCAGCCTGGGGCGGGGGGCAGCCCTCCCTGCGGGTGCCAGGGCTGTACTCAGGTGCCTGGTGGGGGTGGGCACTGCTTTCAGGCCAGGCCTCAGCCTGGGGTCCCACTCTGGCCGCTGTGAGATGTTCCCGGCACAGTGGGGGTGTCCTGGGGCCTGGTGCGAGAGCCTGCCAGAGGCGGGTGGGCCTCTGGGGGCCCAAGGTGTCCACAGCTCTGATTCTGGACTCGGTGGGAGGAGGGCGGCACCCCCAGGGGGAAGGCATCTGGGGTCCAGGTGCCTGTGGCTGTCCCTGAGGGAGGCCCTTCCTGGGGTTTCTGGAGGGAACCAGGTGCCCGTCCACTGTCCTTCCATTTGTCACGTGCCCGCCCTCGGCCAGTCACGTGCCCGCAGCGCCCCCATCTGTCCAGCCCTTCTCAGGCTCTCACCGCGTCCAGTCGGTGCCCCAGTGCCCACCGCCCGCTCAGACCCAGCCAGGCTGCATCACTCGTGAAACTGCTTTCTGCCCGCGGGGCCTGGTGGCTGCCTCCGACCGCGGCGGGGCGTCCAGGCCCCCCGCGGCCCCCGGGACACCCGCCCAGCCCCACTCAGGCCTGCGCTGCGGCTCACGCTGCCCGGCCTCTGGGCGGGCCGGCGAGCGGGGCTCAGGCCAGGCGTGTGCCCCCCTTTGTATGTTGTTGTGCGGGCACCTGTCGGCGCTTGCACTGAAAATAAAAGTTTCTCACAGTTTGTGTCCAGAAGGTGGCAGAGGAGCGGGGGGTGGTGCGCGTCCACTCCGCTGGCCAGGCCGCGGAGGATCCAGGCCCCACGATCAGAACTCCTGGCAGCACCGGGCACATTGGGCCTCGGGCCTTGGCACCTTCTGGGAGCCACGACGCGTCTGTGGTGGGCCAGGACGCGCCTCAGGGGACATGAAGCTGTCCTGGGGGTGGTGGCCCCAAGACCCCTCTGATGGCAGGACCCAGCCGCCTCCTGTGGGGCAGCGGGGCGCCTTGGACATGGGTGGCCCTCGCAGGAGCTCCAGGGCGGGCCTCCTGCCCACCTGGCCTCAGCCCTGAGGGAGTGGGCGGGGTGGGGGTGGGGTGTCCCGCCACCCGGGGCTCCTGGGACGGCTGCTTGCTGCTCGGGCCTGAGCTGGGCGAGGCTGGGCTTCCTGTGTGGGCCGGGAGGGACGCCCCAGCGGTGCGTGGGCTCTTCACAGCGTCTTGGTGGGGCTGCAGGGAGACCGCTGTCCTGGGCATCCACGCCTGAGGGGCAGCAGCGGGCACCCGCGTGCTGTTGGGGAGGCTGGGCCGAGCCGGGGGTGGTGCAGCTGCAGCGACCGTGGGCCCTGGGGCGGCCCCTGCACCCGCAGTCTGCCCTGGCACGGCCGGGCCTTGTCCGGGACGAGGCCCCCATCCCCTCCGCTCGGGCCGCGCCCCTGGGCTCTCGGCCGGCTCCTTCCTGGTCGCGGGTCTGACCCTGGGGACGGCTGCGGCCCCGCCTGGGCGGCAGACTTGCTTGACGTCTCTTAAATAAAGTAGACTTTTAAGCGTGTTGCTGGTCTGGTTTTACGGAGACGCCTGACGGTTCCGTCGAGGCGGTTTTGGGCTCGCGGCAGAGCTGGCGGCAGGCGTCTTCCCCCCGGCCGGCTCTGGTGTCGTTGGGTCGCGGCCCGGTGGCAGGCTCTTGGCCACCTTGCGGAGCGGACGGTCTGGCCGCAGCGGGGGGTGGATGAGCCCCGCGAGAGGCTGCCGGCCGGCCGGGCCTCCGGATGCTGGTCCCTGGCCCGAGCGCCCTCCCGCCTCCAGCTTTCCGGCCGGCCGCCTCCTGCCTTTGGGTCCATCCCATGGCCTGGGCAGGGCGGCCCGTCCGCAAGGCCCAGCTGCGGCCCTGCTCCTGGGGCGCTTTCCGTGTCCTTGCTGAGGGCGCGTGCCCAGCGCAGGCTGGGGGCTCGCATTGGCTCCGGGCGCCCCGGGCCGTCCAGCTCGTCCCCACCTCTGCTTCGTGCTCTGCCTTGTGCGCCTGCTCCGCTGTCCTGGGGGCGGCTGGGCCTGCGGCGGACTTGACCTTCTGTCAGGGGTCGGCCGCGCCTGGGCGTCCGCTTCTGGGAGGGCCAGAGCGCTGGGGCCGCGTGTGCACCCCGGAGGGCTGGGTCCGGGCGGGGCCCCGCCCGCAGCAGGAGAGGCGCTCCTCGTTGGGGGCAGGGGCGGGAGGGGACCCGCTGCTCATTCAGGAGCGGCACCCTCGCCCCTGGCGAGGGTCGCCCAGCGTGACGGGGCGAGAGGGCCACCGAGGTGCGGTGGTGCTGGCACAGGAGCGGCATGCCCGTGCTGCGTCCCCCTGCCGAGGGTGCCGGGGACAGGCCCACCTAGGCCGGCGTGCGGGGAGGCTTCCCAGCTGCCCGGCTGCCCAGAAGGGTGCGCAGGGTGAGGCCCCGGGTGCAGGCCCCTCGGGGGCGGGGCCTGGACAGCGGCTGGCGGCCTCGCTTCCGCCCTCCGGGGCCGGAGCTACAGGAGCAGCCGCGCCCGGTGACCTTCTGCCGGGACAGCACCGCGAAGGGCGGTCCAAGAGGCCCTGGCGGCTGTCGGGGGCTGGTGTGCCGGGGCGCCCCTCCCTGCACGGGGTCCCCCCAGCCCCGGGCCAGGGCGTGGCCGCGGCCGGGCAGGAGGGTCCTGGAGGCCAGGCCCGGGTCAAAGTCCTGCGTGGGCGGGTCGCACCAGAGGCAGGAGGACGAGACCCACACGGTCAACAAACTGAGGCGGGGCCCGGCTGAGCGGCGAGGGGCGCTGGTGCCGCAGCCGGGGCGGGCGAAGGCCTGACTCACAGCAGGTGTCCTGCGGCCGGGCAGGCCGAGGGGCGCCGCGGATCCCCAGCCTTGCGCGCTCCGCTGGCCCGCTGCGTGCCGCGCACAGGGCACGAGGCAGACCCCTGGTGCGAGACGTCCGTGTCCCCTTGTGCAGGGGGCGCAGGGCCACGGACGCCCGTGAGGCTCCCCGTCACCCTCCCCTCGTGGGCCCCGGCAGGACGCCGAGCCCGGGAGCCCCCCCAGTCTAAGGCACCTCCTTGCGGGCCGGGCAGAGGGGCCGGGCGGAGAGGAGCACCTCGGGGCCCGGGCGCGGGCTGCAGGGGCCTCTCCTCGCCCTCTCCCTTCCGAGCGCCGCCTCCCGGCCCCGGCCCTGGCACAAGCCCCCGACGAGGCGCCAGCGCGGCTGCTTCGCGTCTGCCCCACGCGCCCGTGCCCTGGCCCTGGCCGCCCCTGCCCAGGGCCTCACACCATCAATGATTAAGCCGGGCCTGACCCCAGGACAGGGCGGGCACACGTGGCCGTCCTCGGGGCAGGAGGGAGTGGCTCCCGCGTGGGCCGGGCTCCGGGGACCGGGCATGAGGCCTGTGCTGCCCACCTTGCCACGCGTCCCCGCGGCTCGGCCCTCTCACGGGAAGTCTCCGCCCACCGGCTCTCACCTTGGCCTGCCCCTCCCTTGCCGCCTCCAGTTTGTGGGGGCCTCTCTGGGGATGCCCAAGGGCGGTGAGTGGGTGCTGGGCCGGGACCCTGAGGACAGTGCCCGGGGCTGAGGGTGTGGCGGGCTGGGGCGCTGTCTGGGGCCGGTGCCCTGCCAGCAGGGCTCCTGTGGCGCCATCAGGGAAGGTTCTGGACCGGAGGTGACGCAACCCCGCGTCGCCTGGAGGCCAGGCCGGGAGGGAAAAGCGGGCGCGGTCGTGCAACTTCCGGCCATTGTGCCGCCCGGTGGGGCGCCCTCTGTGTCCTCGGGAGCACAGCACGCATGCAGCCCCGCGAAACGTGGGGGGCGAGTCTGCGCCCCTCCCCTGCCGGCCACAGCTGACCTCCATTTCCGGCCACGGCTGGGGTGTTGCCTCCTGGGCCCCCTTTAACTCAAGGGCCACTTCTGTGCCCTGGACTATTTTCTTTAGTCTTTGGCAAAAGCTGCATTTCAGGCCCCCGCACCCTAGTCGTCCATGGTTGGGGGCACCGTGCTCTGGGTGTGATTTCGGGGTGCAGCGTGGGGCAGGGGTCTGGCCCGAGGTGCCTCCGCCGTGGGCGCGAGGTGGGCACGCAGGCGGCGCCCACTCTGGCCTTCCCTGCCCTGGCTGCGGCTCCTCAGCGCGCCCAGGGCCTCGGCCCGTCGGGGGCGGTGCCTGCGTGGCCACTAGGCCAGGCCTGCGGGGGGGTGGGGGAGCCTGGCCGCTGTGACCCCCCACAACCCTCCTCCCGCTCCAGCACGGTGTGGAGCCTGGCGCCCGCCCGGTCCGCATGGCTCAGAAGCGGGTCCTGGCGGCGCTCAGCGGCGGCGACTTCCAGGCCGGGCTGCCCCGGGCTGGGTCCGCGCCGGCCGCGTCCAGGGCTCCCTGTCTCCGGCAGCACCAGCGTCCTCCGCGCCGCGTCCCTCGGGTCAGGCGCGGGGGGCCAGGGAGCGCGGCGGGCGCGGCCCTCCCGTCTGCTGCCGGCGCGGCCTCCCTCTCGGGACGGCCAAGCTCGTGGTGTCGGACGCTGACTCCGCGGCCGGCCGTGCGCTGGGCCTGCGCGGCTCACTGCTGCCTGCCCGGGGCTCCGCCCGCGAGCCCACACGTGCCCCCCACGCGCGCGTGCTGCCCGCGGCCCCTTGCTCCCGAGGAGGGACCAAGACCCGTCGTGCTGTGCGAATGGCGGGATCCTCCCCTCTCCCGCTGAGTGACGTTCCCCTGTGTGTGGTGTGTGTGGGGTGGTGTGGGGTGGGGAGTGTTGTGGGGTGTGTGTGGGGTGGTGTGGGGTGGGGAGTGTTGTGGGGGGTGTGTGGGGGGTGGTGTGGGGTGGGGAGTATTGTGGGGTGTGTGTGGGGTGGTGTGGGGTGGGGGGTGTATGTGGTGTGTGTGGAGTGTTGTGGGGTGGGGAGTGTTGTGGGGGGTGTGTGGGGGGTGGTGTGGGGTGGGGGGTGTGTGTGGTGTGTGTGGAGTGTTGTGGGGTGGGGAGTGTTGTGGGGGGTGTGTGGGGGGTGGTGTGGGGTGTGGTGTGGGGTGTGCGTGTGAGTGTTGTGCTGCAGTGTGCTCCTGTGGGGTGTGGGCTGTGTGTGTGGGGCGGCTGGCACCCCTCCCCGGGCTGGGGCCGGGGCTGGCGGGCAGTGCCGCGGGGCAGGGGACGAAGCCTGGTCGCGCCGACCCGTTTGCCGGCGGGGTTGCCGGATCCTTGCCTGGTCGTCGCGGGTTCCGGCCGCAGGTGCCCGCGGTGCCGCCGCCCCCAGCCCCCAGCGGCCTGGCGGGCCCTGGCCTCTCCCTGGGCCCCGCGCGGGCGGCAGCCGGAGCCGCGGCCGGTGCCCGAGGGTCACTGCGTGTGGGGGCGTGTCCGCGGCCTTGCCCTGTCCAGGGGCGGCTGGGCGCGCGGGCCGCAGGGGCAGAGACGCGCCCGGCTGTGGTCCGCCCGGGGCCCCGGAGCCGGTGGGCAGGCGCCGGCTGTTCCCCGCCCCGCGTCCGCTGGCAGAGGCGCTGCGGCGCCCGTGCTGTCCACGGGTCTCACGCACACGGCTGGGAGCGGTCTGGCGGCACTCTGGGCAGGCACGGGGTCCCCTCGCCCCTGGGGTGCTCCTGGCCCCGGGCCCCGGGTCGGAGTCCGCTGCGGGCTCGCGGGGGCTGGGCTGGGCGCTCTGCTGCCCGCCGCTGGGCCGCCCCGGGCCTCCGGCTCCTCTAGGGGGCCAGGGGGACGCGGGGGGTCCCGAGGCCCAGCCCAGAGCTGCCTCTGCCTCCCCAGGCAGCAGGCAAGGCTGTGCCCACACGGGCCGGGGCCAGTTAGGAGTTGGGGGGCCTGCCCTCGGCCTGTTGGCCGCCGTCCAAGACCCCCCTTCTGGAGGAGAGGGACCCCCATCAGCCAGGGCGCCAGTCCAGGCCCCCCACAGCCCAGCGCCCCCCAGCGACGGCCTCTTGGGGTGTCTGGTGAGACTGGAACTTGGAGCCGCGAGGCCGTGGGGTGGTGGTCGTGGGGGCCAGAGCAGCGGGGGCAGGGGCTGCCGGGTGCGGGTGGGAGACGGCGGGGTGCAGGCAGAGGCCGGGGTCCCGCTGCTTCAGGGCAGCAGGGATGGGGGGCGTGGGGCGCCGGCTGGGGTGCGGGGCCGGCGCTGTGGGGTCAGGAGTCAGGACAGTGTGGGGGCTGGTCGTGAGGGGGGGTGAGGGAAGGGCGCGGGGCGCGCGGGGTCTTGGGACGCTGGGGGTGGTCGAGGGGCGCGCGGGGCGCGGGGGTCCGCGGGGGGGGCGGGGGTCCGCAGGGGATCCGCGGGGGGGCGCGGGTCGCGGGGGGGGGCGCGGGGGTCCGCGGTGGGGCGCGGGGCGCGGGGGGGCGGGCGCGGGGGTCCGCGGGGGGGTCCGCGGGGGGGGTCCGCGGGGGGGCGCGGGGGGCCGGCGCCCTGCGGGGCGGGCCGGCGGGGCGGGGCGGGGGCGGCCGGCGGGCCGGGCCGGGCCGGGCGGGGCGGGGCGGGGGGCCGTGAGGTAATTTCCGCGGCTCGCGTCAGGCCTTGAGTCACCCCGGGGCAGAATCGAAAGTGATCGTCGGGCCGCGGGCGGGCGCGGGGCGCGGGGCGCGGCCGCGGGGGCGTCGGGCGGCGGCGGGGCCCCGGCGGCGCGCAGGGTAAGGCGGGGGCCGGGCCGGGGCGGGGGTCCCGGGGCTGCTCCCGCCCGCGGGCGGCGCTGGGGCGCGAGGGGCGGGGCGGCCGGCGGGCGCGGGACCCCGATGCAGACGGGCAGCGGCAGCGCCCCCGCCCGCCCCCGCCCGCCCCCCGCCGACCCCGGTGGGGGAGGTACGGGGGGGGGGTGCCGGGGGGCGGTGCCGGGGGGCGGTGCCGGGGGTCCGGGGGGCGGGCGGGGGGGCGGGCAGCGCCTCCTGGCCAGCAGCCCGGCCTGGCCGCGAGGGGCCGGTGGCCGCTGGAGCCCCAGACCCCCTCCCTGGGGCCTTCCCGCCGCCCCTCGGGGTCTCGTCCTCCTGGGGCGCCGCGGCCGGAGGGGCCCCTCCCCCCACCCGGCCTTTGACAACATCCTCGCGCGCCCCGAGTTCCCCGAGTTCCCCGCGCCCCAGCGCAGCCCCGCGGGCTCCCGCCCCTCCCGCCCCGAGCCGACCCCGCGGCCTTTCGCAGACGGGGCGCCGCGAGTGGGGGCGCCGGGGCGCAAACAGGGCCGGGCAGGGCTGCTGGGGGGCCCGGGAGTGCGGGGGGGGGCCCCCAGGGCTGGGCAGGCGCCTGTGGGCCCGGCTGGAGGCCCCTCGCAAGGGGCGCGGCGGGCTCTGCCCCGAGTCTGGCCCCCCTGGCTGACCCTGCCCTCGCCGCCCTCCCAGCCTTCTCGCCGCGAGGGAGCCCCCCAGGACCCGCTGAGCCGCCGCAGGAGCTGTCCACAGGCCCGCAGGTGCCCGAGATGGCGGCCCCGGGGTCCGGCCCGCCCAAGGAGGCGGCGCTGGCCCGGCTGCGGGCGCAGGTGGAGCTGTGCCTGGGCTGCGCGCGCTGCACCCAGCGCCTCAACGACAGCACCTACGTCCTGCGCACCGTGGAGCACAGCTGCCCCCGCGAGATGCTCCTGGCCCGCTGCAGGGGGGCGGGCAAGAGCCGGCCCTGGCGCAAGGTGGACCGCCGGCCCGGCTTCCCCCGGCCGGCCCGCTACGAGGTGTGCCGCTACTACCGGCCGTGGCTGGGCTGCCCGCGCCACCGCAACCAGTGCACCTTCGCCCGCAGCCCCGAGGAGGCGCTGGTCTGGACCTTCGAGCGCGAGCACGGCGTCCGGCGGCTGTGGCTGAAGGCCGCGCTGCAGGGGCCCCGGGCGGCAGGGCCCCCGGAGAGCCGTCCAGCCCGGCGGACGCCGTGCTCAGCGAGTTCGGCGGCCACTTCCAGCTGCTCTGTTCCCACTGCTTCCGACGCTGCCCCCCGCACCTGAGCCCCGTGGACCCCCAGGGGCGGTGCCCCAAGCACGGGGCCTGCCCTCCGCTGCTGGCCCACGTGAGCGCCGAGGGCCGCCGCAAGCAGCAGGTGGTGGAGGTGCGGCCGCGGCCCCGCTACGGCCAGGCGCTGACCTACTGCATGTACGTGGCGCGCGGCCGGCGCTGCCGGCACGGAGCCCCCCGATGCCAGTACGCGCACAGCGCCGTGGAGATGGCCGTGTGGGAGGCTGAGCAGCTGGGGGGGCTCCGGAGGGGGGACCTGCTTCCCCCTCCCATCCCCAAGGGGGTCAGGCCCCCAGGCGCCCCCACCCAGGGACCAGGGGTCCAGCTGTACTGCCCAGCCTGCCTGGTGACCTGCAGCTCGCAGGAAGCCTTCGAGAACCATTGCTCCTCCCTGGAGCACTCGCAGATGGTGGTCCTGGACCACAGTGCGGCCTGGGAGCACCGCAGCCCGCCCATGGGGCTCTCCACCTTCGAGCTCTGCCCCAGGTAGGGACCGCGGCCAACGCGGGGACCGGAGGGTGCCCTGTTGCCGCCCTGTGACCACTGGCCCTCGTCGACCCCTGGGGGGTGGGCGGCAGCCAGGACTCGCCCGGGGCTCCCGCACACAGGCCAGCGGGGCCGGGGTTCAGCCCGGCACAGCCTGCGGACCCCCCAGGCCTGACCTCTGCGAGTTGCCCCCAGGCCTGACCTCTGCGAGTACGGGGATGCGTGCACCAAGGCGCACTCGCCGCAGGAGCTGCGGGAGTGGGAGCAGCGTGTGCAGGCCATGCAGCTGCGGAAGAAGGAGGCCTGTCGGGAGGGGCTGGCGCCGTACCAGGCGCGGCTGCTGGACGAATACCAGCGCAGCAGCAGCGAGGTCCTGGTGGTGAGTGCCCGGGGCTGGGGCGGGTCCTGGTGTGAGAGGCCGGGGCCGGGTGGTGGGCGCCCAGCGGCCCTGCTGCAGCCCAGACTTCTCTGCACAGCTGGCCGAGGCAGTGGACGGCGTGTCCGTGACCTGTGACCAGCCCCTGCTCCATCAGGCCGAGGAGAAGGAGATCCATCACACCTGGACCTTCACTGTGCACTCCGAGGTGAGAGGCCGGCGGGACAGCCCAGTGGACAGGGTCGGGTCGGGGTCTGCACTGAGTGTTGAGGGACTGAATTCCCGGGCCAGGCCGTGGGGGGCCCCCAGGGATGTCTGACACAGCAAGGGACGCTGGTCACCTCATGCCCTAAGGTCCCCTCTGGGGCAGGCTTTGAGCCCATTGAGCAGAGGGAGCCTGGCCAGGGCATGGCGGGAGGAGGCTCCCGGCTGGGCCTCATGCCCGCCCTCCCTGCAGGAGCTGCTGCGGCACGTGGCCCTGCTGCGGCGGGAGCCAGGGGCGGCGTTCTGGCTGGAGGCACCCAGCCTCCCGCAGGGCCAGCGCTACGCAGAGGGCAGGCGCTTCTGCGTGCCTGGCTGTCCCGCCCAGGCCCGCGTGGGGGTGCGGGTGCAGAGCGAGGCCTTCGGCACCTTCGAGCAATGGCTGGTCCTGGACTTCGGCCGCCGTCCAGCGCTGCTGCGGAGGCTGGAGCTGCGGCTGGGCCTGGGGTATGGCCTGGAGGCCCGGGGGCCGCCGGCCCCTGGCCAGTGTGAGGAGCTGGAGCGCTGGCACACCGGCAACCGCCACGTGGTGCCCAGCGTGGAGCGGACAGCCGAGGAGACGGCCCTGATGGCCAAGTACAAGGCGCCTGCCCTGGCCCTGGACTTCAGCCGTGGCGGCTCGGCCCCAGGGCCCGTCTCCTGCGCCAACTACCGGCAGAGGATGCACCAGTTCCTGTACGAGGAGGAGGCGGCCCAGCAGCAGCTGGTGGCCAAGTGAGTAGGGCTGGTGAGGACGGGGCGGCGGGGGTGGCTCTGCTCAGCTGACCCACGTCCTCCGACCAGGCTGAACCTGCGGGGCCCGGTGACCCTGAAGACGGCGCTGCAGACGCCAGCCCTGGGCCTGCGCGTCTCGCCGGCCGGGACACTCTACGCCGAGGTCCCCATCCCGTCCTGCCTGACGCCAGATACAGACCAGGGCTTCTTGCTGGGCCGGGCGGTCAGCACAGCCCTGGTCGCCCCAGTGCCGGCGCCCGACCTCACCGTGTTCGAGGCGCGACTGGAGCCCCGGGCCGGCTCGGAGTGCTCCCGCTGGCTGCTGCTGCCTGCCGGCTGCTGTCAGGCCCTGAAGCTGCAGCCCGAGACCAGTCCCGTCCTGGAGGTGCAGTTCCAGGTCGACCCCACGGCCTTCCGCCTCTGGCACCAGGCGGTGGACGCGCTGCCCGAGGAGCGCCTGGTGGTGCCCGACCTGGCGGCCTGCGCCCTGCCCCGTCCCCAGCCCACGCCGCCAGAGCTGCACGGCAACCGCAAGCAGAAGCTGGCCGTGGCCTTCATCGCGGGCAGCAGCCCGGGGGGCAGGCGGCCAGTGCCCCCTCTGCTCATCTACGGCCCCTTTGGCACCGGCAAGACCTACACGCTGGCCATGGCCTCCCTGGAGGTCATCCGGCAGCCGCACACCAGGGTGCTCATCTGCACGCACACCAACAGGTGAGCCCGGGCGCCCCAGGAGGCCTGGCTGCTCGCGCTGGCCGCCGCCCTCCCCACCCTGGGTCTCCGGGAGGGTGTGGTGGGCAAGGGTACGGCGCAGCCAGCAGCGCTTCCTGGGGGGAGGCCCTGGGATATTTTTAGAGAAACAGGTTCTCTCTACCGTGAAGTTCCCCTTCTCAGTCCCCGGCCCTGCCGGCTGCCAGGCTCGGGGTCCCCGCCTCTGCCCGAGGCCCTGGCTCTGCCATGCGGCTCTGCTCCCTGGGCCGGCGCCGGAGCTCCCTGCCAGCGCTGAGGCTGACCAGGAGCGGAGTCCAGGGCCGCCCCCGTCCTTTGGGCACCGGCTGCTTGGGGCGGGCTGCAGCTCCTGCTCTGCCTCTGCCTCTCCGCATGGCCAGCTCCTTCACCTCCTCCAGGACGCCCTCTCTGGCCGCCGGTGCTCTGTGCTGCTGCCCGGTCCTCCTCGTTGGGCCTGACCTCCCCCAGCTCCTTCACCTCCTCCAGGACGCCCTCTCTGGCCGCCCGGTGCTCTGTGCTGCTGCCCGGTCCTCCTCGTCGGGTCTGACCTTCCTTTGTTTCTTTATCTGTGCGTCTGTCCCTTCTGCTGATCTCTGTGCTCCGTGGGGCAGGACGCGGTCTGCCTGCCGGCCGGGGCCCGCGCCCACACACTCTCTCCCCCCAGCGCGGCGGACATCTACATCCAGGAGCACTTCCACAGCTACGTCAGCAGCGGCCACCCCGAGGCCGCCCCGCTCCGGGTGATGTACGCAGACCGGCCGCCCAGCCAGACGGACGCGGCCACGCTGCAGTACTGCTGCCTGACGGCCGATGGCCAGGCCTTCCGCCCGCCCGGCCAGGCCGAGCTGGAGCAGCACCGCATCGTGGTGACCACCACCTCGCAGGCCCGCGAGCTCCGCGTGCCGCGCGGCTTCTTCTCGCACATCCTCATCGACGAGGCAGCCCAGATGCTGGAGTGCGAGGCGCTGACCCCGCTGCGCTACGCGGCCCCCGGCACCCGCGTGGTGCTGGCTGGCGACCACCTGCAGGTGGCGCCCCGGCTGTTCAGCGCGCCGCGAGCCCAGGCGGCCGCGCACACGCTGCTGCACCGGCTCTTCCGGCACTACCAGCGCCAGGCGCTGCCGGCCGCCCGGGACAGCCGCGTGGTCCTCCACGAGAACTACCGCTGCACCGAGGCCATCGTGCGCTTCGTGTCGCGCCACTTCTACCTGGCCCAGGGCGAGCCCATCCGCGCCAGCGGCTGCGTCCCACCCCACCCCCGGCTCTACCCGCTGGCCTTCTGTCACGTGGCCGGCCGCCCCGAGCGCGACCTGTCCATGACGTCCTGGCTCAACGCGGCCGAGGTGGCCCAGGTGGTGGAGAAGGTGCAGGAGGCCCACGACACCTGGCCCCGCTGCTGGGGCGGCCGCGAGCAGAGGCTCATCTGCGTCGTGTCCCAGGGCGCCCAGGTGAGCACGTGGGGGCGGGGAGGGGTTGGGGGCGCCCTCTCAGTCCCCCGCCTCAGCCCCAGCCGGGCCGCCCTTCACTGCCCCATGTGTCGCAGGTGAGCGCGCTGAGGCAGGAGCTGCGGAGGCGGGACCTGGGCCAGGTGTCTGTGGGCAGCTTTGAGATCCTGCCAGGTGAGTGGCCCCCGGGCGGTGCTGGGGGAGGGGGGGCGTGCGCCGGGCCCCCCCCTGACTGTGCCCCCCTCTAGGACGGGAGTTCCGGGTGGTGGTGCTCAGCACGGTGCACACCCGCCGCAGCCTGCAGGGCGCGGGTGCACCCGCCGGGGACTTCTTCACTGACGCCCGCGTGCTCAACACAGTGCTGACCCGCGCGCAGTCGCTGGTGGTAGCCGTGGGCGATGCCGTGGCTCTCTGCTCCACGGGGCCCTGCAGTAGGCTGTGGAAGAGCTTCATCCGGGAGTGCGTGGAGCACCACAGCGCCTGCCCCGAGGGGCTGTCCCTGCAGCAGATCGAGCAGGGTGTGCTGCAGCAGCAGCACTGGCGGCCGGGGGCCCTCCAGACAGAGGGTGCTGTGGCCGCGGTGGCCGAGGACGCTGTCCCGGAGCCGGGGGCCGCGGGGGCCCCCACTGCGGTGCACACGGCTGAGGCTGAGGCTGAGGGGGGCGCCTCCCAGCCCAAGACCGCGGCCTCAGGGGGCACAGCCATGCTGCAGGCCCAGCCGGTGGCCACGGAGGGCGGAGCGCCCACAGGCCCCGAGGATGCTGAGGACGCCGAGGACGCCGAGGACTCGGAGTCTGACTTCTGGCCTTCGGATGGGGAGCTCAATGCCGACGACGCCATCCTGCAGGAGCTGCTGGATGAGAGCCGGAACATGACGGTGACTGTCCGGGAGGACGGGCTGCTGGACATGGTGGCCGGTCCTGCGTCCCCGCAGCAGGCCCGCCAGTACGTGAACCTGCCCCCGGCCAAGCTGCGGAGCCTGCTGCGCACGCAGCCCGAGCTGTACCACCGCTGTGTCTTCACGCAGGAGACCTTCGACCGGGCCAGCGCCGTCCCGCTGGATCCGGCGGGTCCCGGCCCTATCCAGGTCCGGGGCCGCCGGCACTGCGGGATGGCCTTCACTGGGGACGAGGTGCTGGTCGAGGTCCTGGGCGGGGCCCCTGGGGACAGGGGCTGTCCGGGGCGGCCACAGGGCCGCGTGGTGGGCGTGCTCCGGCGGCAGCGCCGCGAGCTGGCCTTCGTGTGCCGCATGGACGAGTGGGACACGCGCATCATGACCCCCATCGACGGCTCCGTCACCAAGATCTTCGTGGCGGAGCTGAAGGACCCGCAGCAGGTGCCGGTGCACCGCCTGGTGCGGGGCCGCCTGCAGAAGGTGGGCTTTGAGCGGCTCCCCCCCGAGGCCCGGCACCGCCGGCTCTTCCGGGTGCTGGTGGTCCTGTGGCGTGAGCGCTTCTACTACCCGCTGGGCATCATCCTGGAGGTGCTGCCCGAGGCCACCACCTGGGAGCACGGCCTGCACATCCTGGACCTGGAGCATGGCCTGAAGGCACCCGCCCCAGACCCGGCCTCGGTGGCCAGGGCGGTGCAGAAGCTCCAGGCAGAGCTGGGTCGGGCGCCCGGGGGCAGGGAGGACTGCCGTGGCTTCCTGACCTTCACCGTGGACCCCCAGGGGGCCAGCCAGCTGGACGACGCCCTGAGCGTGCGGGACCTGGGCCCCAGGTACGAGGTGGCCGTGCACATTGCCGACGTGGCCAGCTTGCTGCCCAGGGACGGGGCTCTGGACCTGGAGGCCCGCAGGCGGGGCCTTGCCTTCTACGCCCCTGACCGGGAGCCGGTGGCCATGCTGCCAGCCGACCTCAGCCGGGACGCGCTCAGCCTCCTGCCGGGCCAGGACCGCCTGGCCCTCTCCCTCTTCCTCACTGTCGAGAAGGGCAGCGACCAGCTCAGGGGCCAGCGCTTTGCGCCCTCCGTGGTCTGCTCCAACTTCCAGCTGACCTACGAGTCGGCCGAGCAGCTGATCACGGGGCACCCTGGTGCCGGCCTGGAGCTGCCCACCTGCCTGGACTCTGTGGAGGCCTGTGTGGCTGCCGCCTGCCACCTGGCCAGGGTGCTGCGCCGGCGCCGGCTACAGGGCGGCTGCCACCACGAGCAGCCTGAGGAGGATGGCACACTGGGCGCCCGCGCCGCCCACATCATGGTCAAGGAGTACATGGTCCAGTTCAACAGCCTGGTGGCAGAGTTCCTGGTGGGCAGCGAGCCCACGCGGACGGTCACCCCACTGCGCTGGCAGCCTGCGCCTGGCGCCCGGCAGCTGGAGGCCCTGGGCGAGAAGCACCGGGCGCTGGTGCCCCTGTCACTGCACCTGCGCCAGCACCTGCAGGGCGGTCCGCCCGGCGCGCAGCTGACCGTCCTGGCCGCCCTCTGGGGGCACGTCCAGCAGGCTGCCCGCACCCAGGACCTGAGCTTGCTGGTGGACCTGCTGACCACGGACGACCTGCACCCGGCACTGGCCTTTGTGGGCCTCGACCTCCGCAGGGCCCTGGGCCGCTCGACCTTTGGCCGGTCCCGCCAGGGTGACCAGCAGCCGGCCCGCCACTACGCGCTGCAGGTGGACTGGTACACCTGGGCGACTTCGCCCATCCGCAGGTACCTGGATGTGGTGGTGCAGCGCCTGTTGCTGCTGGCCCTGGGCCGGGGGGGCTGTGCCTACTCGGCCAGCGACATCGACCGGCTGTGCCAGGATTTTGGCCGGCAGCACGGCCGCGCTCAGGGCTACCAGCGCCGGACCCACAACCTGCGCCTGGCCGTGCAGCTCCAGGCCCAGCCGCAGGACAAACTGGGCGTGGCGGTGGATGTGGAGGAGGGTGCCCGCTGCTTCAAGCTGCTCTTCCCTGCCAACCCCGACTCCCTGCCGGACCCCTGCCCTGTCTTCTACCGCTCCCTGCAGCTGGCCGAGCACCCCCACCGCCTGGCTGGCCGCCCGGGCCTGCGGCTCATGTGGCGGCGCCGCATCTACTCCGTGGGGGCCGCGGGGCCAGGCCCGCCGCTGCCCGGTGTGCTGCAGGACCCTCACACCCAGCCTGTGGATGCCGCCCTCTGGCAGCGGCTGCTGGAGCTGGTGGAGGCGGAGCAGTGGCCGCAGGCAGCCGCCCTGGTGCGGGAGCAGGGCGCCCAGGTGCCCCCTCGGCAGGCACCGGGCCAGGTGTGCCGCAGTCCCTGCGGGCACTTCGTGGAGGTGGTGCGGGAGCTGGGTGGCGGGGACGTGCTGCAGGTGCAGCTCGGGGCCTCCCTGCAGCGCGGCTTCCTGGCACCCGCCCTGCAGCTGTGGACCGTGGCGCCCGGCCTCAGCCTCTGCCTGGAGCATGTGGAGCGGCCCGGGGCCTGCTTCTCGGGCCCGGCGCCCACTGCGGGGCGGGACCGCTTCCGCAGCGTGGACGAGTACACCCGCCTGTGGGGGCCGTTCTGCTCCCTGGAGTCGGCTACCAGCGCGGTGGCCGAGAACGACTCCATCACGCTGCGGGGCGTCCCCATCACCTGGGACGCCCCGGGGGCCGGGGCCAAGGCGCCCAGCCGGCTCTGGGGCTCCTTCTTCCTGGAGGCCTCCTTCCTGCAGGAGCACTGCATCAACATCAGCTTCGGCCACTGCTACCTCTGCGTCCGGCTGGAGGGGCTGCCGGCCAGGCCCCCGGTGGGGGGCCCTGGGTCGCTCCTGGGCATCGACCCCCCCACGTACACCTGGGTGGCCCACGGGCTGACCGAGGACGCGGACGAGGCGGAGGGCTGGGCCGACCAGCCCGAGGCGCCCCGGCGGGTGCGCTTCTTCGTGCACCGCACGGCCCCGGAGACGGCCCCGGAGACGGCCCCGGAAGAGGCCCTGCGGCCCGGCGCCCGCTTCACTGTGGAGGTGCTGCCCAAGCAGCTTCCTGACCTGTAAGCGCTGGGGGGGCGGGGCCCTGCTTGGGGGCGGGAGTGCGAGGCTGGGGGGCAGCAGGCCCCTCCCTGGGGACTCTGCTGAGTGGCCCGTCTGCGCGCCCCTTCCCAGCCGCAAGGAGGAAGCCGTGAGGAGGCTGAGGGACGCTTCCCAGCTGGTCATCAGCATCGCCCTGGGCCGGCCCATGCCACTGCCCCGCCCCGCGCCCGGGAGGCGCGCGCCCCCCAGAGGTAGGTCGGCGGCCCCCGCCCCCCACGGCCACCTGGGGCGGAGTGTGCTCAGGGAGGTGCCTCCCTCCACAGGGGTCCCCAGCAGGTTCCTGGAGCTCCCCTCTCTGGACATCCCCGGAGGCCGCCACAGGCTGAACCCCAGCCAGGTTGGGGCTGTCAGGGAAGCGCTGAAGAGGCCGTTCTCTGTCATCCAGGGCCCTCCAGGTGGGCCAGGCCGGGGTGGGGGGGGGCGGGGGCGGGGCGCGGCGGGGGCGGGCCTGCTCACGGGCTGTCCCGCAGGCACGGGGAAGACCGTGGTGGGCCTGCACATCGTGTTCTGGCTCCAGAGGAGCAACGCGGAGCGCGCGCAGGCGGGCGGCCCCTCCGCCCCGGAGCAGCCCTGCGTCCTGTACTGCGGGCCCTCCAACAAGTCGGTGGACGTCCTGGCAGGTGCGTGGCCGGGGGCGGGGCGCCGCTGGGTGTGGGCATGGTGACAGCGGCCTCTTCCCCCCCAGGACTGCTCCTGAGCCGCGTGGCCGAGCTGAAGCCCCTGCGCGTGTACAGCGAGCAGGCGGAGGCCACTGAGTTCCCGGTGCCTGGCGTGAGCAGCAGGGGCCCGCCCAGGAGGACCCTGCGGGACGGGAGGCCCAACCAGGCCCTCAGGTGGGCCCTGCTGGGGTGCTGGCCCTCGGGGGCAGGGCCGGGCAGGGCGGCCGTGGCCTCACGGGGCTCTCCCGCAGGAGCATCACCTTGCACCACCGGATCCGGCAGCCCTCCAACCCCTACGCGGCCGACATCAAGGCCTTTGACACCCGGCTGCAAAGTGGGGAGGTCTTCCCCAAAGAGGACCTCGCGCAGTAAGTGGCCAGGGCTACGGGCGCCCTCGGGGCCAGGTGGGCCCCGGCGAGCAGAGTGTCCTGCCGCAGGTACAGGAAGGTGATGGGCAAGGCCAGGAAGTACGAGCTGGAGCGGCACAGCGTGGTCCTGTGCACGTGCTCCTGCGCGGCCTCCGCCAGCCTCAAGAGCCTGGACGTGCGGCAGGTGCTGGTGGATGAGGCGGGCATGGCCACAGAGCCCGAGACCCTCATCCCCCTGGTGAGCTTCCCGCAGGCTGAGAAGGTGAGTGGCGCCCGCGGGAGGGGCTTGGCGGGGGCTGGCGGGGACGGGGTCACACGTCCTTCTGCCCCCAGGTGGTCCTCCTGGGGGACCACAAGCAGCTGCGGCCGGTCGTCAAGAACGAGCAGCTGCAGAACCTGGGGCTGGACCGGTCTCTCTTCGAGAGGTACCAGATGGACGCCTACATGCTGGACACGCAGTACCGCATGGTGGGTACCAGGGGGCCGGGCTGTGGCCTCTCCCTGCCCCCCCTTCGCTGACCGGCTCCGCCCTCCGCAGCACGAGGGCCTCTGTGCCTTTCCGTCCATGGAGTTCTACAAGCAGCAGCTGAAGACCTATGAGGGGCTGCGGCGTCCGCCCAGCGTCCTGGGCCACGCCAAGCGGGACAGCTGCCCTGTCATCTTCGGCCACGTGCAGGGCCACGAGCAGAGCCTGCTGGTGTCCACGGACGAAGGGAACGAGAACTCCAAGGCCAACCCGGAGGAGGTGGCGGAGGTGGTGAGTGCTGGGGGCTGCCCCGAGGGGGCAGGCGCGCGGAGGTGACCACTGGGGCCCCGGTGCCCAGGGCGGGGGGTCGGGTGGGCTTCACCGCACCCCTCGGTCTCGCAGGTCCGCATAGCCAAGCAGCTGACCCTGGGGAGGACTGTGGAGCCCAAGGACATCGCCGTCCTCACGCCCTACAACGCGCAGGCGGCCGAAATCAACAGGGCCCTCTTGCGAGAGGGCGTCGCGGGAGTGACCGTGTGCTCCATCACCAAGAGCCAGGGTGAGACTGTCCGGCACCGGGGAGTGTGGGGCGCTGGGAGGGCGGGGGCTGGTGGGGAGAGGGGTGCCGCTGGGGGCGTCCCTGTGAGCCTGGGGCGAGGGGCCTGGGGGTTGGGGAGAGGGTGCTGCTGGGGGCCAGGGGCCTCACGGGCGTCCTGCCTGCAGGCAGCGAATGGCGATACGTGCTGGTCAGCACTGTCCGATCCTGCCCGGAGGGCGATGTGGACCAGCGGCCCACCAAGGGCTGGCTGAAAAAGTTCCTGGGTTTCGTGGTGGACCCCAACCAAGTGAACGTGGCCATCACCCGGGCTCAGGAGGGCCTCTGCCTCATTGGTGAGGGCCGGGGCGGGGCGGCTCCTCCCGCGGGGCTGGTGGGGCTGGCGGGGCGGGCGCCCGGGGCGGGGCCACTGGGAGGGGCTGCGGGGGGCTGGTGACCACTGACCTGCCCCCTCGCAGGAGACCACCTGCTGCTGCGCTGCTGCCCGCTCTGGCGGCGGCTGCTGGACTTCTGCGAGGCCCGGCAGAGCCTGGTGCCGGCCAACCAGGTGCGGGTTCGGAGGCGGCCCGCTGTGGTTTGCTGAGGAGCCGCCGCCCGCCGGGACAGCGACGGAGCATCCCCAGCCCCTCGGCCCGCAGACCGCCCGGGCTAGCCGGGCTTGGGTGCTCGCTCTCTGGACGCCCTCCCGGGCCGCGCTGGGCTCCACTGGACCCCGCCTTTCATGGGTCCAGCCAGAGCCCTTCTCACTGGAAGGCCCAGCCCGAACTCAGGGCGGGCAGCGGGTCTTGGTATCCGGCCCACTGCCCCGTGCGCCCCCTGGGCGGGGCCGGGCCCACCGGCCTCCCCACCCTCGCCCCGAATGTGCAATACCCCGTGGGGCCGCAGACGCCCGGCCGCTCGGGGCTGCGCCCCTCTGCCTGCGGCCTCCTCGGGCGGCTCGGCCGACGGGGCGGGTGGGCTGGGGCGCGTCCTGGGGTGCGGGAAGGCGGTGTTTGCGGCTGCCCGGCAGGGCCGCTGTGCGGGGGCGTCTCTGCTTCCACGTTTTCTACAGGTCCCATTTCTACATTCCAGGTTCGTGTGTTTTCTAGGCGTCCGTGTCCCCCGATCCATGTTAACTTTATTATAAAGTCTGCGCGTCACTTCTTACTTGGGGGTGTTTTGTGGTCGGCCGGCGGTGGCCGCCCTCTGGCTGCGGGCTGCGTCCGGGTCCCGGGGCTCCCGGAGTGTGGGGGGCTGAAGCTGTCCCCCGCCCGGCGCCCCGCATGGCCTGTGCCTGGACGGGGAGCTGCTGAGCTGTACTTGGTGCCGGGCGGATCCCGACCTCTGTCCCCAGGTGGGGCCGGCCCGGGTCCGGGTCCAAGGGCCGCAGGCTGCCGGCCTTGCCAGCGTCCTGGCCGGGCTGCCCGGGCTCCTCGCCGGCGCGTGGGCAGGCCCGGGGCGGGCTGGCCGGGAAGCCTCCCGGTGCCGGCGGGGCGTGAGGCGGGCCGGGGGCACAGGGCCAGGCCGGCAGGGGACGGGCGTGGGGATGGACGGTCCCGGGGTCCCGCCTTCCGCGCCCGGCCCGCAGGGGAGAGCGGAGTCCACGGGGGGGGGGGGGGGGGGGGGGGGGCTTCCGGGAGGAAGGGGCGTGGCGGGCAGGGCGGCAGGAAGCTGGGGGGGGCGGGGCCCCACTCTCCGAGGGTGGGGCCTCGGGTCGAATCCGCGAGGGGGCCTGAGCGCGAGGGAGGGAGGCGCGGGGCGCCCCAGTCTCGGGCCGCAGCCGGGCTGCTCCGCGGGGCGCCGGGCCGGAGCCGGGCCGGGGCGCGCCAGACCCCGGAGGCCGCGAAGACGCGTGGGGGATGCAGGGGCGCCGCGAGGCCCCGAGTGGCGAAGAGCCGCAGCGCGCGGACCCCAGCCGGAGCGGGAGGAGCCCCCCGCGCCCCCCCCACCGCGCAGAGCACCGGGCAGGACACCCCCACCGCGGAGCAGGCCCGCCCGCTGCCCGCGCCCCTTCCCTGCGAGCTGCCGTGGCCTGCGGGGCCTCACAAGCACCCGAAGCACCCGCCCCCCCCCCCCCGGGGTAAACAGCGCCGGCTGAGCAGGAAACAGACCTGCCCCCCCCACCTGCACGCACCCCCGCAGCTGGGCTCCTGCCCCCCCCACCTGCACGCACCCCCGCAGCTGGGCTGGGCGGGCCGCAGCTGGGGGCGGGAGGGCTCGCGGCAGCGGGGAGAGCCCTGCTCGCCTATGCCCGGTGGTGCCGCGCCCTCCCCCCCACAGAGGCCCTGCCCACCTCACACTGACCGCTGGGCTGTGTGGGCAGTGGCCAGGCTGCCAGGCACGTGCTGGGGCGCCCGCAGGCCTCAGCCTCTGCCGGCGCCGCGTGCTGTCCCTGGGCCTGGCTGCTGCGGGCTGACCGGGAGGGGCACAGGGCCGGCCCTGCGGGCAAGGGGCTGGCGGCCACCGGGGGCCGGTTGCCAGGAGTGGGGCCGAGGACCACCCAGCAGCTGCAGCTGACCAGCGTCCTGTGGGGCCCCGAGCCCCTGGCCCTCGCCCCCCGCAGGATGGGGCGCAGACGAACTTCAGTTTCTCTGGGGAGAAGACAGACTTTTATTGTCATTAAAAAAAAAAACACCGAAGTGTCCTCTTGGCGCTGGCGCCCTGCTCCAGTGAGGCGGGGTGAGCCATGCGGACACGACGGCCCCGGGTCTGGGTGGCCTGGCCGTCGCCCGCGCCCGGGTCATGCGCCTGCAGGGGGCCCGGGGCGCGCGGCCGCAGAGGGGGCACGCCGGGACTCCCGCTGCCGCTCCAGCCAGCGTCCGCAGGTCCACCCCGGAGCCCCCAGAGTGGGGAGGCGCTGGGCCGGGGCCCGGCGAGCGAGGAGGGGCGCTCGGGGCAGCGCCGCCTGGCAAAGGGAAGCAGGGCTGTGTCTTCTCGCTCGTTTATACTCCTCTTTATTAGTGGATAAATATCAGAAAAGCATCTGTCAGGAGCCGGTCAGGGGCGGGTCCCGGGGGGTGCCCCCGGCTTGGTCCGCAGCGTGAGGCTGTCCCGCCAGGGCTCGTACACCAGCGTGTGGCTCTCGGCCCTCCTGACGGAGAAGCGGTAGGCGCGGTCGGGCAGCAGGTTGTGCAGGTCGAAGCTGCAGGCGGCCACGGGCACAGCCCCGCACTGGGCGCACTCCTGCTGCGTGCGCGGCTCCAGCAGCTTGAAGCGCAGCTCGAACTGCTCGGGCACAGCCGGCTGGACAGCAACGAACCAGCGCAGGCTGACCCAGTCACGGTGGGCCACCGACTCCTTGCGGTCAAACATGACGGGCATCTTGGTGCTCAGCATGAGGCGGATGTGTGGGATCTTGGCGGCGCCGATGTCAGACACCAGGCGGTGCTTGACATGCAGGCGCCCGGGCACCATCGTGGCCAGGAAGCTGTCCATGACGGCCGCCAGGTCCCCCAGCTGCCGCTCCACCCGCACCCAGCCAGCCAGGAAGGGCCGCGGGTCCGGGGACTCGAGCAGGGCATCCAGCTCGGCCCGGCCGCGGTCCAGCTGCTCCAGCAGGCCCCCCAGCAGCAGGAGCTGGATCTTGGTCTGGGCTGTGCCCACTTTCTTCATGCGCTGGAACTTCCAGGGGTCGATGAGCTGGAACATGGTGCTGGGCAGCACCAGCGGGCTCTGGTCGCCCAGGGCCAGGTGCTTGGGGAGCACCTCGATGTGGTAGGAGCACTTGCGGAGCAGCTCCACACGGGCGTGGTGGCGTTTGAGCAGGTGGGGGCTCAGGTCGGAGGTGAGGAACTCACGCAGGGCGGCACGCCGCTCCGTGTACGTCCTCCAGGCCTGCGGCTCCAGCAGCTGCCGGCCCTCGGCCTCCTCCGCCTCCTCCTGGTCCAGGACGGCCTGGGGACTGTCCAGCTTCATTTTGTCCAGGCCCAGGCCTGTCACTTGGAAGTCCATTGTCTGGAAGCTGGGGGTGGAGGGCCAGGCGTCAGCTCCAACCGCGTTGGCCTCTGCCTGCCCGCGCCCCATGGCGGTGTTGCAGCGGAGGGGGTAACTTTAGGCCCAGCCCTCCAATGCCTGGCCCCTGGTCATCCCGGGGGGAGGTTGTATGAGGGAGCAGGTCCAGCCCATGGGGGTGAGTGGGCAGGCTGTGGATCTGGGTGGTGGGCACTGAGGCCAGCACCTTCCGAGCACGGCTGTCTGTCCTGCTGCCTCCAGATGGCGTGGAGACAGTGGACTCTGGGGCTGGAGCAGCCCGGCAGGCGCCCAGTCACTGGCCAGCGGAGTGGCCTGGGAAGAGCCTCCCCGCTGCGTCTTAACGAGCAGGAGCCTCCCCCGCCTGCCCCCCAAGTCTCGTGTCAGTGGCCGGGCAGGTGTGCCAGCCACTGGACACAGCAGTGCCCCCAGGTCTGGCGGGCGCTCTTGAAAAGGACCAACACCCCTGGCTGCAGTCCCAGGCCCCGGGCCCCCAGGGGCGGGTGGGGACACAGACCTGGGCTGGAGCTCCCAGCCTCCTCGGGGGGCCAGTGACTGCGGGCCGCAGCCCGGCGCCGGCTGGCCTTAGCCCCAGTCAGCGCAGCCAGACCGGCCAGCGCCCGCGGCGGGAGGGAGCTGCGCGCCAGCCAGGCCGCCCACCTATGTCCTGCCCGAGCGCGCCCAGGGTGGCGGACCGCTGCCTCCCTGCCCGGCCGCTGTGGTCAGGGGCGGCTCCAGTGGGCAGAGCTCACTGGTCGCGAGCCCGGGGGCCGCTGCTCACCCCGCCGCCTGCGCACACCAGCCGTCCCCGCCCCCGCCCGCCGGCCCGCGCCCACCTGCCCTGCGTCCGGAGCGGAGGCGCGGCCGGGACTGCCCAGCCGGCCGGCCTGGAGCGGCGGGTCGCCATGGGGACCGGGGTCTTTGTGACGCCGCGAGCTGGGTGGGGCGGGGCTTGTGGGGAGACCCCGACTCCGCTCGCTCTCGCCGGCCCCGGACCTGAGCCTTTGCTCCCTTCCCTGGGGAGCCCCGCGCCCCGACCTGGGGGCTCCGCAGCGGCTCGTCGGGAAGCTCAGCTCGAGGTGGGCCGGGGGGAGGCGTCTCCGGAGGCTGCGGCGCGAGCGCGGGCGCTGGAAGGGGGAAGGGGGCCCCTGCGCACCCCGCGAGCCCCGCCCGCGCCCGCCCGCTCGCCGGGCTCTGGGCATCGACCCCCAGCCCCGCACCTGCTGCTGCCCCAGCGGCGCCCCTGGCGAGGCCGTGGGGCTCCAGGGTGACCAGGACGGGCGGGGCGGTCCAAACAGCTCCGGGGCGCCCCTCCCCCAGGGCCGCTGCGGGTCCCGAAGCTGTGTCTGTCTCAGAAAAGATGAGGCCCCCTTGGGGGGACATAGGCAGGACGACCACCCCCACCCCTCCCCGGAGGATGTCAGGACCATCCTCCACTCACCATCCTCAGAGGCCACCGGCGTGCACCGCCGTGAGAGCACTCCCTCCCCCAGGACGGCTGCCCCCGAGCTGGCCCGCACCCCCCGCAACCTGCTGCTGGGGAGGAGGCCCTAAGGGTAGGTCACCTGGCCTGGGGAGGGGGCTCCACCTGCACCCCCGCTCTGGGCACCCCCGCTCCAGGCCCGCTGCCCTTGTGCTGTTATGGGGGTCTGAGGACAGGGCCTGGGTGGGGTACAGGGTGCTGCCTGCCAAGCGCAGGAAGACCCCCGATGAGGGGTCAGCATCAAGAGGCCCCCCACCCCAGCCACAAACAGAGGAGGGAGCTGGGAGGGGAGCCCCCCTCCTCAGCCCCCCCTTTCTGTTTCTTGTACTTCAGACAATTTTTATTTATTAAAGATTGATTTATGCGTACAAGAGCTGGGGTGCAGGCCAGAGGTGCGGGGGGTGAGAGGACTCCCCAGAGACGGAGCGGGGAGCAGAACAGGCAGAGCCACTGGAATCCACTGCAGCGGGAGGCGGGAGGGGTCTGCTGCGCCCTGTGGGTCACTCCCTGGCTGGGGATCAAACTCGTGCCGCAGAGACTGTGGACACCTTCTTAGGCTGAGTGAACCCCTTGAGCCACCAGGGAGGCCCCAGCCAATTTTTAAAACTTACTTTTAATTTCAAAATACTTGTCGCTTCACGTGTGACCTCGGCCATGTCCCCGAGGAGCTGGCGGCCCAGGAACGCGACCCAGTCAAGACCAGACGGCCCGTCCCCGTGGGCCACAGCCGGTGTCCTCAGCGGCAGCCCTCCCCATGGGGCTCATGTCAGGACCATCCTCCACTCAGCATGTAACAGGGGGGTCCCCAGGAGAGGGGGAGGTTCCAGGCTCCCTGCCCCACCCAAGGGGGGTGGAGCTGAGCAGGGAGAAGCAGCTGCAGAGGAGACTGAGAAGGAAGGAGCAGGATGAGCCAGAAGGAGCCTGGGGGAGGCGCATGGAGCCGAGAGACGCGTGAAGAAGCCGCGCTGGCCTGGCGGGCGTGGACGGGGCGGCTCCGACGTGGGAGAGACCCGCGGGGAGGGGGCGAGGGCGGCTTTTGTCTTGACGTTGATGTGGCTCTTTTCCTCCCAGACTTGTCTGTCTGTTTCTGACGCTTTTCTGTGGGTCCCCCTGGGAGGTGCTTTAGACTCATGGCAGCTTTGGGGCCTCGCTCTGGGCCAGTCCTGCTTGGGTGGGCTTTGACCCGCGAGGGGACGGGTCCCTCTGGGTACCTGATGTAGAAACGAGGTTCTCTGTCTTTCCTGTGTTGGTCACTAACTGTATTAAAGCTCCTTCCCACTGAAGTCTCGTATGTTTTGTGCTGATGCGGCGGGTGGCAGAACCTATCTGGAGTAGGCAGGTTTGCGGGGTCTGGCTGCCCCTCTCCCTGCCCTGTAACAAGCACAGTGCCCAGCCGGGGCGCCCGGGTGCCCTGGGAGTGCCCTCAGCAAGGACTGCCCGGCCCATCTGCTCGCGTTCCAAGGGCTGTGGGCACCGGCCCCTGTGTGCCACTGAGCGCCCGCCCGCAGGGGCGGCCCTGGGCTGCTGCCTCAGCCTGGCAGACCTGCTCAGAGCCCTCCCTCCCTCTGCCTGGGAGTCCAGGCCTTTCCAGATGGGGACACTGAGGCACAGCACGATGTCAGCACCTTGCCCAGGGGTGCAGGGCAGTGAGTCTGAGAGCCAGGCCTGACCCCTGTGCCCAGGCCCTCCCCTCACACAGACGCCCTCCCCAGCCCGCCAGCCTGCCTCCTACACAGGGTGGGTGCCCCGCGCTCGGCCCCTCCTCAGTCTTGGGGCTGCTCTTTGGGCTGGTGGGAGGCCTGGGCCCCAGCATGGGGCAGGCGGGGACCGCCACCCCTGCTGCCCATAGACGGTGGACAGTCAGTGCTGAGCCCGAAGCCTGGTCTCTGGCTCTGGGGGATGGGCAGGGCCCAGGAGGACCCTGCGCCTGAGCACCTGACCCCGCATGGTCAGCACGAGGCCCTCCTGCGGCCACGCGGCCTGGAGGCCCAGCAGGCCCAGCACAGAATGGAGGGGCTGGGGTGGGCCCCGCACTCCTCAGACCCTGTGGTCGCCTGCCCGCCGTGCTCCCTGGAGACCCGGCCCAGAGGGCTGCTGGGCACCAGGCCAGGCCACACGGCTCGGGGCGGTGTGAATGGCACAGACAGCCGCACGTGCAGGCCTGCTGCAGCCAGGCGGGCTTTGCTCTCCCCACCCGGCCCAGAAGCAGAGGCTGGCCAGGGCAGGGGCACTGGGAGGGGTGCCAGGACTCACCTGCTGCCCTCACCCGCCACCTCCCTGTCCTGACTCCTGAGCTGGGGCCAGGGTCTGCAGCCTGCAGAGGTGCTGGGGGCTCCTGGCACATCTGTGACCCCGAGTCTCCACCACGTCCCAGTTTGTGCATTTGGGGGTAACCAGGGTGCAGACAGCGCCTGTCCTCCCACGCACACACTCTGGGTGGGGCCGGAGACCCGGCCAGCTCTCCTGGGGAGTTTCTGCTGCTGGCCAGGGTCTCGGCCTCCGCCCCGCGCCAGGTTGTGGTGAAAAGCTGTTTGGCCAACTGTTGGAGGCCCAGGCAGTTTTCCGCCGGAGTCCAGCCCCTGCTCGCCCGGCGCGCGGCCCGCACGGCGGAGGCCACTGCCCAGGCCCGGCGCGGGCCGGGCGTGCGCGGTCCCCCCGGCCCCCCTCTCTCGGGGACGCGCCCCTGGGCAGGGCCGAGCCTCGGGCTGCAGCCTGGGCCGCCGCGGGACGCCCAGGGGAGGGCGGACCCCGCCGCGGCCCCGCCCCGGGCCGACCGGGGCCGCCCCTCGGCCCCGCCCCCGAGGCCGGCCCCGGGGCGCTCGGGTCCGCCCCAAGAAGCTCCCAGCGGCGGGGCCGAGTCCCGCGTGCCAGACCCCGGCGGGGGACGGGCGGGGCAGCTGCCGCGCGGCGAGGGCAGGGCCCCCCGCGCCCTTCCCGGCTCTGCGCCCCATCCCGTGCCTCGGGGGGCGCCGCAGGAGCGGCCCGACGCCCACACCCGGGGGCAGCGCCGCGGCGCGGGGGGCGCGCGCCTCCCCGTCCGTGCGTGTCCCCGCCGGCCCCGCGCAGGCCATGGAGCCCTTCCTCAGGAGGCGCCTGGCCTTCCTGGCCTTCTTCTGGGACAGGATCTGGCCGGCGGGCGAGCCGGGCCCCGGCCCTGGCGACCCCCCCGCGCTGGAGCCGCCGCTCGAGGAGGAGCCGCAGGACCAGGACGGCGCCTGCTTGGAGGCGCGCCCGCTCCCGGGGCCGCCCGGCGCCCCGCCCGTGGCCGAGGGCCGCCCCGACGCGCTCCCAGACCGACCGTGAGTAGCCCCGGCGGGAGCGCGTCCACCCCCTTCCCCGCCCCGGGGGTGGCGGGCGGCGCCGGGGCCGCTGTGCCAGGGCGCACAGGGCTGGGCGCACAGGGAGGCCCGTCTCCTGGCGCTGCGCCGCGGGGAGCAGCGGGCACAGGCGGGCAGCGGGGACGCTCATCAGGCCGGCCGCTGAGGCCTCGCTCTGGGGCGCTGTCGTCGCCGGGTCCTGCTGCCCACACGCAGGGGTCCGTCCTGGCGTCCAGGCCCGGTTCTCTCCTGGCAGCTGCGGGGAGGTCCCGAGGGCGCTGGGCCGGACGCCAACCCGTGCCAGGACTCGGGGGCCGCGCCATGTCCCCCTGCGCGGTGAGGGGTGAGGGGGCGACCAGTGTGGAGGGGGCGACGCAGGTTCGGGGCACGCCCCTGCCCCTCTCACCTGTCCACCTTCAGCCAGCAGCCTGTCCGCCCCCTGGGCTGGGACGGGTGTGGGCACAGGACCGCCCTGCCCCTGGGCCACCCCCACGAACTAGCCTGGGGAGCAGGCACTGATGAGGGGCTGCCCCTCCGCCTCCCCAGGCGGGCACAGACACGCTGTCCGCACCCCAGAGAGGAGAGAGGATGTTCTCCCAGAGGGCTCCCTGGAGGGGGTGGCCTCTTGGCCAGACGCGGCCTCCGGGCACCACTCTGTCTGGCTCTGAGCCGGTGGTGTAGACAGTCCCTGGGCCCCAAGCCTCGGGCATGGCCCTGCCGTCCTGAGCGCAGCGTCCAGTCTGGCTGTCCTGAGCCGCAGGCCCGTCAGGGCTCCTGGGCCGGGAGGGGCAGCGCGGGAGGCTAATGACCGTCTGCTGGTCGGGATGAAAGGGCTGCTCGCACTCATGGTGTCATTAGCCCAGACTCCCGGCCAGGCGGGGCCCCTCCACCCCCACCGTGAGACCTCGCTGCTCCCCAGTTGTTGAGGGCCCCTCTTCCACCTCCTTTCGCCCCTGCCCCCTGCCCAAGGAGAGCCCCCAAGATCACCCCGAAGCCAGGGGTCTCCCCATGCTACCTGGGAAGGTTCCCTCTGGCCCCCGACCAGGAAGGGCAGGCAGACCCTGAGCTCCAGCCTGCACCCCTGTTCCTGTCGCCACCCCCCCACGAGCACCCTGCTTCCCTCACCCTCTGGGGCCACGCCTGCCTCTGCAGCCGGCACACGCTGCCCCTGCCTTCTCCTGCAATCCCTCAGGCCTCTGTCCCCACTTTTCACTCCAGCCTGGCTGGTGACCGTGGCCACGCTGACTCCCAGCCTGGCTCCCGGGTTCCTGCCAGGGCCCCACTCCAGCCCCCAGAGCCACCTGCTTCTAGGGCAGCCCACCGGCTCCCTTATTGGGGCACCCCCTGCACTGGTCACTCTGGGTCATTTTTGGGTCTTCTAGGATCCTTGCTGATCCCCACTGGCCCTGACCCGCAATCTCTGGACTCCCGTCAGGGTGACTGGGGGCCGGGCATGGGGTGGGCCCCGGGACAGGCCCTGGGTCCCTGGAAGCTCCAGGCAGCAGAGCTGACTCCGGTGTAGGGCTCCCCGGCTGGGCCTTGGGGAGCAGACCCGAGGACAGGATGGGGGAGCCCCACCCGTGTGACTCAGGTGCCTGCCTTCCAGGTGGGTGCCAGACAAGACCCCGGGCAGGCCTCTGCCCGCCACGCCCACGTGCCGGGGTGTGGCTCCTGACCAGGAGGGGGCGCTGGGGAGCCCAGCCACCTGCGCTCACAGAGGCCAGGACTGGCCTGTGACCCTGGGGCCCTGGGGGGCACAGCCTGTGAGCAGGGCCAGTGCCCGCTGACACCCCAGGGGGTGGTCCCAGTCGCAGCGGTGGCCGGAGTGTGCGAGGGCCGGTGCCTGGGCCGGGGTCTGTGTGGTGATTGCCGCCCACCCTCTGCAGCTGGTTCTTCAGCAGCATCAGCAGGACGCAGGCCCAGCAGCTGCTTCTGTCCACCGCCAACGCGCCGGGGGCGTTCCTCGTCCGGCCCAGCGAGAGCAGCCAAGGCGACTACTCCCTGTCAGGTACCAGGTGCTGCTCGTGCCCCGTCCCCACCGAGGGCCCGGCTGCCGCCGATCAGTGGCCCAGCCCCCCCAGGGCCCCCGTGCCAGTGCTCTGGAGGACCTGGTCATCCACTTATTCACGCATGCATCCGCTCGGCCTCTCCTGGGCCCGCCCTCTGCTCACAGGGCCTGTGCTGTGTGCCCGCCCTGTGGCCACTCACCGGACCCCGCTCTGGCTGGCAGCTGCCCGCACACCCTCTCCCACACCACCTGGCCATCTCTGGGCCAGATCTGAGGTGGGCCCCCCAGAGGGTGGTGGGGTACGCAGAGTCCAGGCCAACCTGCCACAGAGACCGGCCTCCTGTTTGCCGCCCAGTGCGGGCCCCGGCCAAGGTCTGCCACTACCGGATCTCCACGGCGGCAGATGGCGGCCTCTACCTGCAGAAGGGCCGCCTCTTCCCGGGCCTGGAGGAGCTGCTCGCCTACTACAAGGTCAACTGGAAGCTGATCCAGAACCCGCTGCTGCAGCCCTGCGCACCCCAGGTAGGCCCAGCCCCCAGGCCTGCCAGGCTCCCCTCAGAGACCCCAGGAAGCCGGGAGCACTGGCTGGGACACCAGGCCCCGTGGGGCCCCGCCTCGGGCTGGCCCTGCTGGGGCAGGGTGGGCTCTCCAGCTCTGCAAGTTCCACAGGGTGCCCCCACCCCCAGCACAGGCCTGCGGGGAGCAGCAAGAGGGGTGTGCAGTCTGGGAAGCCCTCACCCCAGCCCCAGGAGCGGAAGCTGTGGGAGGAGATGCCCCCCACACCCCCGCGGGCTGCTCGATCCGGTTCTTCTGGTGTCGCGGCAGCGGGCAGGTGTAATGAGTGTTTGCAGACGGATATCCGGCCCCACGAAGGTGCCACTTAGGGCCCTGAGCAATTAGGGCGGCCTCCAGAGGTCAGCTCCTGGCCCCCGCCCGGCCAGGCCAGCACTGGGCTCCGGGAGAAACGGCCCCTGGCCTGGGAGGACGGGCAGGACCTGAGTGTCGGTCCCACAGGTGCCCCCGGAGCAGGATGCTTGGGAGCGGCCGCGCTCCGAGTTTGCGCTGAGCAGGAAGCTGGGCCGAGGCTACTTCGGGGAGGTGTGGGAAGGTCTGTGGCTGGGCGCCCTGCCCGTGGCCGTCAAGGTCATCAAGTCAGGTGGGTGAGGCCGCCCACGCCCGCGCCCACCCCAGCCGCCCCCTGCTGCCCCCCCGGCCGCCCCCAGCCGCAGAGGGGGGCTGAGCTGAGCCTCTCCTGCAGCCGACATGAAGCTCACTGACCTGGCCAAGGAGATCCAGACGCTCAAGAGCCTGCGGCACGAGCGCCTGATCCGGCTGCACGCCGTGTGCTCCGCGGGCGAGCCCGTGCTCATCGTCACGGAGCTCATGCGCAAGGGCAGCCTGCAGGCCTACCTGGGCAGTGAGTGTCCCAGCCGCCGGCCCACACTCCCCGGCCTGGAGTAGAGGCCTCCCCGCAGGGCCTCCCGGGCCCCGCCCGCCTGCCTCTGGCCAGCACTGGCCCTGGAGCCTGGGTGCCGGCCAGGCCTGCCCGTGGAGGGGGCCAAGTGGGGACCCGGGTCGGGAGGCTTGGGTGGGGCGCCGGCCAGTCACCATGAGGCACAAGGTCACTGTTGGCCCAGCCCCAGCCCCTCTCCCCCACCTTTGGCCCTTCTCTGTCCCGGGGCGGGGCACCCGCCTTCCTGCTGGGTGCTCGGCACCGTGGGGCTGTCCTGGGAGGGCCTGGGAGGCGAGGGGATGGGTGCAGCCACCGCCCACCGGGCTGGCCCTGAGCCCCACCTTCCCCCAGGCCCCGAGGGCCGGGCCCTGAGTCTGCCCCAGCTGCTGAGCTTCGCCAACCAGGTGGCCGAGGGCATGAGCTACCTGGAGGCCCGGCGCATCGTGCACCGTGACCTGGCTGCCAGGAACGTGCTGGTGGGGGACGACCTGGCCTGCAAGGTGGCCGACTTCGGCCTGGCCCGGCTGCTCAAGGTCAGCGGATGGCCGGCGGGCGGCACACGGGGCCCACGGGCGCGGCTGCCCACCGCTGTCTCCTCGCCCAGGACGACGTCTACTCCCCGAGCAGCGGCTCCAAGATCCCCATCAAGTGGACGGCACCCGAGGCCGCCAGCTACCGCGTGTACTCGCAGAAGTCGGACGTGTGGTCCTTCGGCGTCCTGCTCTACGAGGTCTTCACCTACGGCCAGTGCCCCTACCAAGGTGGGCGTGGCAGCGGGAGGCCAGTCCTCACCGGAGGGCCCCATCCCGGGCTGGCCCCAGGGGCACCTGGCCTCGGGTCCCGGGGGCGGGCGGTGGGTGGGCCCCCTGGCTGGCAGAGTCCAGCCACCTCTCTGGTCCGCAGGAATGAGCAACCATGAGACCCTGCGGCAGGTGGTGAGGGGCTACCGGCTGCCGCGTCCGCCTGCCTGCCCCACCGAGGTCTACGGGCTCATGCTGGGGTGCTGGAAGGGCAGCCCCGAGGAGCGGCCAGCCTTCGTGGCCCTGCAGGAGAAGCTGGGTGCCATCTGCCGACGCCTGCACCCCACTCCCACGTGACCCGGCCGGCAGCGGCCAGCGCTTCCCTGGGCGGCTGCCAGGACGAGGCTTGCCCTGCAGGCCGGGCGCTGCCGGGGGACACGCATCTGCAGCTGCCACCGACCTGACCCTGGCAGGAGGCGCCCATGGGCTCTGCGTGCTGGCGGTGTCCGGGGGACCGGCGGAGACCTGGCAGGGGCCCCCCGCGCCCCCCAGGTCCCTTAGGCCAGGATGAAGAGGCGGCTTCCCAGCCCCCTCCTAAGTTCCCTTGGGCATGCGGGGCCCCTCGCTGGGCTCCCAGGCAGACCCTGAGCAGTGGCCCCTTGGCACAAGCCGGGCACACTCCAGGCTACCGCCACAAGGACCCCAGCCCCGTGCAAGCTGACCCCCAGGGCAGCCTGTCCCCAGAACAGGGGTCCAGAGGCAAGGCAAGCCCTGGGCCTTGGGCAAGGCCTCGGAGCATCCTGAGACTAGGGCATGGCGGGGAGGCTCAGGCAGGCTCTGAGGGGCTGTTTCTGGGGGCAAAGGTCAGCAGACAGTGGCTCCACCCATGGAGGGGTCCTGGGTGTGGCCTGGCCCTGTGCGGCCAGGCGGCCGGGGCGAGTGTGTGTGCTGGCCACCGGGTGGTGCCGGCTCTGGGCAGATGCAGGCCTGGTGCGGTTTGTGGGGCGCAATTGCCCCCAGCGCTGCCCCGCCCAGCACATGGGGTCCCCACAGAGGATGCCCACTGGCCGTAGTCACTGTGGCAGGGACAGGTGGGCACTGCACTGGGCAGTGGGCCGAGAGGACAGGAGGGTCGGGGGGCACCACCCCCACTCGCTGCTCGGGGGCCGCTGTGAAGCCGAGGACGCCTGTGCCACCACCTGCGGGCGCCGGGGCAGCTGCCCCAGTGACCCCGCAGCCCCGAGAGGAGAGGCCGTGGGGCTGGAGCAGCGGGGCTAGAAGGCAGCGGGGGAGGGCGCAGGGGAGGAGCCGGAGCGGCTGCCCGGGGCCGCCGGGAGAGGCCCACGGTCCGACTATCTGGATGGAGCCCTTCAGGGTGCTGGCCTGCAGCCCAGCGCCTTCTGTCCCGGGGCCTGCGGGGCCCAAGGGTGTTCGGGCTATTTCCTGACAACATGGGAGCCGCTGGTGGCCGCCAGGCCCTCGAGGGACCTCTGGCCGGGGGCGTGGGGCCTCCAGCACGCCCGGGCGCCTCGTCGGCCGTGGGCTGAGCGGGTGTGGGGCCGGCGGGCGGGGCCGGGGCTTCCTGCTGTGCCCAGACCGGTCGTGCCCACAGCAGCCCTCTGGACGCCTGGCCCGGCCCCCTCCCCCCCGATCAGAGCCCCTCTGGGCATCCCAGGCCCACCGCAGCCCCACGGCGACGGCAGCGGACAACACCGCGTCCCCTTCCAATAAAGGACAAGCCCGGCCTTGGCGTGTGGTCCCCGCTCATTTGTGTACACGGTCCGGGGCGCGCCCTGCTGACCCCACGTTGCGCCCCACCCCGGCCCCAGCCGGGTCCTTCTTCCCCACAGGGAGCCCCCACCGGGCCTGCCCGGGGCCCCTACCCCTCTCCTCACCCTCCAGCTCCAAAACGTACTGCCCGGGGCCTGCTGACGCCCCGGCAAGCCCTCTCCCCGCTGGGTCCCCCTGGAGAGACCTGGGGCCGGCCAGGCTGGCGGCTCTTGGCGGGCAGCTCCTCAGCGGGCGGGCGGGCAGGCCTGGCATCCAGGCTAGCGAGGGGACCCAGATTGCCCTGCCAGGGTGCACCTGCAGTGAGGCCTGGGCCCGTGGGTGCTTTCTGGGGCGCTTGGGAGGCTCCCCTCCGCCTCCCCGCCTGGCCCTGGCAGTGGGCCGGCTCTGGGCGGGTGGGGATGGCCTGCAGGGCCCGCCCGCCCGCTGCCCCGCCCACAGCAGGAGCCGGGCTCCCGGGAGCGGGTGGCCAGGGCCTCCCCGTGCTGCCACCATGGTGTCCCGGGGTCAGGGCCAGGCCAGCCTGGGGCCCCGGTACGTGGGACTCTGGGACTTCGAGGCCCGGACAGACGAGGAGCTGAGCTTCCGGGCGGGAGACCGCTTCCTGGTGGCCAGGAAGGAGGAGGACTGGTGGTGGGCCACGCGGCTGGACACGGCGGGCAGGGCCCTGGCGGAGGGCCTCGTGCCCCACAACTACCTGGCCGAGGAGGAGGCGGCGGAGTCCGAGCCGTGAGTGTCCCTGCGGCCCCAAGGGGTCCCGGCCGTGGCCACGAGGGCCGTGCTGGTGGCGCGGGCTGGCCGGGAGCCCTCCCGGACAGGGGCACGGCTGGCCTGTCGAGGGGCCGGGGGGGCACGCAGCCCTCCCGGGGTCCCCACGGTGATCATGGCACCGGGGCCAGGACAGAGGGTCCGTGGGGCTGCGGGCGGCGCCTGCCGGGAGCTGGAGGCCGGGGGAGCCTCCCTCACCCCGAAACAGCCGAAACCAGATGTGCGACCTAGTTAGGGACGCGGGACGGCCGTTGCAACACGGCGGGTGGGGCGCCCGTCAGCCGCTCCGAGCAGCCTGGCACGCTGGCCCAGGCAGGCTCTGTGCTGCCCCGCAGCGGCGCGGTAAGCAAGCCGCAGTCACGGCGGGGGGAGGACGGGGCCCCCGAGGGTCAGGCGGGTGACCAGAGCCCCAGTGTTCCTAGAGGAGGCGCTGGGGCCGGCTGGGCAGGGCGTGTGGCGCCGTCCCTGCAGCTGTGTTCCAGCGGGCAGGCACAGCAGCCGGTGGCAGAGGTCGCAGGGGCTGGACGGGCCCTGCCTGCAGCCCGAGTCCAGGGCTCACCACGCCCAGCGTGCGCAGCTGGCCGCACAGGCCCTCGAGGTGCCGGGGTAAGGACCCCGGGCAGCCAGGCCGCCAGCGGTGCAGGGCCGCCGTGGAGGTGGGGGCAGCTGCTGTTTCCACCCTGGACAGCTCTGACCCCACAGGTGGCCGGGACGGGGCCTCCTCCTGGCGTCAGGGAGACCCTGGGGTCCAGGACCAGCTGTTGGGGCCATCTGGGGTCAAGGATGGGCGAAGAAGCCAAGGGTCAGCGCGAGCTCACCCCCTCAGGTGGTTCTTCGGCCGCATCTCCCGCTCGGAGGCATCGCGCTGCCTGCAGGCCCACGGCGGCGGCCCAGGGGCCTTCCTGGTCAGGGTCAGCGAGAAGCCGGGCGCCGACTACGTCCTCTCCGGTAGAGTGCCCTGCCAGCCCGGCCGGCTCTGGGGGGTCCTTGCCCCACCCCCTGAATGCGGAGCCCACGCCTCTGGCCCTTCCCAGGACGGACCCCCACGGTGGGCGGCGCAGGGGTTGGGGGGGAGTCCCTGGTGTCCCCAAGGGTTTTCCAGGCCCCGCCCCTCCCCCGCTGCCCCCACCGCCTCTGACAGCAGCCCCGCTCCAGTGCAGGACCGGCGGGCCGTGCGCCACTACAAGATCTGGCGCGGCGCGGGGGGCCGGCTGCACCTCAACGAGGCCGTGTCCTTCGCTGGCCTGCGGGCGCTCGTGGCGCACCACAGGGCCCAGAGCCTGTCCCACGGCCTGCGGCTGACCACGCCCTGCTGGAAGGTGCGCGCTGACCCCACCTGGCCCTGCAGCCGGGGCTCGGGGGCCCCCGAGGGTGTGCGGGTGGGCCAGACACACACGGGGGGGGGGCAGACCGGAGCCGGACCAGGCGGGTGGGTGCGGCCCCCCACGCTCTCTGCCCGCCTCCAGCACGAGCCGGAGCCCCTGCCCCCCTGGGACGACTGGGAGCGGCCGCGGGAGGAGTTCACGCTCTGCAGGAAGCTGGGCGCCGGCTACTTTGGGGAGGTCTTCGAAGGGCTCTGGAAGGACCAGGTCCGCGTGGCCATCAAGGTCATCGCGCGAGGTGAGCGGCCCGGGACCCGCACTGCAGACCCCCCTGTGCCCGCGGCCTCCGGGCCATCCCGCCCGCTCCGCGCGGGCGTTTCCCTGGGCGTGTGTTAAGACTCCAGCGTCAACGGCAGCGGGACAGAGAGCGCTGGGCACGGGAGAGGGCGGCGGGGACTCCGGGCCGCCAGCCCCCTCTGGGCCCCACACTTCGGGGTCACCTGCGGGGGTGCGGCGGTGTGGGCGCGGGGACCCTCCGGCAGGCTTGGCTGGCGGGGGGTGGGGTGGGGGGCTTCGGGCCACACCCACGCGGCGCCCCACCCCCAGACGACCTCCTGCACCAGCACACCTTCCGGGCCGAGATCCAGGCCATGAAGAAGCTGCGGCACAAGCATGTCCTGGCGCTGTACGCCGTGGCGTCCGTGGGAGACCCGGTGTACATCGTCACGGAGCTCATGCCCAAGGGGAGCCTACTGGAGCTGCTGCGGGGTGAGCACCCGTGTGCCCCAGCCCCAGTGGGCGCTACCTTCATGGGGACTCCCCCAGCCACCGCCCTGGCGCCCAGGAGCCCAGGAGTGGGTCATGGTCGATGCAGCGCAAACACCCAGGCGCCACGGCCCCACTCCCAGAACCATCCTCTGCCAGAGCGTGCCAGGCTGGGGGGCCGGGGGGAGGGGCGCTGTCCCCAAGCCCTTCGCTGCGCAGAGGCCGTGTCCCCTTGGTGTTTGTGTGCACGCCTGGCACGCGCTCAGCCACCCCGTGCATGCACACCACACCCCAGCACACTCACGCACTCGCCCGTGTGCACATGTGTCCACGCCACACACCCAGGGCACACCCAGCACACACTGACAGACACAGCGGATCTCGCTGGCCCACGGGCCTCAGCAGGTCCCCTCCCTCCTGGGACTTCACCCTGCGCAGACCATGGGCAGCGGCCGTGCTGGCTGCAGAGGCCGAGGGGCAGAGCCACGGGGTGGCCGGGGACATGTTCTCACCCCACACAGGAACAGCAAGGCCCAGAAGCTGGGGCACCCCCTTGCCACCAAGGGGTGCACCCCATCCTTGCAGACCGCAGCCCCCCGCCTGGTGTGGCCCGCGGGGAGGGAGTGGGCGAGGTGCTGTGCAGTGTGGCCCGGAGCAGGCTGCGCCCGCCGACCTACCCACCAACCCCTCGCTCCGCAGACTCTGACGAGAACGCGCTGCCCGTGTCGGAGCTGATGGACGTGGCCTCGCAGGTGGCCGAGGGCATGTGCTACCTGGAGTCCCAGAATTACATCCACCGGGACCTGGCGGCCAGGAACATCCTGGTGGGGGAGAACAACATCTGCAAGGTCGGGGACTTCGGGCTGGCCCGGCTGATCAAGGTGAGGGGCGCGGCCCTGCGCAGCCCAGCTCAGGGCACCCGGCTCGGCGGTGGCGGGGAGGCGGGCGGGGCCTGGAGGCCCGTCCAGCGCGTGCTGCTTGCAGGAGGACATCTACCTGTCCCACGACCGCAGCGTCCCCTACAAGTGGACGGCGCCGGAAGCGCTCTCCCACGGCCACTACTCCACCAAGTCCGACGTCTGGTCCTTCGGGGTCCTCCTCCACGAGATCTTCAGCAGGGGCCAGACGCCCTACCCAGGTACCGGCGCCGCCCTGGGCGGCCGGCCGGGCCTGAGTGTCCTGGGTGGGGGTGGCAGGCGGGCAGGCCGGCCAGGTCCCCAGAGCCGTGTGCCCCACCGCAGGCATGAGCAACCACGAGGCCTTCCAGAGGGTGGAGGCCGGCTACCGCATGCCCTGCCCGCCCACGTGCCCGCCCTCGGCGCACAAGCTGATGCTGTCCTGCTGGCACCGGGACCCCGAGCAGCGCCCCGGCTTCAGCACCCTGCGGGAGAGGCTCCGCAGCTTCTCCAGGTACGAGAGCCCGCTCTGAGGCCGGCGCTGCAGCCTGGACCGTGGGGGAGGGGCCCTGGGACAGCAAGCTCGTCCTCTGCGGCCGGCCCAGGCCACCCGCTCGCCCGGCCCTGGCCGAGCTCTGGGCAGGACCCTGAGGGGGCTGTGGCTGCATGAGACAGGAGGCTGGTGGTGGGCACTGCAGTCCCTGGGGCTCCCAGCTGTGGCCCCCGTGCCCTGGCCAGGGCAGTCGGCCGCAGTCACCAGAGGCCCCAAGGGCGGCATCTGGACACTGGCTGGAAGGCTGAGGAGGGCTCAGGCAGCCTCTGGGCAGCCCCTGCGGGGTCCCACCGAGGAAATGAACGCGACGACCTCCCATCTCCGCCAGAAGGTGGACCGCAGCGACCCTGCCCGGGCCACCCCACCCCAGCCTGCCTGCAGCTGACCCCCTGAGGCCATGGCCACTGGGGACCTGGCACGGACTCACGCAGCTACTCACAGGATGGGGGACAGGAGGGAGGGGCTCCTTGGGGGCCAGCTGAGGCCCCACCAGGGCGGCCCGGCCTTCACGCATGGACGGCCAGTGCGCGCCGAGCCCAGAAGACGCACTCTGCTGGGGCTGGACTTCGCCCTCGCCCCCTGGCACCCCAGGGCTGGGGCCTGCTGTGCTGCACGGCCCAGGGCGCCACCCCTGTGTGAGGGCCCCGCTGTTGGGGCTCATCCAGGCCCTCGGTGGAGGCCCGGCCAGCAACTGCCCCACACCTCCCTCGGGCGCCCTGGCCTCAGTGGCTGCCCCGACATCCCCTCAGGTGCAGGACCCACCCCGCGCAGGGAGCAGTGGCGCCCCCGCCCCAGGGCCGGCGGGCAGCAGCTCTCAGACCCACTGTGCTTCTGGGCGTTCATTTGCACACGGGCCGGGAGGCGCGGGGCTCAGGGGGCTCACGGGGCTCACGGGGCTCGGGAGTAAAGGGGGTTTCTCTGCTTCCTTTTTGGTGTTTTGCTGTTTTTGAAGAAGGGGTTCGGGGCTTTGGCCGGCTGCAGCCTGCTGGCCCGGAGGGCAGGGCATCCCCAGACACGCGCAGGGACGGCCGCTCAGGACGGGGGCCCAGGACTGGCCTTGCTGGGCGGGCCTCCTGGCTGCTTCCTCGCGGCTCCCTGGGCCCGGCCACGGGCCATCACGCTGCGGGCGGCCTGGGGAGGTTCCGGGCTGGAGGGGAGCAAGGGTCAGAGCAGCCCCCGGCCTGCATCCCCCCAGCCTCCTTGGCGGGCACGCACTGCTCGGGGGACTCCGACGGCGTGGCCATGCATGGGAGAGTGGACTTCCCGAAGAAGCAGCTTGCCCACCGGTGACCGGGGTCAGCCTTGGGGAGCCCTGAGAGAGCAAAGGGGGGGTCCTGTGCTGCCTGCTCCTGGGGGGCCCACCCAGACAGCCCCTGGACAGCGGGCTCGCGGCCTGCACTCACCTGGGGGGTGGGGGACAGCGTCCCCGGGGCCGTCGGTGCTCCCGCAGGAGCTGTTACTGGAAGTGGACCCCGGGCGGCCTGCCAGGGGCTTGGTCAGCTCGCCGGCCACCCCCCGCGGCCCAGCCCAGCAGGCCTAGGGGGCAGTGCGGCCCGAGCGCCTGCCCCTCCCGGCCCCAGGAGGCTGGGCCGAGCCCACTTACGCGGCCGCAGCCGAGGGTGGCCCCAGGGCGCCCCAGGGGCCGGCCGCCGGGAGGGCGGGGCCGCGGGGCGCAGCGGCAGCGCCCGCGGGTCGAGTCACGGGGCGGGCGCCGGCCTCACACCGCACCCCGCTCCTCCGCGCCGGGCGCGGGCGGCTCCAACCAGCCCGAACCGGCTGCGCCGCGGGCCGACAAAGGCGCTTTGTGCGCGGGGTCCCCGACCGGCCCCGCGCCCCCGCCCTCCCCGCGGCTTCCCCGGCGGCCGGCGCGGACAGGGGCGGCCGCAGGGACCGCGGGGGCCGGGGGGGGCGGGGGGGCGCCCCGGGCTGGGTGCGCACGCGCAGACGCCCCCAGCGCCCGCGGAGCCCCCGCCCCGCCCCGCGCGGCCCCCGCCCTCCGGCCGCGCCCGGCGCCTGCGGCAGGCGAGGCGCACCCCGCAGGCAGCAGCCCCTGGGGCGCCCGGCCGCGCCCGCGTCCCGCCCGCTCGGGCCCGCCGCGCCCGCCCAGGGCAGCGGCTCGGCCTGTCCGCGGCGGCCCCGGAGCCGGGCCGGCGCTTCCCGCCGGGAAAGGGGCGAGCGCCGCGGGGACCCCCTCGGGAGGCCGGGACGGGGAGCCGGGGCAGGGACCGGCCTGGGCGGCCCGCGGCGTCCACCGCTGCTTCCGGCGCGCGGCCAGCGCGGACGGCGCGGCACCTCCTCGCGGCCCGCCCCTGGGCCCGACGGCGCCTCCGGCCCGCGGCGCCCGCGGGGGTCCCGCCAGGACCCTGGACAGCGCGCGGCCGCCGGGCGGGGCCTCTGCACCGGCGCCGCGGGGCGGGGGCGGGGCGGGCACCCCTCGGGCTCGGCGGGGCGCGGAGTCCTGCGGGCAGGGGCGCCTGTGAGCAGAGGCCAGGGGGTCCCTCGGGGCAGAAGCGCCCCCCCAGGGGCTCGGTCCGAGCGGAGTCGGGACGGGGAGCTGCCTGGGGACAGCGGGAGGCCGCGGGGCCCGGACAGCAGGGGTGTGGGGGGGCGCCGCCCCGCCCGCCCCGCCCCACGCGCCGGGGCGCTGCTCCCTGCGCGCTCGCAGCCGGGGCCGCCCCAGTGCCCGGCGCTCCCGCAAACAGCGGCCCCGGGGAGGGCGGGTGACGCAGCCGCCTCCCGCGCTGCCCCCCCCCCCCCCCCCCGCGGCGGCCGGGGCTCCCTGTGCTCCCCGCTCCCCGGAGGCGCCCGTGGCCGCCGGGCGGAGAGTTCGGAGAGCGCAAAAAGGGCTGGTAGTTGGGGCCCGGACAAGCCCTCCAGGCCTCCGGCAGCGCCCCCAGGGCTGTGGCAGGGAGGTGGACAGGAGCTTCTGCCCTCCCCGGGCCCTCCTGAGCGCCGCCCGCTGCCAGCGGCTTCCCATCTCCGCCCGCAGGCCCCTCCACGGGGCGGGCCATGCCCGGGCCGGCGCGGGCTCCAGTCACGCCACCCTCAGCCGGGGCTGTGCCCTCCGCGCCCTTCGTGGGGTGAGGGCCAGCTAGCAGGTGCCGGACATCACCGAGCAGGTGGGCACTCGGGTACCATCAGGCTGTGGCCGCCTCCCGTCTGGGGTGTCCTGGGAGGATCACAGGCCGGGGTCCCCGGAGCAGGCGCTGAGACGGATGCAGGATGGGTGTCGGGAAAGAGGGCCGAAAGGACACAGGGCCCGGCACAAGTTTGTGGCTGAAGGGCCACGGTCCCCAGGCTCACTCTTGGGGCGCCTGCCCCCCGGGTCTCTTGCTCTCCAGGTGGGCTGTTTGCTGGTGGCTCAGACTCTGGCTGCCCAGGGTAGGGCCCTCTGGTCAAAGAGGGAACAGCAGGGCCCTGGGCGAGGTTGCGGAAGCCCCACGGGCAGGTTAGGTGGCCTCCAAGGGGACCTGGTCCTGCAGGGACAGATCACGCCTGTCCAGTCCCACGGGCCCGGGGCAGGTGTCTGGCAGGGCCCAGTGGCTGCAGTGCCTCAGGCTCGCCTGGCCCTCAGCCCATAGGCGGGGGCTGAGCCCTCCGGGCATCATCTGGCCTGCCTTGGGCAGAATGGGGGTCCCTCCCTGCTCCTGGCCAGGCTGAAGCCCCGTTCTGGGCGGCCCAGAGCAAAGCGCAGCCCCACTTGCCACATGGCTCAGAGGAGGCGCCTCTGCAGGTCCTGCCCACTCACCCGGGAGGCACGGGCCCTGCAGGGATGCCCAGGTAGGGGGGGGGCGTGTCCCTGCTGCTGCGTTGCCAGGCAACAGCCAGGCCTGTGCCCTACTGAGGGCAGCCGCATGGCCCAGGCATGGTGCCCTCTGGGCATCCCTGGCTGACTCAGGCTGGCCGCACACCTGCCCAGCACGCTGGGTTTGTTGGGGGGGGGGGCTGGACCATCCCGCAAGTCTCCCCAAGTTCCGCTGCTCGCTCAGGACAAGGCCCAGGCGGGGGAGGGGGGCTGGGTCTGCGGTGTGTGTGGCTGCCACCTGCTGCTCGCATGCAGGCGCCGCCTGGCACGTGTGGAGGAAGCTCCTCTCTGCCATGGAGATGCTGGATTGTTCAGGGACGCTCAGCCCTGGGGTGCCCGGCCGCGTGCTTGGGCCACCCGCTTGGGGGCTGAGGGGTAAGGGCCAGGGAAGCCCAGCGGGTCAGAGGCCCCCCCCCCCGCAGTGGCTGCAGGGTGAGCAGTGGGGCTGGGGGGGCCCTGGGGGCGTTGCTCAGGTGCCTTGCAGGTTATTATTAAGCCGGCAGTGACGTCACCTGCAGCCAATGGGAGGCGGGTTTCTTCCAGGAGGGCAGCGTGATAACGGGTAATTCTAGCGGGTTCTCTCTCCCGGACAGCGAGTGCGGGTTGGGGTCTCCCCTGCCTGGCACCCCACGGGTGCTGGGGAGGCCGCCTCTGGCCAGCTGCCCCCGCACCCTGGGCTGCTGGGCTCTGCGCAGTGAGCCTCCCTGCCTCGGGCGGCGGGTGGCGCTGCCAGTGGGTGCTTGGGGCGCGCTTAGCACGCCGCCGGCTGCTCAGTGCCTAGCGGTCACCGGGCCCTGGGGACTACCCAGTGGGCAGCAGCCATGGGGGCTGGGCCGTGCCAGCTGGCACTCTCAGAGTGCCGCTATCTGGCACCAGCTCTTCTTAGTGTCGTGTCCCTGCACCCAGTATCTCCGGCATCAGGGCAGCGGGGCCCTGAAGGGGCTCAGAGTGTGGACATCCGGAGGACGCTGCCTCCGTTGGCTCAGTGGCCACTGCCTTGGCCTCTGGCACAGGATGCCGCTGCCTGCCCACAGATAGGGTGTGAGCCGGTGTGGAGCAGCTGGTGAGGGGCTGCAGGCGGCACGCCGGGGCTCATGCCCCTGCCCCCCACCCCGTGGGTTGGGCCCACGCAAGCCCTGGCTGGTCGCCACACCCCCACGTCGCCTACCCGCCAGC